AACAAACCGTACCTACGCCATTTTTTTTTAGAAATATCTCGTCCCCGATGGTCTTTACCACGAAATAATAGGTACATGTCTCATAGTAATTCTCCCTTGACGTTAAATAGCTTTACGACGTTCCTACAAGTACACCTATTATCAAACATCTTTTATCCCCTATTTCAAACTTCTACTCTTGAATTGGAAAAGCATTTGTCACAGCTGCTTCTCGATTTTTAGTCATAGTTGGAAACCCGATATTATTCATTCCCCATTATCAATTAACTCGAATTGCTCGTAACCGGTATTTCTTTCTTATACTCTTTCGCCGTGAATAATTGGCAAACGATACAGATTTATTGTCGAACCATCTGCTGCGAGAGTAAATGATCGGCGACAACGTTTTAGTAGACTGAAACGTCATTTTTGAAAGGAAAGCATAGCTGCAAATAAACGATACCAACTGTTATTAAATACCTACACGTTATCTATTATATTGAAAGATTTGTATCATGTAACGGATCCGGTTAAGTAACTGAATAAAAAGTTGTATTCTTTAAGAATGACGCTCGATGCGTTTCTCGACCAAACATTACACGGAGAGTTGTCTGTCCTCATCGTGATCGAGCAATAAAGATTTTTTCGCAAAAGTGGTATTGTGTTCTTTGTCGCTTCGTTTCTCGTCACAAGTTTAACCAATAATGGTATGGTGTAAACACTGTAAACAGTGGATTAGATCGTACCTTTTGGAATAGTTTGGTCAACAAGCAGATCAACCAATACCGATTTTGCACTCAGCTTAATTTGGATGTGGATCTTAATCTCAACCTTGCTCTCAACCTCGACCTAGACCTTGTATTCGACCTTGCGCTCGTCCTTGATCTAGTTTTCAAATTTCAACTCTTGAACGTGGCCCACTAGCGTAGAAGTTGATATTCTTGTGCGTTCTCGCGGGTGTGTACTTCGGAGAGTGAAAATTCGGATAAGGTGAAGTACGAAACTAAAAACCGCGTCACGGAAGAAAATGCTGCTTTCGACCGGTCGTTCTTTACTTTGTTTCGAAGATAAAGTGTCTAGACGTTACCGTGTCCAGCAGTATGTTGTGAGCAGGTTAGTTCGCGACCGACCATTGGGCGTTTCTTCTCATCGTCGACCGTTCCATCGAGTATCGAAAGAATATCGCGCGCGACGAAAAGTTCAAGAGAACGTGCGACGCGCCTTCAGATGCGTTTGAGTTCCGGATGGGACTGCGAGCTCGCACACAAGACATGCTGCCTATGAGTCCCGGCTAGTCCCACTTACCAACCAACCAGAAACCCCTTGACTATGCGTGGAATCCTAAGCTGCATCATCTCCACCAATCCTCTAGCTTCGTTCGCGTTCTACGTTCACCTATACACCGGCGACTGTATAGCCTAGCTATGTATACCAGCACACCTACGATAAGCTACGTCCCCGTCTTCTCGACAGAGGTACGGAACCACAGACCCATGGAGTCGTGATCCAACAATACAAGTTCAACATCCAACTTCGAAATGAAATACAGCCACGCGATCTAAGTAAATCCGCACGGTTCTCCACCAGCCAGCCTCTCCGTTATCGGCTCTTAGCTAGCTACATAGTTTCGACCAAGTGACAGAGTCGCTAAACCAACAACGTCGACTCTGTTTTTTATCCTCCATTTTCATATTTCTTTTCTTTTTTTTTCTTTTCTTTTCTTTTCTTTTCTTTTCTTTTGGTTCTAATTTTTTCCCAACCTGTTCCCATTTCTACTTCTTTTTATCTTCTTTATTTACATTATCAGTATTTTCCTTCGGTTGTTCCCTTTTCTTTCGTTCGTGTACTCCCTTTTCTCTCTTTCCTCCTCCGTTCGGTCAACGAAACACTACGATCCGACGATTTTGAAGGAAACGCAGCTTGTTGTTACCGCAGTTCGCAGTTTTAAAGTGCGTAATGGAAAGCACATGTTAGCACATGCCCACAATCTTCTGCACGAAAATGTCCTCCTTCAAAGTCACGACGATCTACCGTTATCGTCAGTAGGACACGGCTATTCATGCATAAAGTGCACCAATTGATTCTTCCGTCGATCCAGCGATACGAAGAACCGACACGAAGCAATTCCAGTCTGCTGCCTTTTTTCATCTTCTATCTTTTTCCGTGAAACCAATTCCGTTGCGTCGTTTCGTTATCGTTATCGTTATCATTATCATTATCCAAAATGCAGGGATAGGGTTCGCGCGCATACGAAATTTGAAAAAGTCTCGAAGGGAAAGGAATCGGAGCATCGCGGATAGCGGTACCGGTATTTTTCGCGAGTTAGATCGAATACCAGAAAAGTATATCGAGCATGAAATTGCACTGCGTTTCCCATCGACAAACTATTAGACATAGTTGGCTAAATTCCTTGACATTTCTACTATACTCTGTATGTATATCCTTGGACGATAGCTGTGTGCTCGCGATCGTACGATTCTGCTGATCATTTGTTCGTTCGCTCGTGTTCGGTTGCTTTCTCGCTCTCATTGTTCACCGCGGTTTTAGTCGGAACGACGAGACGAGACGCGACGCGACGCGACGCGTCCTTTGACCGAGGAATCCAACAGTCGCGATAATTCAATTTCTGAATACGTGATCGGAGAGAATTGGTTCTGGGCTAGAAATCGAAAAATTTCGACAAATTCTTTTGCCGGCAATGCTGTATCGAAAGAAGCAGATCAAACTACAGTAATGTTTCCATGAATGCGACGTACTCGGGTCCGCTTCGGAGCATTCATGGCAAGATGAGAAGCTTTTCCATCCCTCAAAAATTTGTTTTTTGCCCTAAGCCGAGCCTCTGCTTATGTAGTTTCTGTTTACCTTCTTTTCACTGATTCCAGAGGGGAACTTCCCCAGTGGTGGGAGTGGAATGACGCCGTTGCTCGTGTCGCATTTATCGGGGAATCACTGTAGTAGAAGTCGCGGTACAGTTACAGTAGGTAGTTAATAATTTCCTCGATCGTACGCTGTACGAAATATACGGTGCTGAAATATTCATCTAACAAAGTGTAACAACGTTTCTCTTCCACAATGCGACAAATATATGTTTTAAACTAGAATTTTAAAAGGCACCATTCGTACGGATTGTTCAGTTTTCTTTGAAAACTGAAAAATTATTCTATGAATCGGCGTTCACGATACGAGAGAGACAATCATAAAACATGAGGTTTAGTAAACGGATGAAATATTTTCTAAACAGTACATAAAATACCGCGCGGGCATGCTATTCCGATAATTTAATTTTATAGTTACACTAGACTAGACATTCGTTTATTGCATATTTCGGGGCGGTACGGGGTACGGGGTACGGGGCCAGAAAATCCAGAAATTCTGCAATAAACGAGCGCCAATCATCAGCCGTTCACTTGTACCACACAGCTACATATGAGGTGGGCTGCTGGATGTACGCACTTTTTGATCACCTTGCTATCTCCGTTATTTTTAGAGATATCAAAAATATTTATTCATTCAAGTTTCTCGAGCATCGTAACATTTTACTAAAACAATATTCCATACACCTCACATTGTTTCTTCCTTCTTGCTGGGCAACTGAGTGGGGTATGCGCACGTGTGTGAGCGAGGGGTGTTGCCAATATACAATTAAACGAACTCCATTTAACGAATGTTTACTGTATCATGCTATTAAAAATACGACAACAATCGCCTCTTCTCCTAAGTATTTACTTGCTTACACAGGTAGTGTTGCACGTTGCGTTGTTTCAGTTTCATCGCTAGGAAGTCTATGCAAATTCGTTCGACTTTCAAATAGTTTCTAGTTACCTTAGGAGCGGGCATGCTGTTATGTACATAGTATGTACAACAAATAATTAAGGGGCTAAATTTTCAAATGTACTGCTTTCGTATTATATCTACACTCTACTGCCTCTCGTGTATAACAATATAATATATATGTATGTATGTAATAGATGTGATAAGTACTATATGCTATATGTATACTCCCCTATTTCTGGGGACGCAACTTCAAGAACGTTTCGCCATCTGTCGTCGCTAGGCAAAAACAATAAACTGATGTGCTGAAGATGTTACGCTGTCGATCAATACTTTCGATGGATCAGGAGAAAATTGCTTTTTAATTCTCAAAATCCTTCGTGGAAATCAGACTTTCATGATTTATTTTCTCGTACCAACTTAATTATACCAGACTTGTCGTCTGCAATTCATTGATCCCAACTTTCCAACAACTTCTGGTATGGAAAGAAAATCGCGTAAATATTTCTGTCGTTTTATTAAATACATACGTGTAATCGCTGTTACAACTGTTTCTACGATAGTAGTGCATTAGTGTTATCATCGTAGTAACGAAAACGTACTTAATAATACTACAGTCATTCTTATCGATATACTTATACTATTACTTTGAAAATTAAAATATTTACAAGAACAATACGCATTACATAGGTCTACCACATTTATTTACTATAAACGTAATGCGAAAAGAAACTCGTGGACAATATAGAGATGGTATGATGTGAAAATAGACGGAAACGGTATTAATAACTTTAACGAACCAGCACGTTTATCGTACTTGACATCGTACCCAACTGCTTCGTTTTCGCGGATTATGTTCCGTGAACATTACACATTCGAAAAGTCTGATTGTTAGTTTCAAATGGAATACGTTCACCATTCGATGCATTACGATTCCTTAGTATGTTTTAGGATTCAGAGGAATTAACAACAACAACAACAACAACAACAACAACAACAACAACAACAACAACAACAACAACAACGACGACGACGACGACGACGACGACGACGACGACGACAATACATCGTCCTCGATTTTTAATGCCATTGTAATTCCGAATCAGCACTTTCACTTTAGTTTCTTACAATTCGAATGATAAAAAAATACAGGCTATACAAGCTATACAGGCTATACAGACTATACAGGCTATACAGGCTATACAGGCTATACAGGCTATACAGATTATGTAGATATAATAAACGGACGCTTCATACGGTGTAAACCGTTTCAGAATGATGCGATTGCGAAGGCACGCAATATCCGCTATAAGTCTTAATCTCCAAGACGCCGGAATAAGATCTTGCTGGAAAGGAACCCGGATCCGTGTGACGTCTGGGACATCGATGACCCTTCGGACATTGACAAAGGGGCGAAGCGTTCACCTCTTCCAATTGCGAGTTTCGTCTCTTTCGTACCGTGAACAGTCGACATGGCTCCTTGTGCTGACAGCGAAGTCTCTGAAATCGAATGTACCTTATTCAAGTTGGTTCGCCTTTGATTGCGCGCCGATTCTCTTGGCTAGCTTGTTTGTTTGTACATTTGTACGCGAAGCGATTGGTCAAACAAACGTATCCGACGTCTGGTAAACGTATACACGCAAATGAAAACGACTAAGAACGCGAAAAAAAAAAAAAATAAAGAACCTGGAGAACTTACGCTTTGCGGAGAACATGCAAAAGCATAAATAAATCCTAGAGTTCCCTCGGGAGATCTGTGCGCTTGTCTTCGAACTAGGTAGGGTACGCTGCCTGGCCGACAGCGACAGTAAACTCGTTGAACCGTCGCGTTCGCCAGGCCCCCTCCAGGAGCCAGAGTCCATGTGATGTCCCTGCAAATAGCAAACCTGCAAATACCAAAACCAAAACCCGTCCTCTCTGTCTAGCGTGCGTCTACGGGACTCTAGGCGACTCTACGCATCTCTACGCGATTTTACACGCGTTACAGCGTACAACGTTGTGTACGTTTCATAGATTCATTATACTTGGCTTGACAACCGACTAACTTGAAATAACGACAGACAGGAAGACGTTTCACTGGCTCGCACAGCTTATACTGCCGTGTTTTATCGACTATCGTGTGCCCATCGTCTCCGTGCAAGCTATTAGGACAGGTACGGCCATCCGGACAACGACATTGTCTCTCGACCCACGGCGACCCATATAAATCCACCTTGCTGCAAACTTCACTTCGGTCCGAACATTCAGGCAACTCCTCCTCGCTATCCTGAAAATCCAAAATATTCATTACCACTTTTAGTCGACGACTTTACGATCTTTTCTGTTCGTAAGTCAGTATTTTTTTCGATCCAGTCGGACGATATCACGAAATAATTCATATCGATCGATCGCAACAACTTGCCATAGAAAACCCGGACACATATTTATCGGCTCTGAAATATTATGTAGCAACGATTCATACATACGTATCTACGTGTCCGTAGGCGTAGGTATACATATGTATGTAGTTCTATTACAATTACACATTTAGGTTGTTTGGATAAAAACTTTTTTCCGTGTAGTACGAATTCAATTGTTCGACCAAAAATCAAGAAATTCCACAATTGTCCGAACGTGCACGTAGATGAATCAACGTCACGTCGGCGTCCTATCTACAGCACGATCGCTATCGTTTCGTTTTCAATTTTTTCTACGTTCCTCTGTGGCCTCTCTCAAGTCGACGTGTAGATAAAAACTTAATGTTCCACTAGAGATCAGAATGCAGAGATACAGAAGAAATTAACATTCGCGGTTCACGAGGTTCAGTCAACTACAGAACGAAGAACAACGCCGGGATCCGTTAGTCCTTCGAAATAAAAAAACTAATAAAAGCTACAACAAGGTCGATAGCGGATCATGGTTGCCGCACCGTTCAACTCGAGTCCAGTGCTAACTAACTACACGAAAAGATAAGGTTGTACTGCTTCTATTTCGTGGAAATCATGCGACACACCGAACACAGTATTTTTATACAGTTGCTTTCCCAAAATATTTTTATCAATCATTTAGACCCCGATTTGCTTGAAAATTAACCGTGAGAAATATCAATTTATCGAGACACTTCTTGTAGAATGTTCTTTAATCGTTTCAAAAGATAGTCGTAAAAAGATTTTTGTTCTCTAAGTCGATCTATTATTTTCGATGTTATTCCGGAAACGTATTACGTATCACAACGTTTGACGTTTGTACGTTTCCGAAATTGAAAATTGACTTGTAAATAGCGGGGTATGTAGAGATGCTTACTAACGATTCTTTTACTATTCGATAATGGTATACAAAGATTGTATGCTATTTGACGAAGTAAAGAAAATTTGCGAGATCGTTGGACGGAAGGATGGACGAAATTGCAAGGGAGCAGGGAGGAGGGATGGAGGCGGTAAACGATGCTTAGTCGAAGGAGGGGGGAGAGTTGAAGAAGAAGTAGAAGGAAATTCTGTAGCAAACACGTTAAAGAGTACGCATCTCCCCACTCTCCAAGAAGGAATAGACATCTGGTCTAACTGCACTATTCAAACAGCGTCGGTCAATCCACTGAATGAGGCAATCGCGTACGTCCTGTCGAGCCGTCGCTGCCAATCTACGCTACGTTCGATAATCTCAGACGAACTTTACAAATTATTTCTTCACTCCTATCACAAACGTATCGACGTTTTTTTTACAGTCGTCAACGTTTCCTTGACATTTTCTAATCCAACCGATACGCAACCTGTGTGTTTCGATCTTTACTTTTTCCGCATCGTTCCAGATGATTTTTACCTACATATTTAGACTGCGAGTAACCCAGCCAACAAAAATCACGTTTTCGTAATCGTCACAACTTGCTCGCGCGAACAGTACTTCAGCTTTCGATTTATTTTGCCTAAAACAGGAGAAAAATAAAGTCGATGATTGCAAGAAAATCTTCTCGAACCCCTGTTCTTTACTTTTTCTCTTTCCTTTTCAGCTTGACCGTCGTTAATGTTGCGAGGTCAGTTACTTGACTACACGTTGTCTATGCTCTTAGACACAACGCATGCCTACGTTTAGGTGGAATGTAATCTAGTCGATGCCATTGTCATTTGGTTGCGCCAACAAATACGTCGAATAAGTATATCGGGCAGCCGAATATATTAGTCGCTATTAAAATCACTTCATGACCCCCACTCTCCCTCTCTCTCTATCTCTCTCTCTCTCTCTCTCTCTCTCTCTCTCTCTCTCTCTCTGCATCGTTGTCGATTCCCTTCCGTTCTCCCATGTTCCCTGCTCTTTCTTTTCTCCCCTTCTTGGTCTCTTCCTCTTGGCATATTCCCAGAAGATCGTTCGTATTAAAGCCGTCAGTGGTAGTAAACTAAAATGGGATAATAGGGGGGGGACCGGAAAGGCTGTGCGATTCATCCGGAAGTTCTCACGAGTCTCTTGCTTCTCTCACAGTCACAGTAAAAATGACACCTGGCTCCAGAGGTACACATACATACATACATACATACATACATACATACATACATACATACATATATATGTTGAGAGGAGAAGAGACGTGTGCGTGTACGCGAAGCGAGCGCGCTCTCTCGTTCCCACTTTTGCTCTCGCTTCTGCTCGTGCACATTGCCAGATGATGCAGAGAAGATTCCGGTATCGGAAATGCGGAAACGCTGTCATGTTGGACCGGCTCGAGCATTCGAAGAATAGGAAGACCCACTAATGATCCTGTCCTCGAAAACACACATAAACGAATACAGCTCGGACAACCACGTTAGAACAGAACTAACGAAATATTAGACCGATGAACACGAGCAAACTAAACCGGATGTGTCCAACAAAAATAAAATTCTTCTGTGATCAACTATACTTTTTACAAATCGAAAATAAATCCATCGTTCGTTGCATCGTCCTCGCATATAAAATGTGTTTTCTCTCAAGACTAATCACGACGCAATAGTTTCTTTTATTTCTTAACATTAGTTATTCGTGGCCGAATTCGTAGTAAACTCGGAATTCCGCACAAGAATCTCGACAAGCAGACGAGTACCTACTTTGTGTTGTGCATCTGATTGCTGTAACGCGGTTACGACAACAAAAAAGGACGAGTTTTATGACCTTTCGAATCCAATCCGTTTTCAACGCGTTTTCGCCTCACAATCACGAGATCAGTTGAATTCAGTTGTATTAACACTTGTATTTACGAACTAATTAAACAAATATCTTGTGATCATGTTACACGTATAAAAATGATTCACTCGATTCCTTACTATTTAAAAAATTCTCAAGGTAAAGGCGAGTTGTTGCGCTCGATCAAAATCACGTACGTTCCGGGAATCACTGGCTAGCTCTCACTCGCAAATTCCATGAATAAAACGTAACTCGATTAGACTTGGATGTTGACTTGTAAGAATATTTATCAAAAAATATTGTCGTCGGCTAATTATCAATTTATCCGTTAATTATACATCTTTTAACGTTTACTCGAAAGAAACTGGCGATACAATTGAACAGTAAAAAAGAAAAGAAAATTTTCAGCACCGTGGGTTTAGAATGGCAATTGAAGGAATTTTAATTGATTAACCGCTGTTAACAGACCAATGATTTCGCCATTTTACGCACAAGTCCCGACCTCGGATATCAAACTTACCCCGATTTGATAAAGAACCCTGGGCGATTGATGCGAAGGACGATGCTTCTTCTTCTGATCGATCAAATCGATGTCGACAGCCGTGTCTCGAAACTCCTGTAACTCGGCCAGATACTTGCCTTCCTCGAGAGACAAGTATTCATTGAGAAATTCTTGGCCGGTCTCATCGAGTTCCACGCTGAGAAGACTAGCCTCGGTTCCGCAAATAAGTAACTGCCCGAACATCGCCAATAACAGACACATCGAATCGGCCATCCTTTCCCGTGCTCGATCGTCCTTGTCGCATACGCTCGATGGGAACGGTAAGGAACGGTTGTTTTCACGATCGGTGTCCGTCACTGGATCGAGTCGAACTTGGGGAAAAATCTTACCAACGCCGATTGGCATTTGAAAGTGAACGAAACCAGTGCATCTGTACACGTGCGTGTAGCACAGGTTACGAATCGTTGCGATTCATTGAAAGCACTTTGCATCGCGAATCGAAACGCAACGTCGCGTCGATGACAAGAAACCGAGAAGATGAGAAAACGGACGATTCGCAGGCAGGTGCGATTGCGAACCCGCCGTGCACGATCACGCTCACGTTCCTGCTCCTGCTCCTGCTCCTGCTCCTGCTCCCGCTTCTTACGTCTCGTTCATCCCGACTACGAGATACCTTTCGGGTACAGATCGACGAATCGACCTATGGAGGCTCACCGATCGATCGGGAATAACGGAATCCGAAAAGTATCGAAACTTTTTACAACAATTTTTCTTCCGACGCTGCTACTTCGAAAGTTTCTTCTAGTAGCCAACTCGAAGACTGCTTCAAATTGTCGATCGATGCTGCGGTCAAGCCTGGGATCAAAGAAACGAAGTCACCATGAATTTTCTTCCTTTCGGCGCGATTTTACACACACGTCATAGAAATCGATCAATCGATCGAGATCATTCACTCGGTCGGTCGGTCCGTCCTTCCGTCTATCTGTCTCCCGGGCGGTCGATTGATTGATCGTTCGATTGACCAATCGAAACAATTCAGATCACTTTCAAGCTGTTGACCTTTTATTATTCCAAAGAGTCCTAAACCTTATGCGGTTACCGGAATCTTATTGCAAGCTCAATCAATTGTTTGATCCTTCCGTGTTTAACGTCGATAAAGTGCATAGTACGCAGTCACCAGTCAACACTGAAGCGTCCAATGTTACATGTTCTCGAGAATAGTTTTCGTTCGCTGAATCGTTGCTCCTTCTGCAATCCACTCCGTTTCTCGTGGCCTTGCCTTGTCCTTTTCTTTCTCCTTCGACTACTATCTTCTTTATCGCACGCCTTGGCGCGTTTTACGTCCTACCTCGCCCGACGCGATCCGAATCAACCCGAGACTAACCGGCGCACAACTTTCGTGCTACACGAACTTGTACCATTCGTTCGACTGGACTTCTAACAGCTACAGGCAAAGCATGAATGAGTGCTCCCTTCTCCTCTCTTCTTTCACCACTCCACTCGACTCGACTCCACTCCACTCCACTCCACTCCACTCCACTCCACGCCACTCCACTCGACTCCACTTCACACTACATTCCACTCCACAGTTCACTCACATATTACACACTACACTGCACTGCACTACACTACACTAAACTACACTTCTTCCACTCCACTGTATTCTACACTACTCTCTTATCAAGGATCACCCTACTTCACTCTATTCTGCCTTAGGCTCGATCCACACTATCGATCCGCTCTCGGTTCGCCATGGTTTAGGTTGGACTTATTCACATATGTCTGATTTACTACTATACTTTAATTTTCAGGAATTTGTATAAGTAGCATTTTGAAAATATAGAAAGCAGTGGAATATCACGTATGGATTAACAGATGTTTAGAAGTGCATAGACACAAATTTTACCCCCGTTCGCACCCTCTAGATGGAATTTCAAAAAATCCTGAAATTACCTTCCAGGCATTTGTACAAGTAGTATTTTAAAGTAAAAAGCAGTGGGATATCTCATTGGGATTAAGAGATACAATTAAAAATTCCCACAACCTTTTTCATTTATCTCTTCTTCACCTCTTTTAGGAGTTGAATTTCGAAAAATCCATTCTTAGTGGTTGTATACGTCCTAAGGGGAAGCTATCCCTAAAATGTCATGTTTCTGACATAAAATCTGGTTTTTCTTTTCGAAATTCTCTTTTCAATTTTGGATAATATCATTTCGAATGTACGCGAACTGGAAAAAAATATATATTATACAAATGGGAATATAATGTGAAATAATCCACATTCGCCTATTGTTTTCACTTCTTTGACACTTTTTACTTTCTTTATCTTCTTCGTCCGGTGCGACAGCAATTATAGTCAGTTGGTTATACAAAAATAAATCCCTGCCATGCTATGGGATAAAATGATTACGAACTCGATAGTAGGAAAATCGAAAATAAACTGAGGGATGTGATCGTGAGCAGCCGATAGTGTAGATCGAGCCTTACTTTTCATAGATCACTCTACTCCACTCTACTCCACTTTACTTCACTATACTGCCATCATTTGTTTATCGTGTCTTTCTGTTGTAGGCCGAGTTATATCAAGACTGTTATGTTCTTCTCTCGTATGTTGCTTATTATATTGACTCTTTTATGTGTTACACTTTTCAAAGACATTTTATTTTTAGTCATTTTATTTCTATTATTGTCCGTATAGTTTTTTTTTCTGCTGATTTACGTGTTTTTCGTTACCCTTCATTCGCCTATTGCAAGTTTCCTTTTACGGTAAGTCTAATGTCCAAGCTCCCCATGCCTATCTATTTTTTTTACTTACGTGTCACTTATCTTGCCATCTGATTTTATCCCTTTAAGAGAGAACGAAATATACATGTTACATAATCGATAAGGAAAAGAAGAAAATTTATGAAAATAATAAGAAAAACTTGTCGATTAAAAGCTCGCTTGGTGAGTATCCACCGTTAGAGAGATGTTGGAACCAGTCGTTTTAATCTATTTTTGTTACGCGGCTAATGTAACATTAATTCGAACCACCTGAAAGATCTGAAGTGAAACTTTTGTATAACACGTTTATATTGCAGCAATCATAGCGTCGTAGTAACTACTCTGCAGATAGTAACGCAGAAAAGGGACCTTGTTTTACAGAATCTTTTGATTTATTTTTATGGAATGAGATGAAAATGCAGAGAAAGGGAATTTACATGTGTAAGAAATATTTCAGATGTTAAACTCTGCGAATCGCATAATCGGCGCGATCCACGTACCCCAGTCAGTATCCATTATAGCACGCGTACCACCTGTGTAGGCGGTTCCTGCTGTTCCCGCGGTTCTCGTGGTTCTCGCAGTTCTCCCAATCAACTCGCGCAAAACGCGTTTCTATTTAAAAGGCACAAGTACTTTTCAAGCTCCCAAAGTTGTGTGGGTACTGAACACGGAGCACAACGTTCTACCTACTCTGATCTCTTCCTAGGCCTACGTTTCTTCGAGTAGATAGCCACTATACAAATTCCTTCCTTCCCTGCTCTTTCTCTAAGTCGCTCTTCAAGTTCTCTCGACTGTATGTATGTAGTTATGTATATGTATATAGTATACGTATTTCGTCATTCAAAGAGAGACAGATGGCAGCAGGTATTGCAGGTAACATGTTCAGCTGGATGACAAATTTGATTCGGAATGTGTACTCGACGAAGCATACACACATTACTATCGGTTTTAATCGGAAACGCTAAAATTTTTACAAGTTTTTCAGATATTTCTATTGTTGATACGTAACAAATATTAATGAGACCCAGGCCCAACTATTTTTCAATGAAAAATCTCACCTATATTCTGAAAAGCATCGGTTTCCCTTATGATACTGTTCGAATATATTGCATGTACATTTGTATGATTCAAGTGTTTCGCAATACTCATTGATTACCTACCTTCTTGATCGTATACATATTTACATATGTATACTATACATACATGCATACGTTGAACAGCAATCGAAGACGCGGCGTGGAGATTAAAGGACAAGACGATGATCATTTTCAGAATGGACTGTGGTGCGCGCACACGGATATACATATGTATGTATGTACACTGGGCGAGACAAGCATTTCATTCCTTTCTCTTGTTCAGCCGCATTGAAATTATTGTTCGATGTCTTCTTTTCCTTACGCAAACGTTATTCTTTAGAAAACTGGATTTTGGAGAGATTCCTTCTGTTATAAATATCGATAAATACCATGTATCTCTATAGAAACTCGCAATTCAATATAAAATATACTGTTGCCAATTGACAATTTAGGTACGAAAAGTACCCACTGTACGATCTAAACGCGCAATAATGCTAGTAATTGCCGATCAAATAGTACACTTACACACACACACACACACACACACACACACACAATTGGTATGTTCGCCGCAATTGCAATAGATTTTCCAAGGACCGCGTTTGAGGATCGCTGTTTCATTGATGGAGGCCACGATCCATTCACTCCTACTTTCTCTCTTTTCCTCTCCAATTCTTGCTCTCTCATTCCCACTCTCTCCATTCGCGAACGTCTCGAGCAACGTAGCTTTTCTCTCGCTACTCTCTTATGCGCTCTCCTCCTGCTTCTGGAAACGAATAGATCCGACTCGAATTTTTTGAATTACTCCAATCGAATCCGTTTCGATTCGGTCGGATTGGATCGAATAGAATAACATTCGTGACAACATACATGCTCGAGTTACTCCGTTGACCAAACAGGACTAGTTAATTAGACTTTTTGACCTGTCTGTATATTCCGATTGTTCCTCCTCTCCTTTTTGGATAGAGTTGTATCGTAACACCTCGTACGAACACAAATTACATACTTACATATGTATATCAGGGTATAAAGGTGGATCATCACACTATCCTTCTAAACCTAAACACAGCTGGTGGTTGTCAGTTGTCGGTAACCGCGAAGCCATCGTGAAAATATTCTTCGGTGTGTCTTACACAGTACCTAATATTCTACATCTACTACATTGTTTCTGTAGCGATTTCACGGAGAAGTACTTCCGAGGGAAGTAAGGATCCTATTCCGTAAACAAACAATCAGTATCCAACTTGATTCGTAAGCTTGAATCTGAATGATATATTAAAGTTCGGTCATCCTTGTCGGTTGTCCCCGAAAAGGGAAAAATACAACAAGATTAGAGCAAACGAAACCTGTCGCTGGATAGAGACACTCGTCTTTCAAATTTCGAACGATCGTACGAGGCAAAGGTTAGAGAAAAATTCACTCATTGAAGAACCACTGACTTAACATGAATGGACTCTCGACGAAGAGAGGGGTGCTGCGCGGCTCGGCAACAGCAGAAGTGTGATACATGTATGTATGTATGTATAAGTGGGACTTTAATGTACGTACACATACATATGTGTATGTATGTATAATTGGAATCAGACCGGCTCTCTGAACTGGTGGATATACCTTCGTATACAAATTTTCCCGGCTTTGAGAGACAGACATAAATCACTCTAAATACGTGTGAACGAATCATTAATCTGATACGTAAAAATAGAGGAAATTTTCCAGATCACTGCACATCGAACATATTAGACTCGACAACTTTGACCCAGATTTCCCGAAATGTTTCAACTTGAACCAACTCGACTTGAACATGTCCTTCCTGCAATACGTCGGTGTAGATATATCTACATGTAGTGTCATTATCCACGTAATATTAACTACTCACTTCGTCAATTGTATTCAAAATTCAATCGGATTCGAACTTTTTTCTATACCATTAGGCATAGATCAAGAATATCTTAGTGTAGTAGGTAATATAGAGTTGACTTATAAGCTACAAAGATACATCTATGTACACCTGTTTCATCGATACGACAAAGAGAGCTTTCTATCCGATTACAGATTTTGAAACTGTATAAAATTAAAGAAGTTTTCTCCAAGTTCTTGGTGTACATAAGTTCATGTTTGTAGCACTCGGAGGGAGGCTACGCGTTGGCATATAAAATACAATTTCTTTACAAGTACCTACATACCAGATCATAGTATACGTATAGTATGTATGTATGTATATCAAAGTGTTGTTTCGTGTCGTTTATTTAACACATAATCATGTTGAACTTTATAAAATATACAATGAACGTTTCTCTTTTGTCTTTCTTTCAACGACAATAGAAACAGCAGCAGCAATAACAACAACAACAACAACAACAACAACAACAATGATAATATGTATAAAATAAAAGAACGTGGTGATCGATTGTGTTTCAGGAAAACTATATGCCGCGTTCGGAAAGCGACAAGGCCGTGTGATTGCTGCGGAAAGTGCTGGATTCGGCAGACAGTTTCGTGTATTAGCAACCTTACCTGTGCCGGAGAGTTTTCAACTTACTAGAGAATTGCGAACTCAAACATCCGGGCTGGCTAGTCCTCAACTGGTTTTCAGTCATTGGGAGGCAAGTTTTATCATATCGAGAACCGAGCATTCCTCTGTATTTTTTTCACTTTCCTTGATCGAGGACTGACCTCGCGTGTAGCCAACCGTTATTTCTATTACAATTAATAAATCCTTACCCTTCGGCTAGCGGGCTCCGGGTCGTTTGTGACCTATGCCTTGAATCTGGTTTGTGTCACAGTTATAAAACTGTACCGCTCGGGTCGTCTAATTTGAGTTATCCACAATTTTCCTTTTCTTTTAGCGATAAGCGAGGTCAAGATACAGCGAAGAAACATATACTTTATACAGTATTCAGTATACTAGCGATCAGGCAAGGCACATTAAAACAAGTGTTTCACAGTTCGCTATCTGTGGGTTAAACGACTTTACGTTCGATAATGTCGAAACGTATACCACCGTATTAATGTCCTTTTCTTCCTCCTCTTTCCCCTTTTTCATCATCATCATCATCATCATCATCATCATCATGATCATCATCATCCTCATCATCATCATCATCATCATCATCATCCTCATCATCATCCTCATCCTCATCATCATCATCATCATCATCATCATCATCATCATCATCATCATCATCATCATCATCTTATCCTTCTTCTTCTTCGATGTAGAGATTTTTATTGTAGTCGGTATTAAGTTTTTCTTTTATGTTGTAGGTAATTGAGCAAGATCCTTACTGGACACCTTCCACGGACGAAGAATATCTTCATTTCGGCGACAAAGCGGACAGCGGGAATAGAGCCAAGAAATATATAGATGCAGTCCGTCGACGCAAAGGTCTAGCCGTTGACTCTCAGCTTGTTACGCATGCGGAAAAGCAACGTACTCTCTCGAAAAAGAAATAACTCATTAGTAGTGTTTCATCCGAAGGTCGTTGTTACGTTTTCTCAGTCACCGGCACAGCTCTAGAAAAAATAACTCGAGAAAATTTGGAAATTTTCCAACGTAAACACAACATGTACGCCCCGCCCCGTTTAACTGTTTTGTAAAATTAATCAAGTAAAGGTGTGCCGATTATACGATATTACGACTCGATAAATTTCTGATAAAACTTTTCATTCGGTATATCATAGACAATTACCCTTTTTGTAAAAGAAGATCGTATCATCTGTTATACAAATATGTATGTACATATTTTGAACGGACTGTCCCTTGTCTGTTTACAATATCCTTCTATACGTCGACAAAGAAATACAAGCTTATAACATTGTATGCGAGGCAAGAGAATTTGAATTTTTTCGTTTTCGAAGAGTACCTCGCAACAGATGGAGCTACAGTCTACAGTGGTAGCTACGATGACCTACTGCGAAATTCAACTAAAGTCCAAGTAAAATATGTTATATGTACGATATGTATCTATAACAAATACAAAGTGGCATTTCGATCGATTTTGAATTAATCTTGTGTATTGTTATACTTATAGAAATGTTTATTTTAAATTCAAGAATAGAAAATTGAAGATTATTCTTCCAGATTTATTCAAGCTTTTCTCTTCATTTTACGTAACAAAGAGCACATAAAGTGATCTTCATTAAAAATTTTTGATCAATTCTGCTGTAACGTAGCGATAAAGTGATATGAAATCGTACATGTCAAAAAATTTTGTTATAAATACTAAAACAATTATTTTGTTGCAATTTTCCGTGTTAAAGGACGCTATAAATGTATAAACATCCGCAGTCTAATGATTATGATAGCATACACGAAAATGTTATTTTTTGGGAACATTTGCTGGCAGACAGAGGTCAGACAGACAACCATGTATTTCGACGGCATATATATAATTGATAAAACTGGACAAAAAGAAATATAAATTTAACGATATCGAATACGACGTACAATTGAAAGATAGCAAACCTGTTGGATATATTGCTTAAGATTATACCCATTTAGTATTCACTTATGGATACATTAAATTAAATGAACTTCTGAGACGCCAAACAAAAGAGAAACAACGTACTTTGTATAAATTATTCCCAACTTCAATATACTTTGAATAATATTTGTGAGATAAATTACAGACACTACCTCCAGAATTTATGCGCCGATCCGTTAACGCGTTTATCGGTTAATTACGGTTGAAACGTTGATAGAATGTGCATCGTAACTGATCACCGCAAACGTGCAAAAAACAAATCTGACAACGATTTACGTGTAAAACATACTTAGGCGCTGGACGCAATGACCCTTTCATCAAATTTAAGCGTTAATTTTCTTGTCTTTGTGAAGTCATAGCCTTTTTGTACAATTTATAACTCAAATCTATATTTAAATAAAAAACGAAATAAACCCATATATTTATTTTCTCTTTTTTTTTTCGTCAATCTATATAACGTGTATAGCAATTTCTTTATGTAAATACCAAAAGAATTTTAATACAGAAATTGTAACTTGTTTAATTAATCCTCGTTGAATCGAATCTTCTTCCCTTGAAAACCTTGCTTCATAAGGTCTTGTTGCTTTCTTCGTGCAGCCCAAGAAGGATGTAAATTTTCACTTCCCATAAAATTTATGCAGCTGTAATTTCCATGTACAGACGTTTCCTTGATCCTAGGAACATCTTTTTTCTGCATACAAAGCATTGTACCTGCCTGCTTACCACTATTTTCAGGATACAAAGTGTCCTTTTTATATACTTTTTGCATTTCGTTGCTTCTCTTTTTGCAAGTTTTATCCTTTTGCTCTTGCAAAAATGTTGAAACACCCAAACACGAAATGACCTTGTCCGAAGATAAGAAAAAGTCGTCTGCTCTTGTAACTGAGTCAAGCATCCGAGAAGCTTGCTGCTTGTTACATTTGTCATATTCGTTGCTCGCTCCCAGCTGACTTGATTCCTGCAAAATATCTGTGAATCTTTTAACAGTAGCCTCTTTGCTTACAACTTTGGTGTCAGACATTGCTTTCTGATCATTACTTTGGTCATTAATCCCTTTAGATTGTTCACTCTGTCTATTACCTTCTAATACACGAGATAACCTCGTTTCTGATAGCTTGTCATGTCTTGCATCCATTTCTGTATTCCACGGTTGATTTGTGCATTCTAATTGACTTACAGAGGTAACGCAATCTGGACCTTTTATGTCTTCTGTGTTTAATGGAGCATTCATTTTATTTGTAGTGTTTGGGAATTCTCTTGAATTCTTTTTACTGCAGCCACTTGCAAGATCCTTCCTCTTTTTTTTCGAAAAATGCTTCTTCGATGAAATGTATTCTTCATAATTTGGAAACTTCTTTGTAAATTCAATTATTTTAGTGTTTAAAGATTTGTAACGAGCGACTTTTACCATAGCCCTAGACTTAACGTCTGACTGTGAATACTGTAATATATCTTGCATCTTTTCCGAATTAACAATTCCAAATTTCGATATCTCATCGTCCTTGATATGTTTCAAAGCAAAAACCTCCCTCAAAAGTTTATCTGCTTTATTTTTATTCTTCTCTAATTGTTTCTCATTACCACGATTGATTTTTAGTTTTTTAGCTTCTCTAATCAATTTATTTATTACACATATACGAGCCTGACGAACGCACTGCCTCAATAATACAATCTAAAAGAGCAAAGAAACACAAATTATCAAACTATGTAGGAAAAAAAAAATAACTTTTAAAAACTATTAATTATATAAATAGAAGTTTTTTTTTCGGCTAGAAGTACTCAGAATACGGAAAAAGTTCACCTCGTTATTTATTTCCGTCCGGGCTGTGGTCACGATCATATTGTCAGCGAAATGGTCGGGCTAAAGCTTCAAAATAAATCGTGTATGGAGCACAGATGAATCGGGATAGTTACACACACCTTGTTGAATTTTTATATAATATATACATTTCTTTGCGTAATATGTAAGTATTAGTAAGTATCGAAAGTATGTCCAGTACTTATGTACTTACAATATGTACCTATTTACATAGATCCCCGTTGAAAGAATGCGTGCCTGTCACAGGAGGAATACACTACTAGACACTAAATAAATAGCTATTTATGTATGTAATACTTAGATATATTATATATTATATACATTCGTAAAAGCTGGTAAAAATAAAGCAACCCCATGAAACATCATGAAACATGTTTCAAATGGTATATACTGGTACATATACTTGGTACTTACTTCGGTACTATTTACATAAATCTGTCTGTATAGTCGAAATGATTGAAATGTTTAAATACTTCATTTAAGTCTACCATAAAGTGAACAGATTAGAATTGCATGAATAGGTATTGATATACATATATACATATATACATACATACATACATACATACATACATACATACATACATACATATATGTATATACGTACACTGTTGATACATGTTTTCAAACATTTTTCAATACACGTATAAAAATATTTATAATACGAATGACTATTTACATGTAATATACGTACGTACGTTGATTATATGACACGTTGACTAAATAAGCGCCCTCGAGTGACCGTACGTGTAGACACTGACGTTTTATCCGTTTTATTAGTCGCGTTGTAGAAACGTCACGTTTTGTGATGCGCACACTGGTGCAACGAGTACAGTTAACTTCTTTTCTGTAACTTGAATGTTAACGTAGGAGAAATTAATTTTTGGTTAAAAACGAAGCTTTTGAATTGACATTGCGACTGTGACGTTAAATTGTTAAAAGAGGGTTGAATTGTAACGAGGCCGAGGCCGAGAGGAGCTGTACCGTTTCTATGACCGTGACTGATCTCTCTCTCTCTCTCTCTCTCTCTCTCTCTCTCTCTTTTTCGCTCCGTACATATATGTATATATGCATATAACTTATATGTATACATATGTTGGCCACGTATGTAGGAGGTAGGTACGTGCGTACACACAATCACAATACGATCACCAGCAGTTTTACAGTTAGTGGTTTTTAGATGTTCTACTGACATGGAGGTAAATTACATGCACTCTAAGTAGTGGTTGTTTTTAGGAAATTTGAAAAACAACAAATATAACTTGAAAAGTTTCAGAGAGAAATCGTCGAATGACCTTGAATCATGGTCAAGCGATCGTTGGATCTTTTAACCCAATGTGTCAGACAGTCTTGGTTTTTAAATTAACAAGTTTCTTTATTTTACTCGCGGTAATTTATTTGCGTGTCATTACTTGAGTGATTCGATTTGTTACACATCTTCAGACAAAAATGCAAAAATTATGAACAATAACAAACAGTTTATGTGCTAGTGTTTATGCGAAAGGTTAGTATTTTTGGCGCTTGAGTGTTTTCGTCCAACTTTGAGTTTCTTCAGTGTTTATTTTTATAATAATGACACTGCGCCCAAGTCCATATTTTGATTTCATAATGCATAGAATATCTTACACTTTAATTCTTTGTGCAAACATTAAGTGAAAACTCTTTATTTACGGAAGTTCCTTTTTCTCCCTCCGTGTCGTATTCCTTTATTCGTTCATGTTCGATCGTATCGACCGATTGTCTCTCGTATCAACGTTATCATCAAACCTTACACGAATATAAAATTACCAATTGTTCACAACATGACAGTGTAATTTCTACAGTACAATAAGATACAATTTGTTTCGAGATTATCCTTCTTGTTATGTTATTTTTTAATTTAATACACATTTGTAATGTATGAAATTATTCTAAATCTATACTTCCATGTTTTCTAAATCTTTCTCCATACCGTATTACTTTGTCTAATCTTGGTCTATAATTTTAGGTTTTACTTAAAACAATCTTAGTAAAAGCGTTTTACATATTGGATCATATTATCCAAAAGAAGTTATAAGCAAGGATGAGTTGTGTTCGTTGTTGTTTGATTAGCGCTGGTCGCTTAGCATCTTCCAATCATATAGCTAATCATGGTAAACATTCAATGTGTATTTCTTCTTGCAAAGTAAAAGATTGTAATTCATGGAGAAATAATTCAAATGTCTTCTGTTTTAGTTCATAAAATTGTGAGAGTAGCAGTGACAAGATCGTTGACAATTAGTAGTACTTTAGGAAAAGCACCTACAGAACCTACTCCACCTGGCAAAGATAATAACACCGGGGCATCCTCTGTAGGTAACGGCGGAGGGAAAAAGAACACACTTACTTGTCCAAAATGTGGAGATCCTTGTACTCATGTAGAAACCTTTGTATGTAAGTAATACTGCTTGAGCAATTTAATGATGCGACCTTTTGTACCTAATCAGAATATAAAAATTTTCCTTTCTGTTTTTCCTTCTTTTTCTATTTAGCATCCTCCAGATTTGTAAAATGCGAAAAATGCCATCATTTCTTCCTTGTACTGTCAGAGATCGATTCGAAAAAAAGTCTCAAAGAAGCATTAAGACCGGATGATACTAAACAAGGATTCTATAGGAAACCACCGCCGCCACCAAAGAAGGTAACAGTTTTATTGAAGCATTATTTAAAAGAAAATATTTTCCAAAGATGACACAAGAAACGTAATTGCATCTGTATAGAATGTTTTTCTAAAAAACCTTTTTTTCGCGAATTATGTATATTTACATATGTACATACATGCGATGATAATGTAGAGTAACAAGTGTTTTTGGTGTTTTCAGATTTTTGAGTACCTAAATAAACACGTTGTGGGGCAAGAGTATGCAAAAAAAGTATTGAGCGTCGCCGTTTATAATCATTACAAAAGAATCTATAATAACTTGCCAGTGCAGAATTCGATGCAAGGATCTACAAATTCAACTGGTACACAAGATCTGAATCACCCCTTCACTCACAGAGGTCTTAAACCACGTAAATAACAACAGTTTCCCCGTTTTACACTTGATCCCATAGAAAAAAAAAAAACATAACTAGTCCGAGTTCAGGTTTTGATTTCAATAACCTGACAGAGTATTAAATTTGTTCACGTATTTATGCACTTGAACGAAAGAAATTTCTTGTTTTTCTTTATAGACTTATTGCATATTTCGACCATTGGGAATTCACTCGGTGTCGGATTTCAACAGTTTCCCGCGGGAAATGAGCAAAAATCGCCTGGCAATCAATCGGTTCCTGGATCGGATATATTGGATAGCAAGCAGCATCAGTTAAAGTTAGAGAAAAGTAATATTTTGTTGCTTGGCCCAACCGGTAGTGGAAAGACGTTGCTCGCACAGACAATAGCCCAATGTCTGGATGTACCTTTTGCTATTTGTGACTGTACGACACTAACGCAAGCAGGTTACGTCGGCGAAGATATAGAAAGCGTTATCGCAAAACTCCTCCAAGATGCCAACTATGTAGTGGACAGAGCACAAATGGGTATCGTATTTTTAGACGAAGTTGATAAAATCGGTGCCGTTCCTGGCATACATCAGTTGCGAGACGTTGGCGGAGAAGGCGTTCAACAGGGGATGTTAAAAATGTTGGAGGGCACGATTGTAAACGTGCCCGAAAGAAATAGCTCGAGGAAACTACGCGGGGACACTTTGCAAGTTGATACTACGAATATTTTATTTGTTGCTTCCGGTGCTTACAATGGATTAGATAGGTTAATTTCACGGCGTAAAACCGAGAAATACCTTGGATTCGGTGCAACACCTTCTTCCGAGAGCCCGGGACGGAGAGCTGCTAGTCTAGCGGATGTTGCGAATATGTCGCCTTCCACGGAAAAAGATAACAAAGAGAAAGACTTTCTGCTACAACAGGTCGAAGCGAGAGATTTAATTGATTTCGGTATGATACCCGAGTTCGTTGGCAGATTTCCTGTCTTGGTACCTTTTCATACTCTTGATAGAGATATGTTGGTCAAAATTCTAACCGAACCCCAAAATGCCATGGTACCTCAATATCAAATGTTATTTTCAATGGATAAGGTAAGGAGGGAATTACAGAGTTGCACTGATCGGAATGAATATATTCAGAATTTTCAATATAATCATTTGTCGATTCACAGGTAGAATTAACGTTCACCACAGACGCTTTACATGCGATAGCAACACTTGCAATGGAAAAAAAAACGGGCGCAAGGGGACTTCGAGCTATCATGGAGTCGTTGCTGTTGGAACCTATGTTTGAAGTGCCAGGTAGCGATGTGATGTCTGTTCATGTAACTGAGGGTTGCGTACGGGGCAATGAAAAACCACAGTACATTAAACGAGGCGATGCTACCGACGAGGAGTTACAAGCTCAACATATACACAATTAACAAATAATTCAAGCAAAAGATAAATCTCATATTTGATTTTTTCTTTTAAAATGCGAAATTACGCTTGGGATATCATTCTGTATAGAATCGATATATGAACAGAACACGATTTTTTCGACGCATGTCCTGCAAGAGACAAGATTTTTTTTATGTAAAATCAATGTAAACTGTTTGGAAGGATCTTTGACGCTATATTGATTTTTCAAATAGATGTGCGCGCGTATACATACATATACATAGTACATACATATACGTTCATATACGTTCCGATCGAGGCAGTCTCCTGTTTCTTTTGCTTTGGAAGTTTCATATACATATAAAACTGAACATTACAAATTTTCATACACAGTCTCTTAGATTAAATATATTTAGACTGCATCTGGAACAAAAACGGAACATTCGTGTCTTTTGCAAATACTCATAATGATTGTGTCGTAAAAGACAACGAAACCGATAATGCCTGAGCTTCAGAATCACAAGCCTTAACAACATAATTAAGATACGTCGGTATCTCACCTGTTTTGTTTTCAACTTTTAATTTAGGAGACGTAATTTTTAGAGAAATATGAAACTTTATGAATGAAATATTTACGGTTAAAAATCGAAGACGATATTAATGCGCCTATAGGTAAATGAAGAATTTTGTAATATATTGTACATATTGATAGTTTAGCTAAAGTGACGAAATTAAAAGTTTAGGAATTGTATACAGATACATAAAAGTAACTTTCAAGTAGAACTTATATTAGCGACAATTTTTTAATGATACATATATACACGTGTATGTATCATGTACATTATGCAGTAGTTTCTCAGTTAGTGTCACATCATTCGAGACCGTTGCGTAACATTAAGTAAGGAACAGTAAAGTTTTTATTCGAAACAACTCATCAATACTTAATTTCATCAGTGAGTCATGAATCGAATACTATTAAAGGGTTTGATATAGAACAACCACGACTGAACATCGGGATAGATTGCTAAGAATAAGACAAGCAGCGCGCGGGTTGAATAAATCCTAGAGAATACTAGTAATAGATGGGTTCGGTTTATCCAATTGAAACTAGTTCTTCAAACACACCTTTATTCGGTTCATTCTCCACTGTACGTATTACAAATCTGTTTGCAAGTCTAACAGTTCCTCTTAATGTTAGTTAGTACGTCAATCTTCTTAGAATCACCACAAAAGTGAAAAATATTTCAAACGAAATAGTATGTATTTCGATTTGTTTCCATTGACGAGGTCTCACTTATTCATTGATAATGCTCCTACCATTATACATACATATGTATACATATGTATAATGTGTAATGGAATAATTCGAATTTTTCTTATGTATTTTCGGAGACACGATCGGCGAGTTCTTACTACTCGACAAGCAGATGCAAACCGTAATAACAGAGCGAAAAATCACTCCGGCAAGACTACAAATATAGAAAGTGATAAATGTATACTTTCACCTTAAACAGGAGTAGTAATTTACCATTGATTGAGGAGCTATCGTATACGCGATAGATACAAAAAATGGCTGTGTAACGTATAACACAAGATGAAAAAGAGTAAATACACACAGGAAAGAGTCGGCAATCGTTACTAAAAATTAACTACCGTTTTATAAGAATGTATGTCAGTTTTTCAGGTTTGCCGAATTCATTTTTCTTTTTTTTAATAGTAATAAATTAAGCGATTCAACAGTCAAGTACAGTATATTTCTTTCTTTACTACCACATATTTTCATAATCGATCCGACGTTCTCAATAAATAGTACGAGTTCTTTAACTCAAGCATCTAATGTGAAGTGTATGGTACAGTTCGAAGCAATTTCTAAGAAGAGTATGTTTTTGTACTCATGATGTTCAATGACACAATGCTTGTAGCATTTTCATTACTAAGAAAGAAAGAAAGAACGAGTTTCAAACAATAGGTTCAATCAATTATATACGTGATAGTTTCGAAATTTGGTTTACTGTTGTCTTAAATAGGTTTACATTGCTACATAATGAACTGATTCAAATTAAACTGCTTGGAATTACTGAAAATTTTAAGTTATCATATACCACTGTTACTTGATCTCAACTATAAGGTCAATTGTACAATTAGTAGATGGAAAAAAGTGTTAATCGTATGTTCAGAATTACCAATCGGAAATAAAGTACAAACGTTATTTACCTCCTACATTTCGTTCAAATTCCAATTTGGAGGTTTCCGAGGCCCTTTTGATTTTAATGTTATTGTTCTTCCCAGTTCTGTCAGAATCCATTTCATTGCTCGTACTATTACTACATCTACTGCAAATTGTAAAAGAAGAGCTCCAAACCCTTTGTACAAGCCAAGAGGTCCTTCTGTAGAAATTATTGTACTGTAACAATCCCCTGCTCCACTGTATCCAGTCAATAACGGTTTAACGCTGCATCCTGTATCCAAATTATCGATGATAGTACGTGTACCCTGAAGGTGAAGTCTGTGAATCACTGTTTCCCATGGATAAAACAATACATCTGCCATAAATGTAGAAACCAATGCAGACTGTAGCTCTATATCTAACATAACTTCCTCTGACAGCAAAGCTCTGCTATATGCACCCTTAAAATATTACAGATTATAGTTCAGTATACAGACATTCCAGAAAATTCATCTATTTTACGATACATTCTTGTCAATCGATAACTCACTCGTGCTTCTTGGGAGCGTTTTTGCCTACTTTGCATAATATAACTGGTAACTCCATGTACAGCCGTGGAAAAAAGATACTTCGACACTCCGTAAGCAATAGTTGGTGGCAGAAGAGAATATATAGGAATCAATCTGCCCTTGTTGCTCACTTCGACTAAGCGAATAGCGCCATCACGAAAGACATCCAATATTCCAGGACTTTCGGATGCAATTTCAGCTCGTACTGTTTCAGCTAATGATGCAGAATAAAACGGTGTAGTCAAGCCTATGGAAAGACTGTCAAATTTTCCATTCATATTCCTTGTAAATAGACTTGAACACGAAATTTGTATGCCAATGTATCATTACCATTTCAGAAGAACATGTTGACCGAATGCTTTTAGAGAGTTGTTGCAAGGAATTTCCCTGGAATGAAATATCTTGTTATACATCTGCATTGTGTGTAGAAACAATTAAAGTATTTCAGACCTGTCAGAAAATGCTTCCTGAATATACAAGGTGTTTGGCTACTGATGTCAGACTAACAACAAGACGAAAATCAAAAATAACGAAATTACCTTAGAGGCTTTGTTACAGAGTCTTCATAATGTTGTGGAAGAACATTATGAAGAAAAAGGATTTTTGCGAACAATTCACACTTTATGAATTATGTAACTGGCTACCCCGTAGCATCAGATATGCTTTACCTGCATTTTCGACAATGAACACCTTGAATATGAAATCTTTAACGTAATTTGGTTATTCTTGATTTTCACCTTGGTGGAGCACGTAGAATCACTCCTTAAAGTTTACCAGTAATCACCAATAGCTAAATACCCTACGTACACACAAATTTATAAGCAACAAACAATATATTTTACAACGATCACCTTACTTTGGCCACAGTGTAATTTTAGAAATGATATCTTCTATAGCTAACATCATTCCCTTCACAAGCAAGACTGATCCGATTCCTTTCCATAAAGTGTTTATCCCCTGAGTCTGATGAAGTTGCACAACAACAGGTACCAAGGTAATTGGTATTATATGATACTTAGTCGATCCAGGATTTACTTGGCATTGTCTCCTTAGGACAATGAACGGATGAACTAATAATGTTTCTGTAATCAAACTTGCTAAACCACAAGCTGCTCCGATGTACTTTTTTAAAGTAATATCTGAAAGATGAAGAAATCAATTGAGATGCTATAGTTACATATTTCAATGTTTCAGAAGATAATAACAGAATCTTTAAGACACATTACATTACATTAGATAACTATTTACAATTATTATACATAATTTATTTTGATCCTTCTTGTTCTATCGAAACTTACCGTCAGCAGGAGGACTATCTTCGGCTAAGGGATGCACAACCTGAACATCCAAAGGACGAATAACCTCCTGTCCATAGCATGCATACGAAAAGTTACTTTCACTCTCCCAAGATTTAATAGGTTTTCCACGGTATACCACTTCGTAATTATCCAATCCCGCCATTGTATGATGCAGAAACAATTAAGAATCGTAATTGCACATTGCCAATAGTTAAACCGTTTATTTCAAACACATTTCGTTCCTTTTCGGTTTCAAAACGATACCACTGCATATAACTCCATAAATATGTACATATAGTTATTATTTACCATACATCAATTATGATGATTTAATGCGTGCTTAGGCTTACACCATAATGTACAGTATATACACTTATAGAAACGATTTAAGATAACTGTCTCGACGCAAATAGCAGCAACAAGCAGCAACAAATAGCGAACAATAGCGAATTCGGCAGCAGGTCCGGACACTCCACTTGACTCAACTCAAATGAGACAGAGCGCTGTGCCCGTTGTAATTAATTTAATGACAGAATCGCGCGTTAGGTGGTGTTGGCAGATGCCATATTCGAGCGTACTAGAAAGTGGGGTCATAGACCTCCGGAGCATGCGTAAGAGACCCCGTGTGTACGAGAAAGCGGGGCCATAGAACCCCTGGAACATGTATCAGATACCCCATGTCTGTGAGAAAGTGGGGTCATAAAACCCCCGGGCATACATCATAAGAGACCCCGTGTGTGTGAGAAAGCGGGGTCATAAAACCCCGGGCATACATCATAAGAGACCCCGTGTATGCGAGAAAGTGGGGTCATAAAACCCCCGGACATACGTAAGAGACCCCGTGTGTGTAGATGTATGTACATATTTATTTATCATGTATACTTATCTTATATTATGTATATCGTATATAGTTTATACATACGTTTATGTTTATATGTTTTATATTAAATATTTAAATAAATATATAAAGTATAGTATTGTATTTTATTCTCTCTCAACGCAGAAACAACTGTTGTGTTGGGTATCAAGGTTAGGAAAATATAATTCGATACAAGTAGGTATCGATACTTTTGTTACGATACCGAGCAAGTATCGATACCTTCATACAAAAGTAATTATGAATTAAAGTATCGATACCTTGGTGGTATCGATTCAACCCTACCATAAGACCGCGCAGTCAATTATGTGTACATGCTATGGTGTTACCACTGGTTACCAGCAATTACTAGCGTTATTAGCGTGTGTTCACAGGGTTCACAGTGTTACCAAGTGTTACTACCAGCAGTACCAGCCAGTTACTGCTAGTTACTACATTTTGAATGCCGGGTAAGTAATTAATAATTTACATATTACGTATGTATTTAGAAATAAATGATCTTAATGCAGTTTTGAATATAGTTCTTGTGGATAGTATTTTAGAGAGTATTTTACAAACTGAGTCCTCGGGCGTTTACCACTAGCGGCTATAAGTGCAGGTGGTGGAAGTATTGACAACGTGTCGCGGTGTAGTACGTTACAGAAATTGCATCAGCAAAATTATAGCATAAGAAAAAGCATAAGAGGAAAAGGAAAAAAAAAGAAGTTTATATTAAAAGGAAACATGTCCGACAAGAAGAGTCCAGATTTATCACCTGGTAAATATTTCTAATTTAACTTCTGTTCAACATATGTAACAAGATGGTTGCATTTCTAAGAAGTTCTGTTAAACACTGTAGAATTAATCATGAAAGTCAAATTATTATTCTCTCACTTGACGAGACGAGTAAAGAGTTTAAAGAGACTATATACCTCAATATGTATTACCCAATCCAGACCCACAATATTGAAAGAAGACGAAATCCTACAGAACTTTGTTTCAGATGCTATTTATACTTCTCAAAAGAATGGCAGCGATGAAACAGGCAGTGGTTCTGAATGTAATCCCTTTAAAACAATTTTAAAAGCAATGCGTTATGCAGGAAAGGAGCCATTCCCACCAATTTATCAAGATTCTCAAGAAAATGGTAAAAAGTATGAAATAGTTTCTAAGTCACAATTAAAAAAAGCACAAAAAATATGGATAAGAGAACAATATAAAAATGAAGAAAAACAAAAAAAGTTATTGGAGGATGAAGAAAAAAGGTTGAAAAACTTAGAGGAGGCTAAAACAATTGTAATTAAAAAAGACGATACTTTAGCACCTGCTACAGTTATAAAAATTCAAAAAAGCATTCAGTACACAGGTCAACGTGTAAAACTGTTTGGATGGGTGCACAGACTCAGGCGACAAGGTCACAGCTACTTTATAGATGTATAATTATTATTATTGTTATTTAATGATTGTCAATTAACCATTACATATTGTTACAGGCAAGGCATTGATGTTTATTACACTGAGGGATGGAACTGGCTTCCTGCAGTGTGTATTTAATGACATCTTATGCCAAACATACGAGGCATTAACATTATCTACAGAAGCTTCCATCGAAGTATTTGGAACACTCCAAATTGTTCCAGATGGGAAAAATGTATTGTACATATTACAACACCTAGTAAAACAATAATAAATGCTTTTCAAAGTTTTCTAGCCCCTGATTTTCAGGCTCCAAATGGACATGAATTGCATGTTGACTATTGGAAATTAATAGGTTTGTCTCCTCCTGGTGGTGCAGATTCTATTTTAAACGAAGAAGCTCTTCCCGATGTGCAACTGGATAACAGACACATCATGATACGTGGTGAAAATGTACAATAATCCATAGATTCGACCGTTTAACAAAAATCATTTATTTTAATCTTATTGCTTAATAATTTAATCAATTTATTGAACTCCATGTGTTTCAGACATCTCGTATACTGATTATGAGATCTGTCTTGATGCAAGCATTCAGGGATCATTATAGAGAAAATGATTACTGTGAAGTGACACCACCAACCTTGGTGCAAACACAGGTAGAAGGGGGATCTACGTTGTTTAAGCTGGATTATTTCGGGTAATCATACTGAAATGTTGCTCGTTTGTTTCCTTCTTGTTTCAAAGAAACTAATTCTGTTTACTATTATTTGACTGTTCAATTTTCATTTCCAGAGAAGAAGCGTTTCTAACTCAGAGTTCGCAGCTTTATCTCGAGACTTGTCTGCCTGCAATGGGTGACGTTTATTGTATCGCCCAATCTTACAGAGCCGAACAGTCTAGGACTAGAAGACACCTCGCAGAGTAAATGCATACATAGAATTCGTTACATCAATCTTTCGTAGCAGTCGTTGTCATTGAATTTCGAATGTATATTAAAAAGAAACAGAAAAACAAGAAATTCGTACAACGAAAGTTGCTGTAGAGTTTTCAAATTTTAGATATACACACGTGGAGGCAGAGTGTGCATTCATTACATTCGAAGAATTGCTTGATCGATTGGAAGATCTCATATGCGATGTCGTGAACCGTGTGCTGAGTTCGCCTCTTGGTCATCTCGTAAAAGAATTGAATCCTAATTTCAAAGTACCAAAGAAACCGTTCAAGAGGATGAATTACAGTGATGCGATCGAATATCTTCGGGCTAACGGTATAACTAAGGAAGACGGGACATTCTATGAATTTGGAGAGGTATCGATTAATCAGTAGTGGTGCATGTTTGCGTGCGTACATGCGTGCATGTCTCTCTCTGTCTGTCTCCTCTGTATATATATTCATAACAGTTTCTCTCGTTATTTTCAAATTTATGTTTCTTTTATTATCCGAAATTGAATAATATGAAGGCTATCGATTCAGTGATTGCTTCTCTCCCCCTTTCTTTTTAGGATATCCCTGAAATGCCCGAGAGAAAAATGACCGACGCAATCAACGAACCGATAATGCTGTGTAGGTTTCCTGCGGAAATAAAGTCGTTTTATATGCAACGTTGTGCAGACGATGACCGCCTAACAGAATCCGTAGATGTGCTTTTACCGAATGTTGGTGAAATAGTTGGTGGTTCGATGCGTGTTTGGCATTATGATGAATTATTGGAGGGTTATTCTCGCGAAAACATTGATCCGAAACTGTATTATTGGTACACAGATCAGGTGAGTGGCAGTGTTCGTGTTTCAATCATTAATCAAGTTTTCATATTTTTAACGAAGCGTACAAATTTTTATGCGATTTATTCAGCGAAAGTATGGAACTTGTCCCCATGGTGGATACGGACTGGGACTCGAAAGGTTTCTTTGTTGGCTTTTAAATAGATTCTGTAAAAGCGTCTGAGCATTTAGCCTTATTATTGGCGAATGTAGATATTCGATACATTTACTTCCATTCGAAACGGAATTACATATGTAACTACGTCTATACTGTTTCATAACATAGAACTTATAAATTAATAACGTTCTGATTATTATTTTTTATGTGGATTATATTGTAATAGAACAATAAAATAAGGGTGTTTCTTTTACAATCGTTTTCATCTGTATTTTCATTGAGTCAATATATGTACATATTTATGGAATATTACGTAATTTAGTGTTCACCATAAACATCTTTTTACATGGTAAGCTCTTAAAAATTTATTCCGTTACAATGTGAATACGTGTAAATAGAACTGTACATCGTAACGAGCAGTTAACTACATAATACTACAATGAACCTAAACATATGTTTATATGCATATGTCTATATGCATATTTATTTATTTATTTATTTAACACTCACTATCAACAATTTCAGACTAAGTTTGCCATATTCTCGTAAATTTTACACGCATTCGAATACAGAAATATACATTCTACGCATAAGAAAATTATCATTGGTGAGGTATTACAATGTTTGGAAAGAAATAAAAACAATGAGCAGTTGCTTTCGAAATATTTCACTGTTTTAGAGGAAAAATATGTGTTATGAATTTGACGAAAAATTGCACTTAACGAAACGGATACTTTTATACTTGTGATTCAGCAAAGAATAAACTTGTTTGTCATACAATCTCGTGCAAGAATAATTTACGAGCAATATACAGATTCATGTATTTAATAGCGTTTTCATTTAAGTGTTTTGTTTATAGGGGAATAGGTATGTTTTCATTATTCTAATATAAAGTGTGCACAACACAGTCGCGTTCGGGCAATTGACGAACTTTCATAGATCCATCTGCACCACAAGAAAATAAACGTCCTGCAGAATCAACGTGTAACTGCGTCACGCCCTGAAAATTTTATTGATGTTTGTATTCAGAGAAACACATACACATTAATTACATCGAGACAACTTACTTGTCCAATGTTTTTGAAAAAGCTGGACCGAGGATGTTCTGCGGGAAAAGAGTAAAGAAGAGAGTGGACGGTCAAGCCCCATATCTGAAAGGAAAAAAAAAAGAGTACAGAGTTGTTACTAGAATTGTTTCTGTCGATGATAGATGAAAGAATCGTAACTAGCGCAGACATGTAGAGTTTGTTGTTCCGAAATATTATTTCATTGCTGCATAACTGCGAAAAGTATCCGCCAGCAAGACAGACAATTTTCTCGAAGAATTTCATAAGCAACGACAGGTATCACGTGTCTGTATCAGTTGTAGATATTATCAGATAGAACTATACGCTATTGATATGTATAACCTTGATGTCACCATCCCCAGCTCCGCTCACGAAAAATTCTTCGTGTGGGTCGAGAGCTAAACACTTAATGGCTGATTCATGAGCCTGAAAGCGATGTCGTTGTTGTCGCTGTCGAACGTCGAATATGTTTATATCTCCTTTTTTCCCTCCACTGATCAATAACTGATGTTGAGGCGCAAGAATCAACGAGCTGGTTCCTTGCTCGTGGCAGGTAAAACCTGAGAGAAAAGGGTACGATATAGGTAAGAAGACTACGAACGGAAAAAACGATAACCATTGCACTTATAGTATACTAATTGTTGTTGTCGTCATAACTATGCTTGGTTGACATGGATAACGTACAAAACGACAAAATATATGTATAACCCATCGAAGTCGAAGTCGTTATTCGTACCGTGAATCAAAGATTTATTTTGTGGAAGCAGAGTATCCCAAAGCGCAACGTTACGTCCTTCAGACCCATGCCCAGCAGTTGCTATTAAACTGCAAGCACCGAGGAAGACAAAATCCGCTGTTACCTTGCTATGGCACTGATAGTTCTACAAGGAAAAAAAAGAACAAACAAACCGACGCATCGTTAAAAGATAAGCACAAAACATAAACGTGCTTAGCTATACATATATTTAGGTATTATTCTTTGGTGTGAAAAATTCTTACGAAGAACGGTCGCGCGGTTCCTTCCCTGCATGCTACTTGAAACAGACTAAGATGCCCGTCGGAATCAGCGACACCGAATTTGTTTCCGTGCTGTGAAAAACGTACACGAGTTACTTTTGCGAAAGTTCCTGGTTGTCTGGGAGTCGCCACAGCCGTCTGGTGTCCCCATTCCCAAAGCGTGACCGAGCCATCTTGAGAACCAGTCAGGTCTGTTTGCGGTTTCGGCATCGGCAGTAGAAAAATTTGTTTGTTTAATTTCACGAGAAAGAGTAACTAGGCAATGTTTCGAAAACTGTGGCTTATAACTAGCTGACAAACAGTATGCTTACACAGCGGCAAGAGTGGATGCGACGAGATTCTCCTTATGCCATCGATTTTATGCTTCAAAATCTGTTTGAACAAAATACAACTATATAGTATTAACTGGAGATTGTGTGTGTGTGTGTTGTCAGTAATTTATTTGATCGCTTCGCAAAAATAACAAGTACATTTACCAAATTTTAGTGAAAATTCGTTAACGAAAACGTTAGCGTACGTGTATTAAAATGCAACGAAAGAAGAAAATAGAGACAAAGAAATAGGGCAAATGTATGCTTAACACACACGTATGTATGTGTGCATATACATATCCATACATATGTATATGTATATGTATATGTATATACAATAAGGGTGTCCCAAAATAGGTGTAAGTCCTTGAAAGTAGTGGTGATTTGAAACAACTTTTTTCCTTCAGCGAAAAAGTTCTCCGAAGCTTTGTTAACGAGATATTAACGAAAAAATCTCGAGCAATCGGAGCGTTGGCTACGCGTTGCGCCTGTACTACAAACAAGCAAGACGGTAGGCATTGAACGGAACTGCGTAAAGTCTTTTTCATTTACTATTCTGCACAGTTTGTTTCCATTAATGGTTACTTGGTTGTACGTAGTAAATACAAGCGTAGCGTGGGAGCTCAGCCGGCGTACACACTCTCTAATTGATCGGGGTTATTTGTTAATACATATCTCGTTAACAAAGCCTCGGAGAAGTTTTTCGCTAAGAAAAAAGTTGTTTCAAATCACCCTAGGAATCACCACTTTCAAGGCGTTACAACGATTTTGGGAAAATCCGCAACATGGATATACCTGATGCAAATAGACATTAAAAAGTCCTTACTACACTCCTTGTAATCTAAAGCTTCATTTCCGAGATATTAGCAGTTAAGAAACGAACTCGACTTGGCAGTTAACGATCAGACGTACTTACGCGCAGACGAGACACTGTCAAGAAGCAGAGAGGCCAGTGACTCGGGTCGTGCGCTTCTTGACTGTGTCTGCGCGTACGTATGAGTTCCTTTACATAACTGTTAATATCTCGGAAACGGAGCTTCAGATTATAAAATGGCAAAGGACTTTTCCATTTGTATTTGCATGAGGAATACGGGACACCCGGTACACATGTGTATGTATATATATATGTATATTACCTACGTCCTACGTAATATGAAAGACTCGTTCGGTTGGACTAGGTATATGTTTAAAAAAACGCATGCTAGGTGTAGAAAGTTGTTCGTTGCCTTTTCGACATTTATTCGAAAAGCTAAAGCGTAGGACTAGATGGTCGTTCTGTGGACGTACATGCATCGACTCAACACCGATCGATCGATCGATCAGATATACTTAATGTCGCAATATTTGTCCTGTTCGTTCGCATTTTCTTGAATTGCTCTTCGTTGCTTGCTTTCATTACGCGTCGTTTTATTATCCGTTCACAGATACGCTCGTCTAGCCCAGTTTAACGGTTGTGGCGGAAGCTCATCACGATCGGTTGTGGTCTACTAGATTTCAAAATGTTCAAACGTTCAACGCGACAACTGGGAATTTCAACGAATGTCAGGTTCCTCTCGTTTTCTTCTTGTCCGCGCGTGATAGAGAAATTCAAGCAACGAATGTTACATTGAAAGCTAGTAGATCCTGCGGCGTTTCAGGATTTCGAAACTATTAGAACTTTGATCCAACGCGAGATCCAATCGTAAGCATAGTGGCGGTAAATACTACAGACGACATTGAAAAGGAATTAAATCCTTAAAGTTTCCATATACACGGAGGGAACGTTATTTCGGCATGCAGCATCAAGGGAGAAAATTTCTTGATTTGTTATATTCTTATTGATCGCTCAAGTTCTTTTTATCCTTGTAATTAAAAGGGTATAGCCGCCGGATAAGGGGGTCAAACGTGCCCTTAGACCGATTCGGATTTATGATACACCATTCGATAGGTTATAAAAGAAAAAACCTGTACCAAGTTTCAACCCTTTATCTCGGGTTTTCCTCGATTTCTCTTATTTAATCGCATGCAATAATTCTATAAAAAATCGGATACATAGTACTCACTAGGGCGCATAATTGAGAATTGTTTGCAATTTTTTGGTTGACAATTCTAGCTGTAAAGAACCAAAAACGCAAAACAATGCCGAAACAAATGTTTCTCTTATATAAATCTTAGAGCGACTACTTTTATATAATTATAATAGCAATATATCATCATAAGTATTGTCCTGAAATATTTGGAGATTGTTTGGTAGGGTGCGTCGTACTGTTAAAAATTAAAAAAAAAAAAAAAAAAAAAAAAAGTTCAGCATTCTTTTGCGTTTTTGATTTTCAACAACCAGGATTCTCAACCGAAAAATTGCAAAAAGTTCTCAATTACGAGCCCCACCGAGCACTATCTATCAGACTTTATTTACATAATTTTTGCATGCAATTAAAGAAAGAGAAATAGAGGAGAAACAGCACTTTTGACCCCCTTATCCTGCTATAGGTACCCTTTATACATACATATACATATAGACATATGCATGTATTATATGTATGTGCATCAAGTAAGTTTCGACATAGAAGTAGACGTTAAATTTACATTCCATGGAAAGACAATTGTAGGATTAGTACAACATAACGATATAAAATTACAAGAATACTAATGGTGGCAACGTTAAACGCAACTACTACGCAATCATCGGATTAAACAATCTCAATAACGATTAACTTGGAAAAACAAGAAATACAGACAAACAAAAGTTTGCAGCAGAACTCGAAAACTTGGGTTCTGCTAATCACAGCATGCTCCTTCGCGATATGCTGTCGTGTGATTATTTTTACATTTTCTCACTATTGCTCCTATAATCTATAACACAGAACGGTCGCTCGTTCGTAACATTCGTAAGCGATTGTTCATGTTTGCATCTTTCAGCAATATACGTACTTTCCCGTAAAAGAGCTTTCATTCAAATTGTACGAACATGAAATAGACTATATCGATGAATAGTACACGAGATAATAGTTTCTTATTATTGACTGTCACGTTTCAGCTGTTGTACATATGTAAGTACCTATGTATATACTTTGTATGTCCGAGAAAAGAATTATTCTAATGCGCACGGCCCTTTAGATTATACAATATTAAATAGACTGCGGATTTTTATGGAAAATAATATTTTATAAAATAATTCATAAAGACGTAAGAGTGAATGCAGGAATTTTTTTCTTCCTTTACTTTAAGTAAACGTACGACTCAGTTAAGAATAAAGGAGACCACCCGTTGCATCTAATGAAAGTACAAAGTAGTCTTTTATTGTATTTTACAGTGCTCTAAGGGAGCTATAAATGCATAAAATCCGCAGTGTGTAATTATTAGTTTTAAGGGTGTTTTACGGAACAGTTAAAGCTGTTTGAAAAGCCAATGAAACGTTGGTCTTAGTGTATTGCCAAATTAATTCCGGAATAACGATATGTGTAAGGGAAATTTTTATTATTTTGGCGCGTCGTTTTCCGTTCAAGTTCAATCGATATTTTAATAACGCTTCAACGATATTTTAAGTATCGAGATATACCGATTTCTTTTTTATCGAAAAACAATTAAGATATTAACCCGTTCTCCATTTGTATCGAAGTATGAAGGCGAAACACACGATTGAACGGTGCGAGGGATAACAGTGGGTGGTACAGTACCCTTACGATATTACGAACTAGAGCGAATGCTGAATGATTAGAAAGTAGATAAATAAATAAATAAATAAATAAATAAATGAATAGAGGAAAGAATTAGTGAACAGATATCCAAGTGAACAAGTAATGATTCAATAATAATAAATAAGAAGGGCGTTGATGATGATGATGATGATGATGATGATGATGACGATGACGATGATGATGATGATGATGATGATGATGACGACGACGATGACGACGACGACGACGACGACGACGATGACGACGACGACGACGACGATGACGATGACGATGACGATGACGATGACGATGATGATGATAAATAATGGAAAAGAATTCGGGGAAAATGAAAAGAAGAACCGATTGCGAAACTGGCACTAAAATACTAATATATTATTATGCAGGCTACGGTCTGTTAGAAGTTAGTCTCACCGGCTGCAACAAGTGTTTGCTCCTATCGGCAACAAACTGACAGAAACGCAGGTCGTGGGAGCCAGGAAAAGCGGGCATCCCCTTCATCTGAGCGAGCGAACGAGCCACCAGGTCAGTGACGTCGGTCAGACGCGAACCAAGTTAGATGTTAGGCAAGCATTGAACAAGGAACATGTTGTCTGTCACCAGTTGTGCTACTCTGACGCGACCCAGTGCGACCACTACTCAACGGCTTAATCAACCCAACCACGGCTGTCAAGGCTTTCTTCATTCTTAGTTAGATCATGAATATCTCTTTCCATAGTCTTCGTATTTCCGTCATATTCGACTTTCCAACCGGTTATAGAGCACGGCAGCAAACGCGAACGAATTTTCCATATTTTTACGATCTTTCTCAAGAAAAAAGCCTCAAACTAGCCGCGTTACAGGCACGCGTCTTAATGGGTGATCCATAAAATGCAATTGTTAGTTTCTTTTTTTTTTTTTTAATTTTCCAATAGCTTCCGCGTAAGAGAGAAACAAAGGGTGTTGTGAGTCAATCGCGTTGCTCGTTACGCAATCTTTAACAAACCTTTTTCCGGGATGACTCGAAACAACACATGTACATACATATATACATATATACATATGTATACGATAGGTAATTTCGTACTTCGCGTCGTAGATATTCAACTATGTACACTTGAAAATACACGTTATTCATTCTTCTCAACGATTATTCTTCGTTGCGATTACTAAAGCGTGCTACGATCGTTTCAACATTTTAACGAGGAAAAGATGCTTGTATATACCCTTGACCGAGAATTTCGACTTTTCTTTGCATTTCGAAAAAGAACAATTCTGAATGAAGGAACAAGGGTTCTGCATTCGAATATTCTTTAACCCAAACATTCGTGAAGTACGTGACGTTACGAGAGAACGGAGGAAATTTCTAGGGTATATGAATATACATATGTATAATATGTATATACACATACACATATGTATGTATAAAAGGACACACAAAGTAGAGAAGATCGGATAAGTAAAATATCAGAAACATCTGGGTCAGGTCGGAGGCAGGGAGGTGATACGTGAGCTTGTCAAGTTGTCAGTAAACAAACATATGATCGATATTTGAATTGTTGCGAGTTACGTATGTACGTACGATGTATATGATAGTTGATCAAACAAAACAGATTTAAAGATTAACTTACCACACTAGCTCCTCGTCCGCTTTGGCTTGCGATACCCGATTGAGGCTGAGGACTGTTAGTTTGTGGACTTTGAGCGAGCAACGGTCGATCTGCTGCTGTCTAAACACGAAAACGAACACTTTAAAATAGGAGCAAAGACACAATGACATCCTATGAGAGGTGGATTTCAGCAGCTATGCTTACCTGAATGACCAAGAAACTGGTTGGTTGTACTGGTTCCGGTTCCGGCTGTTTATTTAAATTAATCAGATCGAATTCGCATTCGTCTTCCAACCAAGACGGGAGCTCGAGCAGTAACGATATATTCATTTCTTGAACTTCGCGAGGAGTAGCTAGAGCCATCAAACCTGGATTCACCTGAAAGATCGATCGTAAACGTTCGATATTAATACTTTTGTCCCTCGCTTAAAACAACCTGGTCAAGGCGGAACGGTGACGTAACGAAGTTTAACAAAAAAAACCTGATTCAGACAGAAGGCACTGATGCTGTCCTGCTCCTTGTGAATAATACGGACGGGCTCGGGTAAGCTGGTAGTTCCGCTATCACTACCTTTGTCTTCCGTCGTTGTTCCACGATTCAGATTATCGATCGCAGTTTGATTGCTATCTAGTATCGACGATAAGGATCTCCTTTTGCCGAATACAGCGCGAATGAATATGTCCTGTACCGATTCTTGTCTAACCAGAAAACACCACAGTCGATTGGCCGGAGCTGCTGATGCCAGACGTGTGCTAATCAAAAGTAACAGAATATTAACGAACGGCATTCGCGTGAAACACGTTGTTCCGTTGATTTCCGTGATCTTACTTGAACGGTGTGTTGCCTTTCTCGAGTAGCGATCGATACTTATGTATTGCCGGTTTTCCCGGCGTAGGTGTGGGATCGGGTGCACATCCAGGGATATAATTAATTGGCAGTGGTCCCTTTTTATCCAATTCCTCGCGTAATGTTTCCTGCCATTGGGCTACCACGGCCAACGTTCCATGAATTAGTGGACTGCTGACAGGTAATTCTAAAAGAACGACAGATCGAATGAAATCAGTTGTTTGGTTGTTGGCATCATGTTTGCCAACGTCGCATTCCATTTTTGTCTCTGTTAAATTACCTTGCATCTCTATACCAGCGACGTTTAAGAAATCCTGGAGTTGTTGTTGCAGTATCTTGACTATAGCTAATCTCATCACGCACCAACTATACGAGTTTGGATTCGAATGCTCCGTATTGTCTTTTGGTTTGCTTTTTGGTTTCGAATTGGTATCGAATACGTCTTCTTCGTCTTCGGACGAATCCAAATCCGACACAGCCGAATCTGACGAATCGTAATCGATTTCGTCCGCGTACTCGCTATCTATGCGTGGCTAACTCGACACAACGAAATAGAAGAAAAAAAAGAAAGAAAGACAGTAGGTAAACACTCGAGATCCATATTTATAACGTGTACCGTCGTATGAAAATGACTTACCTTCATTAAAAAATACGAGACCATGCTCATTTGAGGCGATACAAACTGTTCTCTGTACGTAGGTTTGTCTTCTTTCATGTTTGGCTGCTGTCCCGTAAACTGACCCAATAATTTCATGTTCAATTTTACACGTTGCTTCGTCAAAGACGTCATAGTGTTCCATACAGCTCCCGCGGTGCTTTGCGTCTCGTTTGAGATACCGTCGCCGGCTCTTTCTACTATTGCCGTGCCCGTGCCCGTGCCCGCCCCCGTTCCGCAATTCTAACAATCATACGAGAATACACGGCAACGGGCAAGAATATCAGTATATGTACACGCAATAGACTAGGTTAGATAAGAACCCCGAAGGGTTGAATTTTTTCATTCGTTCAGAATCAAGTGAATGCAGAGGAAATGTGTCATCTGTACCTGGCTGTTTGTGCTCGCGACACGCAATAACTTTTTAACTCCACCTCCGAAAAGACAAGACCAAGTGCTGTTATCGAAACGTTGTCCCACGAGTCTGTAAAGGATGTGACTGTCGCAACTCCAAAGAGCATAAACGAACAAGCTCATGTAGGTAGCAACGAAAGTTTCGCAGAGAAGAATATTCAATTTTGGCGTGTCCTCGTCTTTCTCGCGAGCCAATAAAGCCCGCAAGTTGGTCACGCCGGGCCACTTGGAGGGCGTCGTGGTAATGCATACGCCATCGTCCGTGGAATATCGTCGATGGTGGCGATTCGAAGCTACCAAGTGCCCACCAGAGAATGTTTCGATTTCGGCAACAGCTGGAAAACTACGCAATCGAACTGTGGGTTATACTCGAAATGTTCAAACAACCAATTAATGCTCGTACCCGTACTCGAAATTCATAACATTTACCTATCCGGCTGCTGATGCTTCATAACGAACGTATCGGAATCGCAAAGTGATTGATAAATACAAGCGCTGAGAGCGACTGCTAAATCCCTCATTATAAATACTTCGCAATAATGCGTGTTTCTCGTTGGCATCGGTGGTTTACGTAACTCCACCAATGTTTGCAACATGTCATGGGCAAGAGACTGGAAAAAGAAAAGTTTGACAGTCGATACGCGTGTGGAGGGTAAAAACCAGTGAAAAACTGCGTCCACGACGCACAACAGACTCAACACGCGAACCTGCAAATGTCTGACCGGATCTGCCACGACGGTTTTGTTGCAAGCTACACTGGCGCTTAGCAGAGGAAGCGTGGTTGGGAATGGTAAGGGACTGAGTAATTGTTGTTGTGTCTTCTCCTGTTGCAATTCTTGCAATAAAAGAACAAGTTCCATTCTTACTGACGCCAAACCTCCGCCCGATGCTCCGTGCAACGAACAGTATGACAATAACGTTCGCAACAGTGTTTCATTTGCTGTAACCATCAACATCCATGTTCATATGAATGTACGATACATTTTTACGAACAATTTCCTTACCTTTTAGCCATTTTTTTCTTCGAACGGCTCTCTGAACCTTAGCCTCAAAGTCCAATTTGTCGGCTACTAATATCTCGTGTAGCGTTGGTTGTTCACCAGGTCTGCTGTACAGTTGCACGTCGTCCACCATACCACCACCCTCGTCTAGAGGTAACCGACGACAACATTTCAATGTCAGTACAAACATTAGTAGCCACAATTACAATGAAATTTTCACTTTTCATCCTTACATTCAGAAACGTTACTCGCTTCGTCATCCGAGTTGACGCTGTAACTGCAAAGTTGTCTAAGAGCATCTACTTCTCGTTCAAGCCAAACGTATAATTGATATCTAAGCTGTCCCCCGTCCACCTCGAAACCGGTGGCCAACGTTGACAATTCTTCCATTAGAATTTTCAAACAGGCCACAAATTTTAATTGCTGTGCCATAATGTCCAATTGAGATGACGATTTTCTGCTCTTCCCTGCGAATAATTGTACGAAACAGACTTTTTCTACACTGTGCAACACTCTAAACGACGACGACGATGACAGAACGGTAGGCCCAAACAACTCACTCACCTTCTTTTTCCGTTAATTTGGCGTCGTTACTTTCTTTTTCGTCTAGTTTCATGCTTAAAGGCGGACTATCGGTATCGTTATTTTCGGCCACATCATCATCCCAATTTAACACTAATTCTTCCGCGGTTTCGCGATTCAGAGGTTGCGACCAATCGATCGTATCTAACGACACATTATACGTATATACATACACATATGATTGAGGTCTAACACGAATTATTATCGAAGAAAACAACTATATCTGTACCTCCATTCTCGTTGGCTTTTTTCGATTGATCGTCCCAACTTATGATACCCGTGTCTATCTGAAAATCTTGCTTTCTTGACTTGCTTGGACTATTCATCAGACCTTTGAAGGTAAATTGAACAAAAAAAGATTGCAGATATAACAAAGACTGAGAGAAAGAAAGTAAAAAGAAATAATCATGTATACAAATCGGATAATAATAATAATACTTGGAGATAGTACTTACTGGGTGAATCTTCGCAATTAGTGTCCATCACTTTGCCGGGTAGCTTTGAAAGAACTTCGAGAGCAAGAGCAGGACAGCCTGCTTTGAAATGTGCGTGAGCTGTTGTAAAGTACAGCTGCCTTTCTAAAGGAGTAATACTGTCTTCTAAAGTTAACTGCTTGTCAGGCTGAGTTTTCGTGTCCGCGACATAACTAAATCCGGATATGACCACCGAATGCCCCTTTTTTTTATCCTGGGCGGTGGATGCGATATGCTGCCTGATCAGCAAAGGGTGTGTCCGGAGATAGACGTAGAAATTGAAAACATTCGGATTCGCTGGAGTCAAGAGAGGAAAAGAGTAAAGACGTGTAATTAAAAAGAATTAAAAAAAAAAAAAAAAAAAAAAAAAAAAAAAAAAAAAAACGGGACGGCGGCGGAGTAGAAAATCGATCGTTTCTTCTTCGTTACCTGTTGTGCCCTCGGGTTTGTCGGATTCGTCGTTGTACTGTGGATGCAGGGTACCGACGTTTGTCAAAAGCAACGTGTTGAGCGATCCTGCATAATCTTTGAGAATCCAGAGGGCCATGCTACGCAAGAATGGATCCGGATGAGATTTGTTCATATCCTGATTTTGCCCGTCCTTGTCGCAACCCAAAATTTCTTCGTACAGCAGTCTTCTCATGTTTGGAGAGGTAGTATCATCCTCATAGAGCCTAGCGATGACCATCGCCAGCTGAATATCGTTCAATTTGTTCAAACACACGTCGATGGCGTCTTTGAGCGCACTTGCTAGAAGAAAGAAGGCTGCAGCATGCTCGAATCTCTGTTTACCGAGCAGGGCGAAAGCATTTTTCAAGGCTGCTTTTCTCCAACGATCCTCCGCGAAATTGTTCGCAAAGAAGCTGGTCATTCTGTCGTCTCTCTTGTTTCGAAAAAGTCCCCAAACAAGATTCTTCTTTTTCATGGCAAGGTAGTAGAGCGCAGCATCGAGAGGGTCTTGCTTTTGTTGGTAAGCCGCTTTCGCGATTTTTTCAACGCACCGTTTCAGCACGGTGTTGCTCCGGATCCACCAACCTACACCAAGCTCTTTCAGTACGCTCCATTTCGGTTGACTCTTTGCGTAAGAAGGTATCAAGCCTAGCAGTTCCTCTTCAGACTCGGAATGGAATGCCCAGACGAGATTGTTCGAGGATATACCCTGCTTTTGGAACTGTGCCCTTTGTGCCAGTGGAAGACAACGAATCAGGTAATTGTAATGCTTCATGGCCAACAAGAACCTGAGGCCACAGTCGTCCAATGAATCTGTCGAGACTGTTTCACCGTCGGGGATGCCGGTCAAATTTTCCTTCGCGATCGCATTTTTTGCGGCGTCTATCGCGAACCGTTCCGCGAAGTCTACGTTGCATGTCGACACGGTATCGGCCAGAGCAAGCAGATGCATTTGATCGAGACTCGAGAGACCTGGTAAATGAGTGTGCGTCAGCAGCCGCGAAAGTAATCTACCTTGTCTTGGCCCAAAGTGAGATATCCCTTGTCTTTCCGGAACCGAAGAACGCCTGTCCTTTGGCCGCGAGCAATCGTAATCTTCTTCCAGCATGTCGTCCAACGACTCACCTTCGTCCAAGTTATTGTCGAACAGTTCGTTGTAATCGTGTTTGTCCTCGATTTTATGCTGATGCGGCAGGTTCGTTTCTTTGTCCGCAATCAACAACGTCCACAGGGGTAACGGAGATATCGAGGTTATCTCCGCGTAATCTAATGTAAGCTCTTCCGGGATCTGAGTGGTTGAACCTCTGGATTCGAGCGGCGACGTGGTACCCATGTAACTGACCGACATTGTCCTTGACCGTGACCATCCGCCACCCCCGCTACCGCTACCACCACCTCCACATCCACCTCCTCCTCCTCCTCCTCCTCGTTGTTTCAAACTCTCGTCATCCGCCCTCAACGGACATGAACTTCCTATGCATCTCACCAAATGGGCTAGTATCGCCTTCACCCATCGGATTTTACCGGAATTCAGCAGTTCCATCAACTGTTTCGGATGGTACTGAGGCAGAACCGGACAGGCGATCCGCGAGGCCTCGAATAAACCATAATCTGGCATATAGTCGAAATTGAGATTTTCGTTTTGCATTCCTCGTTTCTTTTTCGCATCGAGCATCGTCAAGTTGATACTACTGACGCGTGAAAGATGAGGCATAGAAGACACATTTGCTAACCGTCTCTGCGACGTTTCGTGCGCCAACGTTCGTAGATCTTCGTCCCGTAGATTCCGACTCGCTTGAAACTCGTCCGACTCTTGATGCTGTAGATTCGAATGAAAACAATCCTTTTTCGGATTCGGCTTCCACTGTGAATAAACGTGCATCTCCGAATCCATACCGACCACCAAAATGCCATCCCTCACCCAAGATATCTGCATAGGCAACGGCGGAAGACCATCCGCTGTGGTCAGCTCAATTTTTCGTAGTTTCATCCAACGAATTTCGTCGACAAATTGAGGCTGCGCCAACGACGAAGCTTTTCGTAGTATCGGCCGATTGTTACTCTGCGATTCTTTCATCGCTTTCATATTTGCCTGCGCCAGGTCCGAGCATACAGGCGTGAACAGCATAATCTTGGATCCAACAGCGACGGTCAAAATGTGCGATCCATCTTCTTTAGACACCCAATCCAGCTGTACCAAATGTTTTTGCGTAAGCGGACAAGTGTTACCGTTCTCTATAATCGATTTCCGCAGCGATTGAAGGGTGCTGAACGATGGGACTGCCAGTAATCCTTCGAGGGCCAGGGGACAATGTAACAAATTATTATTTCTTCATCGATCGAACTTGATGACATTTAAGTAGTTAATCCTACCTTCTCTTACCTGCATTCGACTTTGCGTTCTCGCCGTTTTCACTGTTTCTCGGCGATCGTACGTCCTCGTGGCTTAGCGTTTGCAATACTTGAGTGAGTCTTTGCTTCTTTTGCAAGAAACGGCTATCGTACAGGTAGCTCAGATCCAAGTGTTGGTCAACCGGAATCCTTGGCAGGTGTATGTTTTTCAAGTGTATAGTATCTTCCAAAATCCATTCGCTGCCACCGGTGCTTTCGCACTCATAAATCGCCACGCAGAGGTTTACGTATCGCGAATCCGGATCAGTTTTCGTCGGTCGTGTGAACGATTTCCCGTATTTGTATGCGCATGCAATGCGTCCGCTGTACGCGGCACTTATGTTTAACGGTTGTCCTGAAACGAAGCTAGGCTAAATTATTATTATTATTATTATTATTATTATTATTATTATTATTATTGCTTACCTTTTCAGAATCATTCTCTGTATGTTCTGATCCCAATGTCATAAACGTCCATAACAACACAACTATGTACGATGTCACTTACCTGTAATATCGATTGTCGATTCCTGATCTTTTCGTAGCATTTCCCATTCGCACCATTCGTAATGAAGTTTGTCAACGTCCGATTGATTCTTTGTCACTTTACACTTCCAGAAGCGTATCGTGCTATCACTGCATGCCGTCACTATAATATACGGTGCGAAACAAGCAGGATATATGGATGAGCTACTTAAATGTCCAGCGGCTGGTGCAGCATGTATCACCTACGCGAAAATTGTCATAGGTTACGAGGATGATTTTTTATTACGTATGCTTCATGTCTTTCTTTCAATCTTTTCAACTTGAGGAGGAGAGGGGGGGGGGGGCACTGTTCATTAACGGCGGGACAAAGACCAAAATAACGACAAACATGAAAGAAGTAAACATGCCAACCTCGACTCCGTCCGGTAACGGTAACTCTTGAGTGCAAGCTTTCGTGGTTGTAATAAGAACGTGACTACTCTGAGGTCGTCTTTGGAAAAACGTGTTGTCAAATTCACCTTGACTATCACGACACGTTTGACTTGTTCTGCGAGATCTTTTACCATCCATATGATTAAATCGTCCAGGTGTACCTCCCTCCTCTTCGTCATCTTGTACCAAATGTGAATCTGGAACATACATCATCGATCCCGACAGCCCTGTAGAATTAAATCATACACCCGTATTAATAAACAAGGATGACTTTCTTTTGGACGCTTCTCATGTTGAATCAAGTATTGTATACCAGTAGTCTCGGGTTGAGAGGCTATGACTAGACGCCACATGTGTACTGTTGTACCGTGTTGTGTTCTCTCTAAAACCACTATGTAGAACGGTTCTTCGAAAATTGCCGACTGCTGCAAATCTACTATGGCATCCAAGGTAGACTCCATCAAACCTAAATCGTTCACAGATGCATTTACTCCAGCTTGTTTTTCATCGTTTCTATCGCCCGTGATCAACTGTTCTTGAAATACATGCAGGAATTGCGTGTTTTGCCAGTCCTATATTTACAGAAATTATTCGCGCCGATTATACTCGAATCAACGGAATTCTTCTCTCTATCTATTATCGCTTTACTTTACAATGGTACTTACATGCGTCGCGTCAGCAATAGCATCCAATTGTATAACACAGCCTGGTCTCGCTGTTGATTGTTGCGATACTATCTTTATTCTGTCGTGGATGGAATGCCTAACACCATCATCCGACGATATGTCCGTCGAGAGGCTTGACATTGAATCCTGTTGACCGAATTACACGGGTACTTAGAAAATCTGTACAACCTCGTTGCACTTGTACCTGTGCTATATGTACATATTTATACACTTATATGTATGTACATACATACATACATACACACATATATAGTATGTATGTTGTGTAGACGCGAACGTTTCATTTCTGTCCATGAGAATGTATTTACCATTATTCTGCTTCGTCTCTCACTGCTCGAGACTTCTGCCAGAAGCGTTCTGGCATCGATAACGGCCTGATACACCCTTAAACATTCCCCATCGCTGGCTACAAAACATGCGCTCGGAGAATTCGACAGATTGCCTAAGGTAGTACTTGGTAATAAAGTTGGAATCCAAGCTACATTGCTGAACGCCGAGATCTCGGGCGAATTGATACGTGCTAACTCGGAAACTCCTCCGCTCTTCGATAACGGTCCAACCGTATCCACACGCCAAAGTATCAGTTCACTGCAGAAACCCTGGACAATCACATTCAACAATGACGTTTCTACAGTCGCCGTGTTTAAAATTACTTTCGAAGAATTTTAACATTTTTCGTCTTTCTACTCACAGTAGGAGACACATCTTTTGTCGGCGACATCTTATTAGAGGCCAACCTACTATGCGCAGTTTCATTAGAATCAACATCCTGACACTGAGATCCGGAACATTCTGGTATATTGTGATGCGATGTTGTCACTAATAACGGTAAAACGGGATGACAGGTAATATCGTTCACTCGAAACCGATGTCCCGAGGCTCTTGACGCGTGCCCTATACTCAACACCTGTGAATAGAGCGAAAAGTCATTGGGAAAGTGTATCAAGGCAATAACTGTGACCGACAATGAGTCGCGTGTTATATGTATGTATTTTACCTGCGAAAACTTGGTTCTGTCAGCGAATGTCAATTGCCACAAGTTCAAAGTTCCATTCGAGTGCTTCGATACCATAGAGACAATTGGGCTAGGATGCGCTAATAAATCGTTGACTGTTTCCTGATTGCTTTTACCCGTCTCCAAAGGACCGTCTCTCTCTTTCCCCGATGCATTTTGATTAGTCCGTGGATCGGACGAGTTTTCAATGTTTTTTAACAGTTCTTGACCCGCTTTCGAGGTTAACGTAGATTGTTCCTCGTCTTGTTCAATCAAACTCGGTAATGGTGTAGCGACTTCAGCACCTGTGTCGATAACACTTCATTTCTCTTTGGTTCCACAACCGCCGATACACCGAAATCTCGCACTTATTTATACAATAAAGAGAGAGAACGGTCGAGTTTAAAGCATAACATTACTATTACTCACCGTCGTTTGATGATTTTGTCGACGACTTTGCTACTTCACGAATATTTAATAAGGGACCACCGGTATTATGCGAGTACATTGATACACTGTGACTCATCGTTGAGGCATCACCAAGGGGAAAAGCATTGGGTATTCGTGTCGAAAATGATATCTGCGCTTGTCGAAATGATCCTGGATGATATTCATCCAACCACTCGATATGCCAAATTAAAAAGCTTCCGTCTATTGGATGAATTGAGAAAAGTAAATCCGGATTATGATGCCAATCGCGTAATAACGTTTCTATAGTTGTGTCCAATGAATCTGGAGCATGATTCATCGAAGCCGTTATATCTGTTGCGATCGAGTTAATAGACGTAGTATTACTGGAAACAGCAAAGTCAAAATATCGGGTATCACTTCGAGTATACACATCGGAAATAAAAATTAATTGTATGCTTGCTCAAGACAAAAGTTGCCGAGTACCTAAGACTTTGATGTGAATGCACACTATGCGGCAAACTATGATGCGACGAAACCGTGTGAGCCGTATGGTGCTCATCACTACTATGATCTTCTTGGCTCATCGATCTGACAGTACCTCCCGCCGATTTTTGCAGAGGTTGTAATCGTACTCCCTTCTCTGAAAATTGTACGTTCAATTGTATATCGTGAATCGTGAATCGTGAATCATGTTGTTGTGCTATTGTAATTACCAATTAAATGAAATTTAATGATGTTAAACGGAGACTCACTTAAGGGACCCTCTTCCTCGGAATCGTGGTCTGTGTGCTCCATATCCTGCTGCTGGTGCAATCCTTCTTCTTTTTCTACCACTTTACGCGTAAGCTCTTGTAAAATACCTTCTGCCTGCATCGTGAAGTGCATTTCTTTGTTGTTCAACCAGTGAAGAATAAAGTTCGGTTCTCTCTCTGGATCACCGGTAATTAAACTCGGCACTAACGGTATATCTATGAAACAGTACATACGTTCAGGAAACGGCACGAAGATGGACGATACATGATGTATGTACAATAATAATCTTACCGGTTTCTGCATTGATACTGGCTGCCAAGTGAAAATGCATTCCTGGATAATGACCAGCACCTTGATAATTATTGTGAAAATCGTGCACAGAATACGTTGAAGGCAAAGTCGGTAATGTCGGGGCCGTGGCATGTCCCGCTTGATGTTGTTGCTTTGCGTGCCGACGAATATGGAAACACGTTCTACAGGGAAAACACGATCCGTACACAAGGAAAACAATCCTCTCTTTGTTTGCTTTTATGTTCGATCATTTGTAGAATATTAAGGGGACCTGCCCCTGTTGTTGAAACTCAAGCAAGATCAAAGAATAAATAAATAAATCATAACAGCTTACGTACTTCATGTGTTTCAGTCGTTGCATGAAACGATGTTTGTGCATATTGTGATGTCGATGTTTCCCATGATGGCCATGTCTGTCAGAACCTTCGAACTGACTCATATTAGCTAAACCTTCGACCTCCGGTGGTATTGTTTCAGCCCATACTCTGCAAATATTGTCTCTGCAGGATGTGACCAACATGTTGGAAACGGAACCCCTAAACAATCAAACAATCAATTGACAAACAGCAAGTCTTAATTTTCTTCACAAGTACTTTCGAGAGCACGATTCCCTTTTATATATTACATACTTTGGCATATATTTACTAGTTTTCCGCCAAGACAAGTGTGTGACTGCACGTGGATGAGCAACATAAACGAAACTGTAACTATCGCTGCCTGTGGATTGCGAGACGTTTGTGTGCTCCATGTTCCTCGTTGAAAATACTGAATAATTTTAAACACGGTTTCCTTACAGTTTCCATTAAATCGTGAATAACAGTAAAGTATTTCGTACGTAGTAGGCATGTAAATATCTTACATTGCTTATTCTCGAACCAAATTTTGACTAATCTATCGTTAAATCCCGTCGTGGCGAATAATGTACCATCCGGACTGAAACTCATCAGATGCACCGGTGTGGCTGTGCGACACTTCCAAACGCAATTCCACGCCCCTGGTTCGTTACCGCTGCTCGAATCTCCAGGCGCAGGACTATCTGCTTCTCCGCCGATCGAAAAAGTGACAGTACCTGCTGTAAACAATCCAGTATTATTGTCGTACTTGCTTCACAATATCACTTTAATTAAATAAGCTGTGTACATTTACACGCAGCAACATTTCTCTTTCACTTTCATCACCGCTGATGCTATTCTATGAAAAGAAATACTTTGTTCAAACAACGGAAGGTTACGTTTGGGAGAACGAATGTTATTGCAACTGTATCTTTAGTATCTTTAGTAATGAATTACAAGCATCGGAACATCCGAGGATCAAACGAGAATGCTTAGTGTGCGATGTGTAGAAAGTAAGCAAAGTCCGACTCTGGTTTCCTTTACTTGGCAGTGAAAGAATTATTTCAGCATAATAATTTCGAAATACAGCTCAAGCTATTCGGCAGAATTCGTGTTCACTAAACACACAATACTATGTTCAGAGTACTGAATTTTCAACTAGAATTGAAAAAATAAACTTTTCACATTTTCACGCTGGTACCTAAGGCAAACTCACAGTCTGGAAGGACTTTCAGAGTATTTTCTTCTTCTCCAGCTACAGTGGTTTCTTGTATTTGCAACATATTCACCTTTGTTGCTGCACACAATGTTATTACTTTGACTAACAATAACGAAACTGTCATTTAGATCAGAAAATTCGAAATGAAACAACGCATCAATTATTCTTATGTGTAGTTTACAGACGATAAGAAAAAAAAAGAAAATGTGCTTACTGTGCTCTTCCTGGAACGGTGTTATGTTTTGATGCCATAGTTGTAGAAGTTCTCCTCCCGTTAATAGCCTTGTTCCTTCTAAATTCCATGATAAAGAACTGATGTTTGATTCTGTTTGCAGACTTCCAGTTTGTACCCATCGATATTCTAATTGCTGTGCATTGTTTAAAGAAATTATTAAGAAACATTATGAATTGCATAGAAATATAAGACATATATATGAAAGAAACAAGACAAACGTGAGAGCAAGTGCTGTGAATTAGCGGAGTAGGTTCGAAAATGCAAACTTGATTTTCATAAGCCGCAGCTATCTTCCCAGTATCGGTACTGCAATCCAGACAACTAATTCTTATATAATTGTGCACAGCCCCTGGAATTATTTGCACCCGTTCAAAGTTACTGGCAAGGATTACTATGTTGCAACCTGCTGCATATGCCTGCAACAAACAATGCATTGTGTACAAAAAAAACATGTAAATTATTTATTTGATATCATTGTTATGAAATATGATGGAAGAAGAATATAAGAGAATAATAAATGTATGTCGATAATTGCAATGGAACAAAAATATACAATAGTTTTATAAAGTATGTATTGATGGTAAGAAGTATCAAACAAATCAATCTTACAAACATAAGAATGTTGGTGAATACATTGTAAATTGTTTAGCAATCACAGAGTGACTTTAACAATGCATAAACAGTGTACAAAGTATTTGCAGCATCAATATCAAGAGAAACGTTTTTAAAATTTGAGTGACCGTGTAAATTGTGTAATTTTAAGGAAACTTAAAACTCACTGTAAAAGAAATCCCTTCGACGGAACCGACGGCGTAACAGCGATCTCCTGCATTACAGGCCCCGCTTAATATTTGATGACAATTCATTTTTCATATAGAGAACTAGTTCATTCTCTTTTAATTTGATATTTCAATAAGAAACGTTGCTTCGGCAGCAAGATAGCCAACGATTTCGCGACAACTTTTTTTTCGGCTACAATTTCGTGACGTTGTTCGAAAGTGACATCACACGGTAGCTCGTTCTTCGATGAGCAGCCATCTTTAAATGGATTCTCACTGATTCTCACGACTGGCCGACACACAGGCAGAGGACCGCTGACAGTATATGTATATGTACAGTATGTATGCATATGTATGCATACGTTATACGATATGTATTACTTATTTACTACATAATATCGTCGCTCAATCAGTTGCGCCGCGCCGTTTCGAGTAAGCGATTTAAAACAATTCGCGCCGTTTTATATGTTCTTTTCTTTTGTTATTCTTTTTTACATTTAAAAGAAGGTTTGATAGTAGAAAAAAAGAGAAAGAAAAAGAAAAAGGTATAGTTTATTTTTAACGAAACACTTGAAGATGTTAAATTTCTATGAAATTTTTCATATTGAAATCAACGATGTCGAACATACATATATGAGTACATATATAACAAAGGAATCACAACCATGGCGTCAAATCTCTAAGGTATTACTCGATCTTTTATTTATAATTAATCACAATTTCTTTTAAATTTATTATGGATATTAATCGTGGGAACCTAATATAAATAGTTATTTTGATATTTGCATCGAACAGATTTGAAAGTGTTTATCAACTATGTATATATGTAAAATAATGGAACATAAGAACAAAGCCAGGCATTCTTCATTCGGACAATTGACAGAGAATTGCTACTCCTCTCATGATCCAATGTTCCGACGGTTTAACAGTAGGTAGAGTCATAGCAATAACGAAATTAGTCGAATGTCCTGTAGTTGATAAAACTCCTCGTCGTTCACTATGTGTGTGTACATATTTACAATCGGAACATTCTCGTAGAGTACTTTCGGAAAACTTTCATCCAGTGTCATGTGTTCCAGGTTGAATCTAGCACCGTCAAGAAACAATCCGTGTATATAAACCCCATCCTCCGGACCAAGAACGGCAGCGACATTGGTCGCTTTTAATACGATAAAATCAAATAGCAAAAGATCTATGGGTATTTGATACTTTCTCGCATAGTTTTGTTGAGTCCCGGTGAGAAATGCTTGGGTAAAATAAAATCCGGAGATCCAGTAAGTGTTCGGTGGTCCGTCGTCGTACCATTTCTATAGATTGATACGAATTTACAGATGTAGAAATTTGCAGTGTAACCAGATTAAACGAGGTTTACGATTTTTTTTTTGCGATACTTAGATGTATACATATATGTGCGTATAGAACATCCATGTGTATACCTACTTGAAGAAAATGCAGGCGACGTAACAAATCATGAACATAGCTGCCAAGGGGCTTTAAAGACGGATAAGAGTGTTGTCTCCATAATTCAGGTATCTTATTCGTTAATATCGCGTCGTAAATATCTTCGAGTTCGAAGGACATTACAATTAAACCTACGATGAATCGTACGTAAACGAATTAATTTACATTAGAACGTACGAAAACTGACGCGATCGTTTAAAACCTTTGATGGCTCTTTGAATATTCTCCAGACTGATTTTGACGTAGTGAAGAAGTTTGTTAAATCTGCCCATCTCTTGCACCAAAACAGTATTCATGCTTTGCTTGTAAGACGTTGGATATTTCTGAAGTGCTAACACAAGGTCGAAATCGGCTGGTAGTCGGTCCAAAATATCGCATGCGATGCCGAATACTATTTCGTCGTTCGAAGTTTGCCCAGTTCCTGTTTTAACTGACTCCTGTTACAAAAAAAGGGAAAAGGTAAAATTGTTGATAAAACATTATTGTTTCCTCTTATCGTTGAATTGACTAGTTATACAGAAAACGGAGACATACGTATTTACTATTTAGGTGTATGTACATACATATGTATACATATATTGTGTCGGCCCGTAGAACCGTATAGTATAACATAGGAGATTTACTAACCTTTTGCGATTGCCAGAGGTCCTACGTTTTTCCGACGTATGTATAAATATACGTAAGTAGATGCAACGTAACAACAACACTTTCAACGGTTAGTCGTTCGATAATAGAAAAAACAGTAAGCACATGTTAATTGCTATCAATTCATTCCATGTCATATTGCTTTTACAATTAAAACCTATTAGGAATTCTATTATCCCATTAATGTTTGTAATACAATATATAAATATTGCTACATAGTTAGTATTTGTTAATATGCAAAAATAAAATCGAAAATACGAGTCGCATAATTAATCTGTGCTTACTTAGAATTACATTCACAGTGAAAATACTGATTCATGGCTCATTCCACGCGTAATATGTATTGTATGTATCCTACTACATATGTACATGTAGATTGTGTTGTACCTAAACCTCCGAAACTGTTAGTCGTACGATGTTCGTTTTTGTTTTGTTTCATACACCAAAATCAATCTCGTATTTCGCTATATAAATTGAAGACTAGAAAAATAATGATATAAATCAACTCGAAAAAAGTGATCCAATTGGCGTGGAATGAGCATTTTATTATTGTAAACCTTTAAACACACAACATATACATACCATACGATCCTAAGTGAATAGGTACGATAAGAATAAAGTACAAAATATAACAGATAAATTGAGTATGTAAGTGGGAAATTTTGTAGAAATACTTGGAAAAAATACCTGCGTGAGTAGTAGCGAGGAAAATAGAATATTTGTTTCCTGCTGGTCCTTGATAATGTCGGCGTTTTCATTCATGCCGAAAACACTCGGTTCAGTGATTAAGGGTAAATTCTTTGTATATTCGAGAAACGCTTCGTGTTCTCGAACATTTGGGCAATAATAGACATACGTGGTGTCATCGAAATAGTAAGTCTTGTCGGTGAGTAGTTTCCTGAAGCAGCGTAAAACTTATTGCATATGCAATACATACATGTACATATACATATACATATACATATGTACGTAGTAGATATGCAAATCGTGATATTTGAATAATACATACATACATATACATATTGTAGATATATGTTAAGGAGGCTTACTGATGATAAAATTTCGACAGAATAGTGTTTAAAGTTCTACGATCCCAGTTGTCCGTTACTCTGCCACCGTAATTACATTCACCGGTCAGATATTTAATGGCGTCGAATCTAACTTCCGCGAATTCATTAAGGAAGAGGTGCAATTGCAGAACACTGATACGAAGATCGGTTTCATTAAATTCATACATGATATTCCAACCGATCGGGCCAAATTTCCGTCTTTCCTGTACGATAGCATGAAAGAAACATAACGAATAGAGAAGTTTCTTAAATTGTTCGGTATTAGAACAAGACTCGAAGAAATCTGGATCACTGATTGGGTCGTTCATGTACGACCTAAGGATGTTAGCCTTTAGACCTTTCGGTGGCTCGTTCGTCATCTTTATACTGTTTTCTAAAACCGAGGAAGGAAAATGTTCCGACGGATAACTTGTCAACCACAGTCGAAACTCGGAATGAATCGTATCGGGCATCAGACCCTCGCAAATTTTCTCCAAAGTGCTCATCCAACTAACAGCTAGATGACAGTTTTGAAGGACCACCCAGTTACCGACCATCACAGCTTTCTGAATAGTTTCTTCAGCAACCGGACCTTGGCCTGTCGAATGCGTTCAAATTTCATTTTTTCTTGTGTGTATGGATGTATGTATGTATGTATGTATGTATGTATGTATGTATGTATGTACGTATGTATGTATCGTATTTGTGAGAAGAGAAAACGTTGCGTCGACTAACTGAATTGCCTAAATGTTCACTGACCTTGGCCAAGAGAAAGGTAGAAAAGACGATTCGCGGTGTATCCCTGTTCGTCCGCGAACGTAAGCAACAGCTGCGCCGGATCGGTGCCAGGCGTTAATACGAATATTAAGGGAGTACAACAATTCGAATCAGCATAAGACGAGGCTAAATCAAAAGGTGGTGGTTCAACGAATTGCGAACCGAGTTGTTCTGAAAATAAATTCGGGTCGTTACAGGGAAATGTTCTATTGAGAAATCCGTTGTTTCTACGGATAAGTACCTTCGACGAAGATTTGTATCGCCGGGACGATTTTGTCAGGGCGAATGCATCTCAGTACCAACATTCTTTCAAATAGGTTCAAGTGGTCAAACGGTGAAGGGATCGTTCCGTTTTGCGGTTCCTTGGAATCGAATAGTCTTTTCCAATGTTCGGAATTGCCTGCTAAAGCCTTTCGAATTCCCTGATTAAACAAATTTAACGTTCAGTGTATACCGTGATAATTTATGTACAAGTACATATTATGTATGTATGTATGTAGGTATGCATGTATAACAATCGGTGACAATTCGTAACGTGCGATTTATTTTTTCGAACGCACCGAGAAACCGTCGATCTCGTCCAGATTACATAGTTCGTTCCATTGTTTCGTTGGTAGCCACGTAGTCGGATTCGCGTGTGGATTATCGATACCAATTCCTCCAGTTAGCAGAAACATCCACTGCGATAGGGAAAGTTTTCCCTGTTGCTCGAGCAAATTGATTGCCAGTAACAAGGAAAACAGTAACTTGTCCGTCTCGAATAGGGATCTACAGACATTCGTGTAAAGGGAAAATGTAAAATACTTGATCAGATCCGAAAGCCGCTGCTCCACCGTCTCTGCCGGTTCCGTATTATCGATGGCTAGTTCGAATAAATTTACGAACCATGGCAACGAATACTGGTACATTGGATCCACATTCGTTAGCATAACTGCAATTAAAACGCAACATATATTTATTCGATTTTTCTTCTATACACGTTGCAAATCTGAATCCGAATGAGAGAAATTAAAGAAAATGTTAAATCATGTCCTTGCCATAAAATCGTATACACCTACTCACAAGTATGTATGTATAATATGTCTTTGTGTGCGTATATGTATATGTATATATTTGTATACCGATGGTAAAGAAGAGCACAGTTGAATATACCGCGATGGATGTGTACTGTAATCTAGCAGCGTCGATTAATATCTCCGTTTGTTCGGCCGCTGCTTGTTTAACTTGAATATCATCGCTTAAATTCTTCGATGACGTCAAAACCTCGATAGCCTCTTCGTCCTCCAATACGTTTCCCTCGGCTATCGATAGTATTTCCAAAATTTTATCTTCCGCTTCTTGGAGATGTCTACATATGTGTATATGTTGCGAACAAGAGAAGAAGATTAATGAAAATCGGTGAGCAAGCACGGACACAGACGTCACGAGCTCGCCTATCCATAAAGTTTCCTTAGATGAATACACCAGTTGTTATTTACCTCTTGTTCGTAGCTCCTTGCACGATTAAAGCGTTTTTCTCCGATTCCAGGTCTGGTCGTTCTTTCGCGACAACGATACCTAGTAGTTGATCTTCTAATCCGGTTGGCGTTATCATGAAGTTCAATAATGTTACCTTAACCGCTATCTCCGGTAAATAATGCGGATTTCGTAATCTGGTGGTAATGTAGAGTCTGTAAACAGAATGCAAACGGTAAAGTACATTCCACTTTTATAACGGATAGATGTATGTACACGTACATACATACATGCATACATACATGCATACATACATGCATACGTACATACACGTCTGCTTACCTGAAATCGGTATTATACTCAACGATCGCGTCGCCAAATTTGATACAAGTCGCTCCGCCCTGTTTGAATGTTTCTCTGAGTAAAATTGGCTCGAGAACAGCGTCTATCTCTTCCCCAACGTGTTCCAAAAGCACCGGTTGACCAAACTGCAACGCATTTTCCAATACGCGACCGTAATCGGATTGGCTCAGCCGAATAATGTTCACGTTATTCTGTCTTTCCATGTTTTTTATCCATCTGTTAGCTTGCCCTTGAGGATCTATGATTAATGGCCATCTTCTTGCATTTCTAAGAATTCGACACGATCATATCAGCAGATTCTTCGATACGACGATTGTATACATACATATGTATATGTATTATATGTATATGTAGACATACAAATATAAATAACGGATCGCTTACGTAACAATAATGCCATTGTCGATGGAATATGCGTCGCTCGGTAAACCGAAAATGTTCCAAGATCTTATTAAGACTGGATCCCCTAGAATATCACGTAACTGAAAATCTTGACTGCAAACCACTCCCAACTCAGTGCAACGTTCTATCCATGTAGCAATTAGTTGGATACGAAATGGCATTGTGAACGGTCCCAGGTATGCTACGATGCCAGAGGCTATTACAACATCGCCCGTCTAAACAAATTTTACCTCTTTCCTAAAGAATTCGCGGTCTCTGACCAACGGGTATATTCTCCGCCTAGTCCTCCAATTAAGTCTTCTGCGCGCTTCAGTTTAGTTTCGCAGTCGGTCACTTTGTCGGACATATTTTGAAACGCTATCCTCCGCTGTTCCAAAAGTTCTTCCAGCGCTCTTAATTTTTCCTACGGAACGGTAAAAATAAATTGTTGCGGGCAGGGCAAATTAATCGTTTCAACGGCGTTGAATATGATTGTATGTATTGTATGTACGTATAATATGTATCCAGTGCTCGAAACTCGACTACTTTTTCGTCAATTATCGAATCTACGATACATACGATCGAGGAACGAATCGAACCTGCACTTGACGAAGTTGTTCTCGTTTCGTCTGTAAGGTTTCCATAGCGTTATCATAAATCCTTTGGGCTTCTGCGAGAGCCTTTTTCTTTGGAGCAACAACTTTCGATACTTTATCGTATTCAGACATTGCGCCTACCCACCGACACAGTCCCTCGCATGCCGTTGATACTTTCTTTATTTTTTCAGGATCAAAGTCCGGATTAGTTAAATAGTGTTTACGAATTCTCTCGATAACGCTGTCGGGTATGTTGTCCTTGTCAAAATTGAGCAACGAATCGAGAAACTTTGCGTCGCTCAGCATTCTCAATGCCGCTCTCCAGTAATCATCGATATGCGTGCCATCAGCTTGCTGAACTCTTTGGGGTTTTACTTGCTGTACAGTTCAGAAATCGAAAACAATGTTAAAACTTACGCATCCTCCCGTTAATTGGTTATCCCGCAAGCATGTTACATACAATAATGAATGTGTGTGCGTGCATAGAAATACCGTAAAATTTACGGCCTAAATGTACATATGTATATTTACGCACGAAACGTGTGTGAATAAAAGAATGCCATAACAGTGAGATCGATTGAAACGAGTGTCGGAACCTTTAAAACGCAAATGCTCTCGATGATCAGTTTAATTCCGTACGGTGGTTGTTTCATTGCTCTAACTACAGCAATATCAGCCGTTGTCAAAGTATCCAAAGCTGCCTGGGCGCGTTTCAAAATTGGCATTGCTTCGGCCAAATCAGCGTCACACTCGGTTCTGATTGCCGCCGCTTCGCTGGCATAAATCTGTAAATTACGAAAGAAAAGTTTTCGTTGCCGGAGAAACAGAGAAGTAGAGGGAAAGAAAAGGAATGAATGTCAGACTACGGCAGAATGGTTACCTAACTAAAGCGTGCTATCGTTTACGTAGGTATTATACGTCTATGTGATATACTAGACTAACATATATGTATCGGTATGTCCTGTGTATGTATACATACATTCATGCATGTATGAATGATATATTGTATACTATGTACACATGTAGTATGTATATTTGTGGTAGTATGTTCGACTGTCTCACTTCGGCTGCGTTCTCATCAATTTTGACGACCCTCTCAAATTCTGCGACCTCTTGCTTCTCCCTGTCCACGTCAAGCAGCATTTTCTGAACATCTTGCGTGGCGGTTATTAATTGCGGTTGCAAAGATTTCAAGGTCTCCTGCATCATTGCAACTTGTCGATGGGTTTCATCCAATTGGTGTAAACCACGTTCGTATCGAGTTTTTCCAGTAATTATCGCTCTGTTGCGTGCAACGATAGTATAATATGTAGGTACATACTTATGTAGTGAATTCCGAGTGTGGATATGCATGTATACATACCTATACCTATACAATGTGTTCGATTTATCTGAGAACACTGAAATATGTATCTCGTAAAATATGAAAGGTTCGAAAAAATGTTTCAGAGAAAAATTATATGATATCGGAGTAGGGACATACTATAATCTTGTCTATTTGACTTTGCGATGTCATATTAAAATTTTTATTATACATATACTCTTGTAGCTGATATTTAGACGTTTTCAAAACACTACTTATACATATCTACATCTTTATGTATGTATTTTTCTCAAATCGATTTTGAGATATGAAACGATAAAGTTGCCATATTACCGGCGTTGGCATTGAGTCCCGATCTATGTATGTATGTACACCGCGAGCAGATTGCTCGGTCGGATTTTACACTGTTATTTACACATCGCTATTGCCGGCGCGGCGGCCTATCCCGGCAACTTTGCTGTTTAATATCTCGAAATTGGTTACTGCAAAATACATATGTCACTAGTGTTTTGAAAACGTCTCAATGTCAGCTACAAGAGTATGTATACGTATAATAAAAAATGCAGGTTTCCATTTGCAAATTGTAGGATGACCTTCACAAGACGTTTCAAAGTCATCGCAAGATCAAATAGACAAGAACATAGTGTAGTTCCCTCGATATCGTATAATTTTTCTCTGAAACATTTTTTCGTATCGCTCATATTCTTCGAGATATTTCAGTATTCTTAGATAAATCGGACACACTGTATGTATCCGTAGATATAAATGTGTACTTCATTATTTTATATACTCAATTATATCTTCGATTTTGATTACTTACTCACGCTTTTTTCCCAGTAAATCCTTAAATGTGTTTATCATCTCAAGATAAGAAGTCGGGGTGACATAAACGTGTCTGTTCAATCGAATGAAAAATTCAGAGCTCGTAGTCTCTGTTGACACATGAAAGAATTGGCACATGTTGATTCCAGCGGTTCTCTCGTGATCCGTCAATTCGATCGTTGATAGAAATCTAGCAGCAACCGCCAATAGAGCGTCTTGTGGCCATGGCTAGAATGGATTCGAGTATGTATTATTGTATACTTTCTTCAACATAATTTACGATCTTTGAGGAAAAACAATAGTTTCGTTCGTACCTGGAGCCAGTCGATGGTGCAACAGTTCACCAGTGCAGGAAATTTTCGAATTCGATTTCGGAAACTGTTGCCTATCGGCGACATGACTACTACGATGTGCAGTTGATCGCGAGTTATCTGAACGAAAAGATTAAACAAAGCCACCGCGCTTCCGTCGGTCTGTACGGATCGATCCCGTTGCCTGTCTATTTGCTTCATCTGCTCGCATATCTCTGCCAGTTCATCGGCCATAAACATGTTTGGTACCTGGATTTCGTACGAATAACAATTTCGTTCAGAGAAAGTATGTATTATAATAAAAACCGTTCACTTCCAAGCATATTGTAATTTAATGTGTATATACTTAGTTTTTTTCTTTTGTTCTTTCAACAGCAACACTAAGCATATTTACCTCCCCGGTGTTAAGCATATTACTAATGTCCTCGAGAAAGCTTTCCTCCTTGATTTGAGTATCGGAAAAGATGAAGGTAGAGTGAAGTTCGGTGCTAGTTACACGTTTCAAGATTCCCTTGACATCTTCGTGCCATGCATGAACTCCGTACTGTTGAGTGACTTCGACTTGGAAAACATCATAGTCGCTTATATGAGATGCTAGTCTAGTGAGCGACTGTCTTCCCGAACCTCCAACGCCAACGAGCAGAGCATGACTTCGTGGTTGCTTGATAATACGGGAGATACGAGACAAATGTTCCACGGCGAATCTAATGTGTTTCGTGAAATTTTACCATTTATACATATGTACATATATGTATGTATTAATTATTAAATCTTGTTTTCACTTGAACGCGCATAGTTTCGCCCCGTTCGTCGTACCAACCGAAATAAGACCAAATTCATGGGTTTCCTAGTCATCGTGTTGTATTCGGTGAGGTAAGTTTCAACTACTTCTCGTAATTGCTCGAGATCCGTCACCTCTTGATAAAGTTGGGTATCTAGCTTCGCGTCCGCAAAATCGCAGTACACTAAGTTACGAAGTTCCTTTTCGGTGATAAATTCACTCTGCGTGAAATATCAAAAAAATAAACGATCTCTGCATAAAGACAACGTATCCGTTGAAATCAACAATATTCAACAATGCTTTCATCGTGCATCGACAAACTTACGCCACTATTGACAGCTGCTGCACCTTTCGGGGACACAAGGTCCTCGAACAATTCTTCAACAACCACGTTCATTCGGTTCTTTAAGGTAATACGTATTTGTTCGACCAGCCACGACAAATCTTCTTGATTTATCAATCGATCTCCAAAGACACGGAGTACTTCGTGAACCCAGAGTCTTCTCATATTTGTCAGTGTTGGCATCGTTTCAGGAACGGATAACAAAACACCCTACAAGTGAATAGTTGTTTGCTAGACTGTTTTCAATGTTTCATCGCGTAGACATATGCATAGGTACATGTGTATTTCACCATGTTAGTATGTATAGAGTCGAGAGTAAAGTATTTTTAAGAGACACCTGTATCACTCTTGAAAAATCTCGAAGGTTGAAGACGTAATGACATTTGGCGGGCGTTGGCAGAAGATTGTGAACACTTTGCTTGTATATGTCCAACGTGGCTAGAACGATCTCGTCGATACACGGATCGAATTCTTTGCTGAAACCCCTAAAATATATGTATACATACGTAAGTGTAACAGTAAGGCACTACGAAATTGTTAAACGTCTGAATGAAATACTATTTGGGGGATAGTAGACCCTATAAGGATCTGTCCGAACCTTGTGTCGAGGTGCCAGAGAACAATCTTGCTAAATATCATCGTCATTACCGCGTCCTCGAATTCCGATATCGTTAGCACGACAAAATGCCTCTTGAATCGGGGTGTGACGTCCTTTCCGCCTTGGACCGGTGGAGCCATGGCGCACATCAAATGAACGTCAATCAGTTTCATCATTGTTTTGTCTTTCCTGTCGTACCTGCGACGAGTGCATAACAACAATACAGATACCAAATGGATAATTATGTACTTGTTTTCAACAAGATCCGAAGCAGTTGAGCAAACAAAAATATTACCATTCCCCGCGGTCCAACCACTGACGTAACAGTTCTATAGGGGGTTGAGCTCCATAAATTTCCTTCAACGGCATTGAAAGATCGTCAACAAAGACGATCCAACGTTTACCTATCGGTGCACCGTAAACACCCTTTCGTCTCCTGTCGAGTTTAACCATAATCGTGTCCTGAGTTTGGTTCGTTGTTGTTTGTGCAGAGAAATTTATAATCAGCGGCTTATTCACCGCAGGATTATTCTTTTTCAGGAGAAAATCGATTATGTAAACAGACTTTCCAGTCCCGGTTGGGCCTACGAATAGCACCGGCTTCTCCTTGCCAACTAACAGTCGAAACAGAGACGTGTACCGTATCGTTTCTACCGTAGGCACTATAATTTGATTCACAGGAATGTCACGAGGAATCGACGTGCCGTCGAGCAGTTCGTCGGACCATAATCTCCACTTTCCTTTACCCTGAAAGATTATTGAATATCTTTAGTCTGGGCTTAGGCTGAATTTCGATAACATTACACCCCACTTCGTTGCGACTCACCTCTTTGATGAATCTATAATCAAACGCCAGCCCGTCTCGTGGCATTACAAATATATACGGCTTTAAAGGGGCTTCTATCGACATTGTCAGCCCAAACATTTTCAACAAATTCGTGGGGAAGTCTTTTTCGAGGAAACCGCGAAACAGAATGCTGAAACGTTCCCTATAACTCACCGCCAAAGTACCCCCTAGAGCCCAGATGCACGAGAAGAAAAATGAGCCCTGAAAATGATTCGGCAATCACTTTGGGAACACATGCAATTTGTATTCAGAGAAATCCTGGACAGATCGTAGTTACGGTGAAAGATACGATTCAATGTATAAAATGATGTATTTCACCTCGACTTGCGCTCGTAGATCCAACTCGTCCATATCCTTGGTCACCTTTTCGTCGTGATACTCGTCGATAAAACAATCCAATAAATAAGTTAGCGAACGTACCAGATTCGAATCTGGCATTGGACATATTTCCTGTTACACGAACAATCGTCAGAAAAATTTGAAAATAATTACAAGAGTGAAGAATCAGACAGGAAAGAGAGAAGAAAAGTTCGGAAGGAAAGAAGAAAGAAGGGAGGAACGAAGGAAGAATGAATGCAATTTAAAAAAAAAAAACAGAAACAATCTTGAAAGCAAATACCTCAATATCACTATGCCGCAACCAATAGAGTAATGGATCGCAAAATCTTCGAAAGAGCGACTGATACATAAAGTTTCTGAACCATTTATCCATTACAGGTGGAGCATTGGCTATCCATGATTTAAGGAGAGGATCCCAGCCTAATGCTTCCGGTTCCATGTAAATCATTCCTAAAGAAAAGTTTGCGAAAAACACTCTACAAGTTGACGAATGCAATGAATACGAATACCTACGTACTACGTACTACGTACCACAACGGGATACAGTGGCCGGCGAGGCTGCCTCTAAGTCCATTGTCTCAAATATCATATTCGTATAGGGTGCCAATTGGATAATCTCTCCGCTCATTAAGCAAAGTTTCTTGTTATCGTCCAGCACAGTGTTCATGCTTTCTATCCATATCGCGTCGACAGGGCCGTCAAAGATTAACCATTTCCGAACTTGACTGCTCGAAGTTGCGAAAGTACGATAACTGATGGCTAATACGCCATCGCTCCAGTCGTGAGAAATCGGATCGAATTGTCCGTACAGTTGACCCAATGTAACGGCTTTCGGACTAATCACGAACCTATCTACTTTACGCTCGTTTATCAAGTTCTGCAAAAGAACGAGTCGTGGGATAGTGGTGAAATGATATTGGCACAGGTCTGTGTTAGTTGGGTTTTGCAATTTTTAAACTTGATATAGCTGGCGTGGCTTACTCGTTCTTCGCAAAGCTTTAACGCATCTGCTAGTATGTCACAGGCTGCAGTTTTTCCAGCAAAAGGCAGTCCAACGATCATAAATCCGTGCCTAACAATCATCATCTCATACATCTGCTGTATTTTCTCCAAAAATACAGGTGTGCATTGCAAATTCATTGCAATGCAAGCATCGTAAGTACACGCATTCAATTCACTGTAATCTGCTTCCGGAAGAGTGACACCGGGAAAAAGATCGGACATGATTCCCTGAAGCAGAAAAGAATCAGCAAGGATCTTAGAATCGAACATTTCTATCTTGTAGGCCCTTTTTACATCCATCCATAGATACATACATACAAAAATACGTACATTGAACAATGGTAAATCCTCGCTAAGGAATTTGGGTAAATTTACATCTTTAATGCTACGAAGTACTATAATATCTTCGTCTTGTTCCGGATACTTTATTTTCAGATTACCAGCTGCTATGAGGACGGATTTCACTGCCCTCATTCCATAATCGTAATGATTTTGACTGGAAAGTTGTTCGGAACACAGTCTGTATGTTGTGACAATTTTTACCGATAACGGACGTGCTTCGTAGAAACCGTAAGAATATAGCGTGTTCTCCGCTATCAAAGCATAGTCGGGAACCTAAAAGAACCTTGCGTTAAAAAGTTGACTCTCCCCGGCGGTTATTCTGTGTACAATGTACAGTATACGTATGTATGCAGGGCTTTTGGTTGCACCGCGAGAGAATTACGCTGTATGTATTCGCACATTCCCAACTACTTATCGTTACTCGAAGATAGTGAGAAAGGAGTTATTTTTCGTACCGTGATAACAAGTTTCTTTTGTGGCATTTACAACAGTACTAACCATCATAGCGACCGGTCGAAACAACGCCTTCAGATTATCCGGAAGTTCGCTTCTGCCGGCGTACCCAGGATTCATCGTGATAAATACGGCGCAAGTTGGATCCAATTTGATCTCGGTACCTTCAAACACGAGCATTTCGTTCCCAGAATTCACGGCCCGTTGAATCGTAAGAATTTGTTGGGCCACCACCGACAATACTTCTAAATCGATACGATTGAATTCATCGAAACAAGACCATGCACCCGAACTTGCCAATCCCTAAAAATTTCATCCATATTCAATCATAATAAGATATTGCTGTTGCTGCCACTACTACTACTACTGCCACTGACACTGTACATATATGTACATACCGCATACATTAGTGATACCTAAATATAATCGTGTTCGTAAGGGAGCTTTGTAAAACGAGAAGATACTATTCTTACTATACACATAATCTGATATACCTTAAAAAACTTTCCTAGTGCGATGTAATCAAGACCATCGGAACAATTGAAAACGACGCATTGTTTAGCCACGGCTTTAGCCAAATCCTTGGTCGTCTCAGTTTTACCGGTTCCGGCAGGACCCTCAGGCGCGCCGCCAAGATTTAAGCTTAACGCGCTAAACAAAGTTCGGTAACATCTGTCTGTTAAGGGTGTTATTACGAGTCTGGATGTATTCCCTAAATACTCGTAAGCGTACATCAATGAAGTATTTATCATTGTTGCCCATAGATCGTCATTCTAGCAAGTAAGACACAGATGAAAATAAGGGCTACAATACCCGAGACTTTTTTTCTACATATTATATACCTTTTAATTATTTCCACTTACCGTCCAATAATATCGTAGTTGAGCCAACCATCCGAAGTCTGTTACATCGCGAACTCCTTCCTCAAACAACAGGTTTACGACGTCTCGACTATGAACGTCCAAAGTAACTAATGCTTCTACAATAAATAATTGAATGGCCTAAACAAGTATTATACTGAACTACATCTATCGGCTATTGTCGTATACATTTCTTCATACCTAAAGTTGTACGATTCTGTAATGATAATTTACCACGAACTAATTTCACAATTTCGTTCAACTCGTTCGTACACGTGTGAATGTAATTCTCTAAACTGGTTAACGATTTTGACAGTGCGTTCGTTACATCGGCTGTCCAATAAAGTTTGCCAACGCATAAAATAGTTTGTCCAGGCCAGTTTAGAGTCCATTGTGATCTGATTTCCTTTAAAAACGCGTCCTTTGCTCGAATTACCTGTTATTCGAACAAACCAGCCGTATGTACTATAAATAAGTATGTAGGTACGACACTGACGTGCAAACTTGGTTTCCGTTAGGGGAAGGACCTCCTACCACTTGATAAATTTATTTCAAGTACTGAAACAAATGTTAAAATGTATGTTTATTTGGCATAAATTTCGGAAACTTCCGAAACCAAGTGTAGTAGGTAGTAGGCCCTTTCCTTATTACGTATAGGTGTAGATACTAGAACATTATGTAAGAAAGTATACGAAATGATCATAGTTTCATACCTGCGCTCTGACGCTCTTTTTCATTGAAGATTCAAGCTCGAGCAACCACTTTTCGACTTGTCCTCGAGCTGCTGCGGTAGAAACGATATCTTCAAGAATAATTTCCTCTCCTTCGGATGATTTTATCGATATTATTTCCAAATCATCCGTGAAACTCAGACGAGCAATACCCTCGAAGCATTTCTTTAAATGCGGTTGTACTCTAATGTGTTCGAAAGTGTAACGTAACGATGGGAATTTAGAATTTACATGTTCGCTTGCGACACGAACCGGTTTAGCTCTATATGCGTGTGAATTGCTTCACTTCGAGACTCTTACCTTGTAGGGTCTTTCGTTTCCGACAATATTTCTAAAAGTTCATCGTTCGACAGAAAAAAGAATCGTGGGAAATATAGCCTCTTTTTCTCCAAGTATGCAGCCAATCCCTTTTGTATCAGATCGAGTAAATTGGTGCATTTCTTTAGACGTTCGAGCATTTTATCTATTTCAATTACGGACATAACTCGAGGATCGGATGACACAAGCTGCATAATTTCTCTCCAGATCTATACGAGACATTGTTGCATAATATCGGTGCGGACTTGGATGCCGAAGAAAAACAGACGAAACGGACGAAACAGACAAGTATGTGTGTACATTGTATGTAAATAGGTACAAGCAATTATTAACATACACGAAAACGAACGTACTTTGTCCACTGCACTAAATCGCCGACCTTCTTCCGGCATTTGTTGCTGAATATCAGCCGAAGAAAATATTGGCTCAAGATACATCCACGTTGCTTGAACCTGTAGCCAATAATCCATAATATCCAACAACAAGAGTAACTTTGATTCCCATTCCCTGCATGTTAGAACAGAGAAACGATAATTGAAGGAATATGGAAAAATAAAATTGAAAGACGGATGAATAAATGAACGTCTTCAAATTAGCCCGAAAGCAGAAAGATACGTACAATGTCTCTTTCTCGAAAGGTCGAATGTAATGAGAATTCTTCATAGTCTGAGCTTTAGTCAAATGATCGTCCAAAAGCAATTGTATGTCATCGACGCTAGCGATCACATATGTGCCGGTATCTCGATAAGGATTAACGGTGAACGTAATGTATTCCCAATCCTGATGCATTCGAAGGAGGACTTTCTCCAAGCTACCTTCCTTCGTAGATGCTTCCGATATTCCTTCGAATTTCGAAACATAATCCAGCAAACCGTAATCGAGAATCTACGCTCGAGAAAAAGTCAGTTACTATGTAATTCAGATTAAGGGAGAATAAACGTAATCGAATAGTTACGTTACGTGTAAGGTAAAGAAGAAATACCTTGGCAAGTGTCATCGACTGATCGACCTTTATCGGAAAGCCGACTATCTCGGAAACTTGTTCCCAGTGACGATTCTTCATCGATGGATTTCCAAGGGTGGATATCACAGGCACGTGCTCCTTGAACTCTTCTATTTTCGTTCTTACCGTTTCAGCAAGCTTCTTAGCAATTGGCTCTTGGATAGACCTCTCCAACCTGTAGACTGTGCGATAAGCGATTCCTATCGCTGTGTCGATCTCCTCTGGATCGTGAGAACCCACCATAGAATTCATCCATGTATCGTAATTCGTTAAGAAATCACAACCGGCATCGTACAGTTTTTTGTACGGCATTAATTTGTCTGCAGTCTAATGTCGTAATGTTTTGCACCGTTCACAACAAACAAAAGAAACGAAAATAATTGGCCGGTATCGCAAAAGGAAATGGAAAGAAAAGTGAACGCACTCGAGTATCGAAAACGACTGTACTTACCGCTTTCCGTAACGGATACTGCGATAGCTCCCAACCAAATAGTTCTTCCTCCTCGTTGAATCTGTCGATGATGGTCATCGCGGTGATCAGTTTATTTTCCAGACGGTCGGCCTTACGTTTATATCGATATATTTCTTCTATGTTACCCCAGTATTGCAATTCATTGCAATGCTTCGCGTAAGTCTGGAGCTCCCGTTCAAATTGTTCAATCCTTTTGCGCAGGCTCTTCTGATATTCTCCAGTCTTACTTGCTATTATCTCTCTGTGCTGCTCGAATACTTGGGGTAGCTTGTGATACCTTGCCGGATACACATTATGTATGTACATTGCATTCTAATAATTGATGTCTCGATGATGAAGATGGGCTACGACGCATAATCGACTACTGCGCGTCCTGATAATAATATCTTACTCACCATTGAAACGGAAAGTTATTGGTTTTCAGTTCGACGGGAGTCAAGATTGAGAAATCAGACAGAAAAATAATGTACATAATAATTTCTTTTAAACGTTTTTTCAAGTGAATCGCAGTTTCCGTTTCTGAAATGCGAATAAATTCTCGAAGTTGGATCAATTCCATCGTATTCGCTGGTACACTGAGTGCTCGGTCTACGATATGCTGATAGACATCCCCTATATTATATATATATATATATATATATATATATATATGTATGTAAATAAATAGATATGCAAACGAAAGGAACAAACTGATTTATAACCAAGAAATTGCTTACGCTCGAGATTTTTGCTGATAATCAACAATCATTCTAGCTACTAACTCGTCCCTGTGCCTTCGAGCAACCGAACAAATATGATATATAAATTGTTCTCTATGAACGACGAAAAATTCACTAAAATGTGTCCGATTAAATTCGACCGGTATTTGACGAGACAGGCGATCATAATATATTATCAGAGCTCGAACGCGCTCGAAATTTTCACCGATATTCCCGTTCAAGAGTTCTTGAACCTTCCCAGCTTCCGTATCGTTTATTAAACTCTTATATTTTTCAAATTCCTCTATCTGCCGTTCCGGACCAATTTTTCCTTTGTTAATTAGCTTCGTAATTTTCTCCGCACACTCTTCCATGTATTCTTCCGATATGTTCGGCTTCGATGATACATAGAACCAATAGAGATTAATTAAGACATTCGACAAGAAATTTCGTACAGCATAGAGGAAAATTGACATAATCAGTGGATATACATATGTATACATATACGTATGTATGTACCTCGAGTAAAGTTCGGCCAGAACAGTCAGTTTCTAATAATGTTTCGATGCGTGGTAATCCATTGACTACTTCTCGCAATTCATTTAGCAGCGTTGACAAGGCTTCCATGTAAACTTTAAACGTTGGTTCGAACGTGCCAACTGTGTTCCTTATGATCAACTTTATGTCGAACCCGTAGTACACAGACTACGAACAGTACTTACAATTAGATTTTCAACTTTATAATTATTGGATTTCGCATATACTCAAAGAATGCTGGAATCTGCACTTACGCCCGCCTTCGAACTGTAATTAATATACTCTTCCATTGATCGGAGACAAAGCTTTCGCAATTGATCTTCCATAATGAAAGCGACACAATTGAAAAATCTCTTAAGCCTCGAAGGTAACTCGTTCCTTTCAAATGCCTAAATATGTACATATGTTTTCAATATTCAATACATAATCTTGACATTATTGATTGACATATAAATTTGACACGTTGTGTTAACATCTACTGCGTGTACGTATACATACATACGTATGTATGTATATATATCCTACCGCGAAAGGTTTAGTTTAATTGCATAAACAAACTATGTGCCATGTACATGCACACATATGAATGTATGTACAAGTATCATGCATGCGGACGTAATTGATTTTATATGTATATGTTGTATAAAAATATCGTATCATCACATACCGTCAACAGTATAGACTGAACTTTCGGCAACCAATACTTTACAAGATCTTCTCTCATCTTATGACACATTCTTAATATCGCTTCTTCAAAAGTAGCTAGATCGTATGACGCACCACGCGCCATTAGTTGACTTTCGTCTATCACCTTTCTGTCACTGTATTTGGGGGGATATGCATCGTTATGTTTTTATCAGCCCCTTAATCGGTCATGATTATTCGCTAGACTTCTACCATGGAAAACACAAACCTGAACTCTCGATACCAGTAATCGACGATTCGTCGAACAGCTGGACAATAAAGAATAATTCTTTTTTCCAATTTCGCTTTGTTCCATTGATAACTGGCCGAATAATGTTCCTCTGAGACTCGACTTGTTTCGTCTCGCTCCCCTGTCTCGAATAGAATCAACTGCAAATCATATCCATTTTCAATTTTCGTTCTGTCACTTGTGAATACATGTACATACATGTATGTATGTATGTATGTATGTATGTATGTATGTATGTATGTATGTATGTATGTATGTATGTATGTATGTATGTATGTATGTATGTATGTATGTATGTATGTATGTATGTATGTATGTATGTATGTATATATGTATGTATGTATGTATGTATGTATGTATAGATGTATATTATTACTTCTTGGAATTCAGCCCATCGCATCGAGTCAAACGGTAGCAAGTCACCGTCATCAATTTATGAATAGTCATTTTATAATAACAATAACAATAGCATGAAAGGAGGCAATGAATCGCGGAAACAGCTACTTTTAAATGAAAAAGAAAAAATAAATAAATAAATTAACTAATTGAGATACAAGCACCTTATTCCCCGAAGGATGTGACGGACACGCGACAACGAATTCTACAACTGATTTCTTCACATTAAACACATACTCTTCTTTTACTTCTTTCACCAAGCATGACACAGACTCCTTGAATTTTTTTTGCCACCTGACAGGGACCATTCTCAAGATGTTTCCCAAAAGATTAAGATCCATTGAACCCACATAAACATCATCGATTCCATGGGTTATATAATAGTAATACCGCAAAATATCTTTATCTTTGTCTGTGATAAAACCGTCAGACTCATCCTCTCTGCACTCCATTTTTAACTCTGATTCATTCATTCTGTGGCACGATCTCTCGCGTTTCTCTGTCTGTCCCCTTTTTATAACTTGCATTATTTGTGCACGAAAATTTTCTCTTCTTTCACAGAGCGCCAGATATTTCTTCATTTTGGGAACGAAATTCTATTTCTTCTACATAGATTTTCTACAAGTATCGCTGCCTATGTGATACGAACACTTATTCTTATCCTTTCGAATATAACTCAAGTATTATATTGGATTTTTGTTCTTATGATCAAGTTACATAAGAAAAGTATGCTTTTTCGATACCCGTCCGGTAAATTAGAGAACACGTAACTTTCCATGACAACCGAGTTGTTTGTGCACAATGTATCTATGTATGTACACTATTATACACGATGATTCCACCGTTTTCTCACAAAACCACACCACCACTATAAGTAAATCATAAAAATATATTTTTCAAACGTATAGAATTATACTTTATAAATATTATAAGGTATTCATTCGTTGTTTATTCGTGCAGAACGTCGATAATTGATTTATTGAGTTTATCGACATTGTCATAAGTACATTGAAAATCTATAAACGCAGGAAAACATGTACCACATAATAATACATATACGCAGTAGTCGGTAAGTTTTGACGCTTACGTTTTTGTAATCCAGAAATAGATCCGATAGTCATACCAATAATATGCCTGTCTATTATGTATAATGTACATATAATATTGTATAACACAGTAGTACACTGATATGTAATTACGTACGTATACATATAAAATACAGACGGTATATTATATATTATACAATAACATATTATTATCTCGCTCTTTTCTTTCGTTTCAGCAGTGCTACTACAACGATTTGTTTGATCGATAAATTCAGAAACAAGTTAATCGATAAACTCGGAATAAAGAAGAATATAATATTATGTTATTACATATAATCGAAGCCTCTGAATAGACGATTTCATATTTATTCATACTTATGATCGAGGGAGACGTGGGGAAGAAGAGTGAAAATACCGCATAAATACATATAAATTCGAGTGCATGTATAATATTCTTTGATTGTCATTCAATCGACTTCTTTACTTATTGATCCCACATCAAGTAATTATACAGTGCATTGAAATACCGATTGTCACTGTTGTTGTTACACACATATTTCTTTCTCCCCCTGCGTGTATGCACCCAACGAGAGTGAACGCGCCCGCGCGATGTGTATGTAAATATTGTATATATGTATGCATGTATGTATGTATATATGTATATGTATACATATCCATACTATATGTATGTATACTGTATACCCACGTGTTGCTCGTATAACTTTCCTTTTGCTCCCGAAACAATAAGTAGATACATACATATGCATAATATTCGACGTTTTTCGGTAAAATATTTACAACACTCATTCGATATTACGAACAATTATTATCTCGAATTTCCATTACATCGACACTTTCGTTTTGCCTTTAATAACGAATAATATGACTCAAAATCAATCGATCACGTCGAATCATTCGCGATTAACTACTGTTATCCACAAACATCGAGCACAAAGCATACAAAATCGAAAAATTTATCATTATATTCAGCCATCATAATAATAGTAATAGTACCTACATATACATATATGTATATACATTGTACATACATCTGCGCAACAGTCGTATAGCTTGTGATTATTTTAACTTTGACCATTGATAAAGAATTTTTTTGAAGTTACGGAGAAACGGCAGAATTCTAATCAATAAGCAACCGAATTGGCGGAAGGGCTTGGTAGGGCATAGTACATTCTTGACATTGCAAACGACAAATATTTTTTCATCTCCCGCCGCGACATACATATGTGATACATATATGCATGCTACAAGTGCCTCTCCTACTGTCGTCCAGTGTCAGAATTATAAAACTGAAATACCTATCTGAAAAACAATTTCTATTTATGTAGATTATGTTTTCTCGTCTTGTACACACGGTATTACACTTACTGTTTACTACAGTATATCGGTTTGAGCTGTTATCTGGGTGTTATTCTCCTTTTTTTTCAACTTGACTCAAGTAAAAAACTTATGGATGGTGGCCGAGTTACGTAGGTATTTGAGGAGACTGTTTGATGTAAATGCAGTTATACATGCGTATGTATACGGTCGTATACAAAATGGCGGTATTTATCCCCTCAGGTAGAGGACATAATTCAGTTTTTCTCTTCATACAACCCACGAGAACGTTGCATAAAACTCCATGTATACATACTGTGATGCGAGCGGTTATACAGGCAACAAATCAATAGACATATTTAGCTGCTAATGTGAGATCCTTGGCTTGGTACAATACAAGTGGTAGGTAGAGGACCACGTTACGTGTATTCACATTCATACATCGTACAGAACTTGCCCGTGGACAGACCTGCTGCTATATGGGGGACGCTTCTCGAAAGCTTGTATCGACAACACTATGAGATTAATTCTCAATATCACCATGAAAAGTACTACATATAAGTATGTAGGTATTGTAGAATTGTAGAACATCTAATGTTTTCCGACGTTCTATCCCCAGCAGCAACCTTACCACGCTCAAATGACACTCCTAGCAATGTATTATACTTGTCATATTCACCCGTAAATGCGTACTTTCATACATTTATGTATGTTTTTTATGTATGTATGCATGCATGCATGTATATATGGATACCCGAAATAGTAAATTAAGTGAAAACATTAACAATAAATCGCAGGACCGGCGGCACGAGTTGTGTGGAATGTGTGGAATATTTCAGACTTGGGATTTTACTGTATGTGGAATTCCACATCTTTTGCTCGCACACAGTGTGTAGATATCATTTACAAATTTAACAAGTACATTTGCTCTCAGAAAACAAACGGAATTATATATACTGCTGTTTTTTTATTATTAAAATTTGATTTTTTAATTTATCCACTCCCCGTCTTCCCTCTCTCTCTCTTTTCTCATAACTCTACACTTAGAAAAAATTTGCTCGCCGGCCCTGGTAAATCACAAAAATCAAGTACAATGGTTATTATGTAGTTAGGGTGATTTGCTTAAATGCAATTACGTGAAATTATCGTCATTCAACATGAATTCTTGCTCATGACATTAAGCTTTTAACTCGCAGTACCCAGCAAGCAAAATATTATCGTTTATTTTTTTCAGTGGCATAGTAATCAAATCTGTAGTTGTTTTGCATTGTACATACATACGGTAATTCCGGAAGGCAGCGCGACCAATTAAGGTCTCGTGAAGCGATACCGGTACGGTGTCCAGGCGAATAATTCTACGAAAAGAATAGATATACTGATAGGTATACGTAGATTTTGAAAATTTAATAATTCTACAGGAAATGACAGTGAACGTGTTAAGGTGGATGAAACTAGACTATAGAATGCACATATGAAAAAGAAAGAATTCTTCGGTAGAACTATTCGAGATTTAAATCTCGAATTCGACTGGAACAGGCGATATACATAGAGCCGTCACGCAGTGACCAGGTCGTCGTTAACCACTGGATTCAAGAGAATAAATGTATCAGCTCGTACGCACTTGGTCGTCTGGTTTTTGATCTTTCGCCGGTCACTAGTCGACAGTACGTAACGGCTCTCAGTGTTTCATCCGTCCACGAACATGAATCTATTGTGTACATAACATGTATGCAAGATTTATGTAGTTTAATTCATGATTAGGTTGGGAGATGAGTCTCGAGAGGAGCGAATCAAAGCTACAATATTCAGAAGTGACGTAGTAGCATTGCGAGCGGAATTACTAATTTTTCAAACGCTTTACGATTTACCATTGCTGTTGAAGCATGGGCAGAGCGCGTTCAGTATTCGATTGCAGAACCCACGTACACGATGGTTCCAGCCAGCGATACTATCGGTACCTTTTAGTCTAGATCCTACATGAACATACATTTCGTTTATTCGATCGATCAAAATTCCCGCGAAATTTAAGAAATTTATAATATATACCTGATACACATACATGTATAAAAAAAACAAAACATATTTGAAATACCCGCTTTGTTTACGATAGACTAAATGCTTACCTTCGTTTGCACTGTTTTTCTGAAATGCGAAATAGAACGATCAACAAATCATTTTAGTTTACGAACGGAAACGTTTTTATTGTCGTTAGCGGAACTCGTAAATCGTTTACCTCTGAATGCACATTCTTCTTAGAAGCCTCCGTAGCTGCCATTTCTATAACTTCGCTTACAAACTTTGTAGTTTCTCTCATTAATTCGTCATCATCTTTGAAAGCCTCTTTTCTCTGATCTAACGTTCCAGAGGTCAATATCTTCTCCCGCTCCTCAATGCTCCATTTGTTCGTTCCCTCGGTCATCATATACATGTATGACAACAATGCAAATTAAATAAACCCGGTGCGACGGGTCCTTGTCGCGTACAGACGAAATGCATTTATTATATTTCAACAAAGCTACAAGTTCACGTCTCTTTCGAAAATGACCTCAATAAAATGTAACCAAGAGCCAGTACGTTAACGATAGAAAATCACAACAGTGAAACAAGGAATTCGTTTCTACAAGGTCTCTGTACATAGTTTCTCTTCTTTTCTCACACCTCCCTTCACCTCTTTTACCTTTCACCCTTTTTCCCCTCGCCTTCTTTTTCTTTTTCGTCCGTCCTTCTTTCCTCTGTCATAGAAAAAATCAAATGTTCGGAATTACAAGGATAATCGCTCAATCTATGCTGCAGTGCACTATTATACTTTTCTTATACATATCTGATTCATTGAAAAAACACTATTTACGCACATGTAATCATTTATTGCCCGATTTATCGTACGAGTGAATTTATACATACATACTATATATATACGTATTATATGCACTATATGTAACTATTATTATGTTGTTGTTGTTGTTCTTATTATTATTATTATTATTATTATTATTATTATTATGCATTACGAATACTCTTTACTTTCTTCTCCGATAACTAAAAATGCTACTCCGATGAATTGTACATATATGTGCCTGTATGCATACATACATATTACGGTCATAAGTACAAACAAAACATCTACAATATGTACTTCACTGTCTTAATCATTTACTTTTTCCAAGTATGGAGTAAGATAATAGTGGTTTCACCGCGTCCTATCTCTGTAATTCCAACCAGTGTCGAAATCCAGAATAAATTAATACGAGGAACAATATAGATCGCGTAAGTATAACACCACGACTATCGAACGCGCGCTACTGAATAACATCAGATCTTACGACTATCAAGTGTACAGTAGAAAGATTAAGAGTAAAAAAAATAACATTTCACTTACGTCTACTAGAGAAGCTCGACGACAAAGGGGCAGTTGACCTTTCGAACGTAGATATCGAGCTACAGGTGGTGCGCATTCGCTTTACAGAAGGGTTTAAATATCCTGTCTATCCCTATCCTTTCATATCCTGTTCATCTCGCCATAATTGGCTATTGAACTTCGTTTGCCATGCTCGATTTTCCAATATTCGATTCAATTTTAATGAATTTCAATACGGCTCACGTATAACGGATTGAACTGTAACAAATTTTTCAAGATTTCACTCAAGTTTCGTTAACTGTTCTAATACTCGACCGTTACTGGTGTATACAGAGTCGACCTGTTTCACGGACTTACATAAGATAGTGGTGTTATTTATTTCCGCGAGAAAAAAAATATCACACGAACGATATAACAATCGATACACCTGTTCCGAATCGTGCTTCGCAATACGTTGGGTCACTGATTCACCTCGTAACGATCGAATGGTCTGCCTGGTTTACCTCACCGAAGAATATCATCCTGGGAAAGTATTTCAGAGCATGCGTCGCGTTGACCTCCATGCGACTACTCCATGTTGTACATACATATTCACCCTCTTTATAACTCGCACGCGCAATTTACGTCCCCTTTTCCTACTGCTGCCCTCGCTATTCCACAATTCCACAATTCCACTGCTATTCTGCTTCCATTGCTAGAGTTTTCTTTACTACATAATACTTACCTAAACTCGTTGCTATTTTTCTGTATGTACTTTCTTCGGGATTTCTCATCTATGTATCCCTAATCCCCATCTTTTCTGTTCAAATTAACACATAAAAAAACACACATGCGTATTGAACAAATTGAAAAACCAGTTATTATTAAATGTAAGAGTAGACGCTAAATGTACGCACCGCACGATCAGAAACAAGACACAACGTGGGTAAAAAAAACGAGCGACAGAGAGAAAAAGGGAGACAAGGAAGTGAAAGTGAAATTTCTAAATATAGCAAAAGATCAATACAGTTAGATTGTAAGACGTTTCTGTTGAAAAAGTCATCTACTGTGATCGGATAAACGTATCATAATTTCTGCTACCTAACATATACAGTTAACTCAAACGTGATATTCCGGCATTTCGAGAGTACCCTTGGCAGTGGATTTATAACGATTCAACAATACCTACGCGATATAATTCTCACACACCTTCCTCGAAGGATTTCTTGATCCAACAGTCAATTATAACAGTGTCCGATAATTCTTGAATAAACAAAAGTCTCCAGGTTTTCCAATCTGTTATACTTTTATGCAACCGTAGATTTCGGACAATCATCGCTTCATTATTTATTTAATCTCAACTATCGAAATATTATTCTGTTATGTGACATTTCTACGCTGCATTCGCGTAAACATGTTACTTCCTGCTTCTTTTTTTCTTCGAGCACACACGTATACAATATGATCTCCAAGTTTCCTGAATAAGTTTTGCGGCACGATTCAAACGAAATCGTTCTACTTTAGCTAATGAAGCTTTCATTGCATTTAATTCTTGTTCTTCTTTCAACTGATTGTACAAACTATGTTGCTCAAGAATTTTACTCTGTAAGACAACATGTATATACATAACATATATAACCATGATAAAATGTTTATGCAAATGCTTTGAATATTTCACTTTTTTATCAGAATAATAGAACAGAAGAAAATAATATATAATAGAGACTACAACAAAAGGAAGGTACGCAACAGCGATAAGACAAACCTGCATAGCAGCATAATCTTTCACAAGGCAATCTTTATCTCGTAGGAGAGTCATTTCATATGTATAAAGCAGTTTTATGTTTTCATCGTATTTCGCCAGTTGGTCCAAACATCGTTTTCTTACTTTACATCTGGGTAATTGTAATGCAATCAATTTTAATGAACTAAGGTAATCAACAGTTCGACAGCAGAGCACATTATTCCATTGAAACTGGAACAACTACAGATGTATAAAACTATTGCTTACCGTACATGGTATAGATTACTTAGTTGAGAGTTCTGTATTTCACCCATAAATGTTGAATGGAGTTTAGACAATTCTACTTCCTTTTCGACAGACTTTTTTTTACTTTCGTATTTACAACTATTAGCTAACATCTTTGATGAGAATTCCCTACTAAAACATGTGCATTTTGAACTTAACTTTTCATATTTCTATTTGTTCTATAAAATTATTAAACAATGGGTATACACAAATGCATAAAAATGCAATTAAATTACGTTTTCTTATGGAATTATTAAGGAACAAAGAATAAAAATTGCTCACACTTGAATTTCAAATGCATGGTCCTTGTTTTTCTTGACTTTTGTTCTTAGTAACTCTACTGCTTTCCAATCCATTTTAGCATTTCTTTGAAACTGAATAAAGTCTGATCTTTGCTTTTGCTGTACAACAGCCAATTCTAAGTGAATTTAACAAGTTACATTTAATAATCATTTTACCATGATTGTGTCAAAAACATATACACCCAATTGAATAGGAAAAAATTCATTCTTCATAAAGCTTTAAAGATTCTTAATATAAATGCTTTGCATAAGAACATACCCTGTACTTCAACTTTAATTTTCTCTATATTTCTCATAAAATTCTGTAACTTCACAGTCCTATACATTTGATTTTTCAGGTACTGCTGCTTCCGATTTTTAATCAAGTAACAGAGTACCTCGATCGTTTCAATCAACATTTTTAATTGTAGATAGAAATTTTCTTTGCTCATAACATTAACACAGAGGTTTGAATACTGAAATAAGATGGCACGCTACAAAATCATTCGAAAAAAAATACATATTTACAAGTAATTCTTCCTGTCCCATTTATTCTTTGCATTATGAAGATTTCTTAACTATTTGTATAGACATTGTAATTCAAAATATAGTTGTGTATTCAATTAATAATTATGTCAAATTAGTTTGCTAAGTTATTTTGAATACTATCTCTTTCTTTCTGCGATCGCGTACCCCTTTTTCTGAATATTTCAATTTCTCTTTTTCCTATTTATATAAATAAGTAACGAGATCCTGAACGAGAATCCTGTTGCCTTGGTTGCATCACAGAGACATATACATTGATATACGTAATAGACTGCGCGGTCTTATGGTAGGGCCGTATTCATCCCTGCCATAAGACGCATAAGACCACGCAGTCTATTATATGTATATGCTATGTTACACACATATATGGACTGCTGTCGTCTTCACCAAGCACAAGATTTGAAGTCTAAAAAACATCGATTAATAAAACATATTGCTTGAGAAACAGAGTAGTCACAAGCATTGTGAAAATCATACATAAATGTTTGCAACTGTTGTCATTGGATCCCGTCACGCATTCCTCGTTTACTTCATATTTGGACAGGTCTCACAGCGTTATATGGACAGTATTCACCTTGACCAAGCACTTGACGTGTAGCTTAAACAACGTAGATTAATTCCCTGTGATTGACAATAACAATAAACGAGCAGAACACTGTTAAAATCGTATTTAACGCGGAATACCAGTTTTTCAACCGGTGGCGCCACCAGTGGCAATTTGCTCAAACTGCTAGCCAAATTATACCGACAGGTGAGTGAAAATTTCTAGTGATGGAAAAATTCGAATATCTCAGTAATTAAGCGCTCAAAGTTAAAGTTGCTGGTCTTATATTATTCCACCTGATTCAATGCGTCGACCGAATACAGCAGAACGCCATAATTAGACAAATTATTTCTACCAGTGTTGATATGTGTGTACATTTGTAGTGTTGACAGAAATAATTTTGTCGATTATGGGGTTCTGGGGTATTAGTTCGATGCCCGGGATCGTCGGGGGTAATTTGAGACAAATGACGTTCATTTTAAGCGTTTAATTACTGAGATATTCGCATTTTCCCATCACTAGGAATTTTCACTCACCCGTCGGTATGATTTGGCTAGCAGTTTGAGTGAATTGCCACGGGTGGCGCCACCGGTCGAAAAAATAGTGGTATTCCGAGATTAAATGCTATTTTAACAGTGTTCTGCTCGTTTATTGTTATTATCAATAACAGAGCATTAATCTACGTTATTTAAGCTACAAATTCAGTGCTTTATCTAGACGAAAGCTACTTGTATAAACGTGTAAGAACTGTTGAAATATGAACTCATGTGAACTAAATGGGAAGCAGTGACTATATATGTATGTAGAATGCAGGCAAATCAGGCAGGTGCCGACTTCATCCCTACCATAAGACCGCGCAGTCTATTATATAAATATATGTCCATGTATCCGACCTAATTTAGAACGCGATTCGTGACTCTAATGACTCTGATCAACTTTGATCACCGACGAGGTATACTTACCTAAGAATAGACTTTTTCTCTTATGGGATTTGGTGGTCCACCTAAACTATAGTATGCTATAGTACTGACACCAACTGATACCTTAAAAAGCCTGTGATTTTAGCGACCTCTGCGTTATGAGAACAGTGAATCTGCGTTGGATAGTGACACTAAAATAGAAATGGGGCCACATCGCCCCAGTAAAGTGGGCTGACAAAATACATTGAATGAAATGTCTACTCCTATACCTCGTCTGTGCTCTGATTAAAGTTTCTCTAGTGGTCTCTAGCAGTCTCTAGACACTGGCATAGTTATATACATACTATGTATTTTAATCGTCGGTGTATTACAGTATTATTAGTGTCATTGTTACAGAGTTAGACGTTACTCAATATTACTCAACCTCGAGTTGTTTAATAAATTGACTTTCAATCGAAATCAATCAGAATACATATCGAGTTGACTCGAGAGCCGTCCGCGACACAACAAATATGGCGTATCGTGGTGTGAAAGGTTCCGATCCGTTTGTTTCGAAAACATCACGAAATGAACGTTTTGCGCAAATGTCGAAGCAGGAACAAATTATTCAGCAAAAGAAGCTCGAGATACAAGCAAAAATGGACGAGCAGAAAGCGAAAGAAGCTGTGGAAAATTTGAGTAAGACGAATTCACTAATTCCGAATTCGAGACTGAATAAAGCAAATTCTACCAAGTGAGTATAATACTTTAATGTTCTTTATAGATTAGTTATCATGTGACAATACTTTTGTAAATCACGAAACTCGAAAACGATTTTCTCTCATAATTTGATACTTGTCGTCGATGTCATTCCAGTCATTGCTTCAAGTTGTATTTTCATGCTCACTAATACGATTAAATAATTTTCGCAACCTAATTTAATGATACAAAAATTCTGTGTTTATTTTTAGACAATTGAAGACTGGATGTAAAAAGAGCTGTAAATGCCATACGTTTGAATGTATGCGTAAACCTCTTTTTACATCCAGGTCCAGTCTTTCATTATTAACCTATGTTTAATATACCCCCCTCCCCCCCATTTGGTTACCCAGGTTTGGTATTTAGCGAGGGGTAAGAAGTACTACTACTGTTAAATGTTGTTTCATTATTTTTCCACAAAAGAATAAACACTTGGTTTTACAGAAAACTAGAAGAAAAACCTGCCACATCACAAACAGTTAACCTATTTGCAAATGATGGCAGTTTTTTGGATCAATTCAAAAAAATTGCTAATCACAAGGGAACTTTGAAAACAGAGTCGATGTTTCCTTCAAAACTTGAAGACAAGAGAGAAGAAAAGTATACAGAGAATATCTATGATAAAGAAAAGAAAAAAAGTATTGAAAAAAATAGAGATTGGGAGAATCGAAGGGAGCGTAGAAGAGGAGATTCTAGATGGGAAAAAAGCTCTAACAAGAGACATAGCTCATCTTTGAGTCCATCTCCAACCAGACGTGCATCGTCACAGAGCCCAGAAGCCCGGCATACCTTTAATCAATTACCTTCCAATGGACAGCGCATGCAGCACAATCAGCAACAGTATTTTCCTAGAAATGGAAATTCATCTCTTATTCCTCCTCTTGTATCTCAATCCGTGATACACCTGACAAGTTTACCACCACCTAATATAAGAAACATCATAACCAACATTCCCCCTCCAAATTTATCGAAAATGCCTCCCCCGAAAAATTTGATCAATAGTTATCCTGGGATAGATGATCGATCTGGCGATCCAAGAATGCAAATATCACCATCACACGCAATACACGCCTCCCCAGTTTCCTCGGTACAATCAGTTCCCCCAAATACCAATGTGCCTCCGCCGAATATTCACATTTCTCGGACAATACCACCTAGTCTACAAAATTTACCACCACCGCCACCTCCACCTCCTCCTACACTTTCTACATCTTCGTCATTGTTGTCATCGCCATCGTCATTATCGTCATCATCTTCCTCCACTACCAACTCTTGTTCACCTTCCTGTTCATCTTCATCTTCAACGTCATCAGTGCTACAACCACCGCCACTACCACCGTCGTCGTCGTCATCAGCGGCTACTTCGTCACCTTCGACATCGTCAACATCACCGGCATCGGGTACTCAACAGCATATAATTTCATCCGGTCATCAATGCGGGATACTACCTCCCGCAACTCTGCAGCCTACAAACTTACCACCCCCAAATATTCCTCCTCCCAATTTGTTATCAGCGATGACGCAAATGCCACCAAACATGCTGTCGATACCATCTTCGCAGACAATCGTGGTCACTGTACCGAACGCATCTAATGTACCCAATGTTCCTCCACCAAAAGTGATAGCACCTGTGATAATGTCAACACCACCTCCAGTTCACAACGTGCCGTCGAATATAAATTCAGTACCACCGCCAAATTTGAATATTCCACCTCCGAATGTTCCACCGCCTCCTATAATACAAAATGCTGGTCCACCTCCTCCTCTAATGACCACAAGTTATCCTCTTCGCAATCAAGTCACTCAGGTACTTATGGGACCGCCTAACATTCAAGTGCCACCACCAGTGAGGCCAGCGTCCGGTCTACAAGCTACTGAACAGCTAGGTACGATATGTCGATTATTTTCATTTGTTTCTTTGTTTCGACGTATCGCCCCGTGTCGGCATTTAACATGATTCGTGGTGTTCTTTTGCGTTCCGATGCGTTGTAGTGGAACCATTACGATTTATATGAAGAAAAATTGAGAGTTGGTAGACGTGTATCTGTAAAAAGAAGGTACAGTAATTCCTCGATGAATGCAACACGAACAACGGCGATTTCCCACGACTAGTGGGTCCCCCTCTGGAAGCAATCGAAACAGAAGCTAAGCAGAGAAAACCTTTCCGCCTTGCCACGAATGCCCCGAAGCGGACCCCAGTTCGTCGCAGTCGTCGAGACATTACTGTGGTCGTTTGACAAAGGGTTTAGAGTTCATTTGTTGCCGAAACAATTTCTTGGTTGAGCAACTGAGAGCTTATAATTGGGTGTGCGCGCGCGCGATACGCCGAATGTAAGACACGTGGACGAACATGAAAAAAAAAGAATTTAATTTGCGATCATATGTGTAGACGTACGTACGTTCTATGTTGCAAGAACACAAACATATATTCATGTATTAGCGTGGTTACGCATGTCTGACAAAGGCTTCTAAGTGTGTCCCGTAGAGGCTGAGCAGCTGGCACGCATCGTCGCTGACTGCGGGGATGAAATCGAGCAGGAAGCGCGAGAGAAGAATGCACAAGATCCTAAATTATGGTAACTACTGTCCTCACTGGTCCCTGTCTCGTGTATTAACGCCTTGCGTTGTACCCCTCCCACCTAATATATACAGTAGCTTGTACATTGTCTCGAACAGTTTCCGGTTTATCTTGCACAATCGGTACTCGTACTAGTAATTGTAAAATGAAATTAAGCAACTCTTACAAGCAAACGCGTACTTAAACGGTAGTGTTCGCATCAACAATGCGAATTACTGCAATCATAGTTAATCGAAGATCATTCGTAAAAAAAGAAAATTTGTCACATCTACAGGAATATTTGTGTAATGTCTAATTTTATTATTACACAAACACATAATTTATCTTATTTGGAAAATCATTTGGCATTTAACGTGAGCGCAAGAGTATCATTCATTTCAGTCGCATTCTCACCGTTAGGTTTCATCTGCGCTCGTTTTGTTACGAATAATATGATATTCTTTGTCATTCTACATTATCCTGCTTGTCTTTTCCTTAAAGAAAAGAACTTAATTTAGGAGAATACGTTACTCGTCAGAGTCTTAAGTATTGTTTTAATCAAGGTTTCTGCACCAAAAGCAAAGTGCAGCGTATCTGCAGTACAGGGGGTTAGTGGCGAAGTTCCGCGCGGAAAAGTCAATTAAGGAACTTAAAGACAGCGGCGCTGAACCATATTGTCCGGAGGAAGCTCTCAGTGATAACGATGATACCGAACAAAGTCATATTAATAGACACGTGTCTTCTTCACAAGGTAGGTGACCGGTGGCGGCTTGTATATATACATGTATGTATGTATGTATGTATGTATGTATGTATATACATGTACAAAACCAGAGAAGAAGAGAGAAAGAGGATTCGACGATAACTCCATAGATCGGCGTAAGGAGGAAAACAAAGAAGAACGTAAACGAAAAAGACGTAGCCGTTGGGGTGATCCAGATAATAAAATACCTATAGAGGAAGTCAACACATTGTCCGTACAAAAACAGAAGAGCGGAAGCATTTCGCAGCCAGGTATTGCAATTCCTGGGCAAATTGGACAACCAGCAGTCATAATTCCATCATCAAAGCTGCAACACGCAAGAGCAAAGAATCCCATGTTAACTAAAGTTTCTAGAAACGATCCAGCGTTGATACAGTACGCTCGGCAAACGTTCAGCACGTTAGATCTTACCGAGGAACAATGGAAGAAAGCGGAGGATCACTATAAGGTGAGATACGATCAGTTATCGACATGCATGTTTAAAATTTCTTTCTGGTTCGTGACAACTGTCTCTTGTTCAGATAAATCTGCTCTATCAGAATTTATTAAGAAAAAGAGAGGAATTGAAGCGGTTAGAGGCACAGGGAAAACATAAATACGAGTATGATAGTGACGAAGAAACCGAAGGTGGTACTTGGGAACATAAACTTAGGTCCGCCGAAATGGAGGCCACTCAAATGTGGGCGGAAGAACTAACGGCTCAAGCAGAAGGGAAACATCATATCGGTGATTTTTTACCACCGGATGAACTTAAAAAATTTATGGAACAATATAACGCGGTTAAGCAGGGAAAGGAACCCGATCTTAGCGATTATAAGGAGTACAAGCTTAAAGAAGATAATATAGGTATGCAGCAAGGAACAATTGTTGTGATCGTTGTTTCAACATTGCGATTTTTTATAATAATTTTCAAATGAAAAAAAGAAAACGACTCTTCGATCAATCGATGGACTAGTACATAAATGGATTCTCGTTTATTTAGGATTTCAGATGTTACAGAAACTCGGATGGAGCGAAGGACAAGGTCTGGGTACCGAAGGCAACGGTCGTATCGAACCTGTTAACAAGTAAGCGACGTTTTTATGTCTTACGTATCGCTTACTTTTCTACAAACATACTGTTTTCTCGATATGAAATTTATCGTCACGCTCATACATTTCGTTCGAATACTTGTACGAACTTACAAAAATATCTTACACAGGGCAACTAACAGATTCGATAGCGCTGGCTTAGGTTCCGAAAGACCAGACGGCGTGTCTCGAGACGACGACGAATTCGACGCCTATAGGAAAAGAATGATGCTAGCTTACAGATTCAGGCCTAATCCCTTGGTAACATTTTCGGCGCACAAAAGAAGCGCGCCTCTTTTTGTATTATTACCTTTTCGTATTGAAAGTATTTTTCCTTTTCTTTTTCAGAATAATCCTCGGAGACCTTATTATTGAAAAAGGACTACCAATGGATTGTATTTATGATATTAAATACATCTAAATTTTCTATTTAGTTAAAGAATAAATTGTCGTTATTTTGTATATTTCAAACACTGAAAGCGTACAAAGCTACTGTATATTATATGAACGTTTATCATGTTCCACACGCATACATACTCATTTCTAGGTAAAACATCTCAACGACAATCTTAATATCGGCAGAGCAACAGTGTGTGTGTGTGTGTGTGTGTGTGCGTGTGTGTGTATTATATCAATAATACCGTTTTCTATGTCGTATAATATGTTTGTGAGAAACATTTCTAACAGTTAAATTTAACTTATATGCAATTCATTTTACATTTCACATCTCCGTTATTTAGTTTTTTTTTTGTACTGTAAATAAAGTGTAGTAAAATGCGGTGCAATTTCTTAAAATAACACGCGAAATGTTTTAATTGTTTCCCTCCTCCTTTCGCGGGTTGCAAATAAGAGAGTGCTGCTTTCCTAATGGTAATAATATTAACATTTATTCAAAAGAAAAGTTCGTGCTTCATAGTTTGTGTAATAGAGATCGAATTTGATTCTTTTTTAATCCATGGGAGAGCACTATATTATAATGAAAAGAAAACAAAGACACGAACGAGCGAACAGGTAACGACCTGGTTGACCGGTTGATCAACGTACCAACTGGTCTGTCTATGGACCTCGCTTGCACGTATTTTTATTTAAGGCACCTCTCTCCCACGTTCGACTACCTTTCGAAACGATTAAACATCGAAAGTCGATGGACTATCGTACGGCTATATGTACTTCTGGATCAGTTTTTATCCGCGTCATTGTTTATTCAGCTTTTCTATTCCTATCATATATTTCCAGCATTTCTTCGTACTATATAATTTTCATCTGTACACTTCGTTTAAGATACCAAACTTATTATTTGAATTTTCGATCAATTTTTCCGTTTCTTTCATTCCCGAGGTCATCTTTGGAATTTCAGCGCATATGTACTCAGAAGTAGTATCGATGCGGCCTAGTAATCATGGAATGTATGTTTCACGGTAAGACTAAGCAGGCTACATATGTATACAATACATATACATATTTGTTTCTCGATTAACGCGTCATCCACTATCTCGAGCAAGTTATGTACTACTTATAGTGGTCGCATAAATTTTGTACATATGTACATACTACTTTCGAAATACATATCACGATGATATATGTACAAGTTAGGTAAGTTTTGATACATGCTTCTTTTGACTTTTCTATTTAAATTTCCGTCAGGACCAGTATTAAACAGATCTTCTTGTTGAACTTTGATAATATCAAAAACTGTCTCGTTCTTTGTCGCTAGTGTTGGTAGGAAGTAAAAAAAAAGAAATAAGAAAAGATAATCGGTAGCGACAAGAAAGAAATTTACAATAATGTTTATTTGATATCTGTGTCGATACAGATATGGATATGTGACACGGTACATGTATATTATACGTATATGTATGTAATTGTATAGCATACTATTTAAATCACCAACGAACCTGTTGGATTGCCCTAAAGAAACTTGACGAATTATTTTCACTGCTCTTACAACAAAGATTATCATAATGGGCTATGGTATGATCTTTATGCATATATGTGTACATCATATAGATTATAGATTATAGAATAGGCAATGTAGAAGAGGATATCAACTTCCGAGAAGTGTAGCCTGGTTTATTCGAATCACCAAATTTTCTTTGTTACCGTTAGGTACATTGAAATTTTTGTGAAACGTGCTCGTTGCAGCTCATTGGCTAAGATTTATGCGGTAGTACGGTAGGTAGAGATCTTTGATTTCAGCCTTTTCGACCTTCTCTTCTCACTTGTATTACTCTCGTCCGTTTCTCGTTATTCGCAATGTTAGACGGAAAAAAGGAGTAGGTTCAGACAAGAAGAAAGAAGGAGAACTGCAAGCAACGAAACAGAACGAATTCAAACGGATCGAATCGGATTTCAGATCAGATCCCCGCTGAAACATGGGGAAAGGACGGAAAGAGACCAGAATGGTTGTCGGTCGATCAGTGGGGAGAGGCGTAGGTACTCCTTCAGCGTGAACACGTATGTATGTACGTGAAAGTAACTCTTACAGTTCAGCTGGAATCGTATACTTGTCAGTGTTTTATGGTGTCGGTGATCCCGTCGTTCACAACAAAGTTAAGATACGGTGCGCGCAGCCGTAAGTATACCGTTGTGCATCTTGTCAAGAGAGGGACCAGCGACCAAGTGAAAAGTAACCAGAGCAAATCGAGATGATATTATAGAATCGTGAGTATGGCACGAGCCACGGGGTTTCCTGATCCGCACCGATAGAACGAACGTAACGCAAAGATCAGAGATCGAAGTTCGGACGGAGGCAGAGGCGAACGTTTCACAGGACTGCGTGTCCAATGTCCATGGGAGGATAGATCGGCTAACTGTGATTCTCGATTCATGTCACACATATATACCTATGTATATGTATAATATTTTTTTGTAGTTTCGTTTAGCAAAGGATAGCGTATAGACACACGTGACCCGACAATTCTAGTTTTTTTCCATGTCGGTGATCGTCCGCTTGTAAAACACGTCGCTTTACGTTCCTCGCACCGCCACCTGTCACCGTTTCACAAGGAATAGTTTTCCAAGAAAGTAACGTACGTTTCCTATTTTCACCAATCGGTTCGTTCGTTCGTTCGTTCGTTCGTTCGTTCGTTCGTTGTGTCCTTTCCCTTTCCGCAGGGTGTGAAAGCGCCGTCTCAAAGTTGTAACAGCAGTTACGATCAAAGAGGATAACCACACCAAGGATCAGTGTCTTATTCGTCAGAGTGATATGTACGAAGCTGCGGGATCAAGGGGTGTACGTATACGTGTGTATCTAACCGAACACAAAAAAGCGTGAGAAATCGGAAAATGTTTATATTTCTGCTGATAAAAAGAAAACGGAGAACCGTAATGTCGAAGAACGGAGGATCATAATAAGTTGCATGAAACGTCATTGTCTCTGTGCTCGAAGAACCATTCAACTTCTCGATCGATCTTTACGTTTTTCGCTATTCACAGGACACAGCTACATTTGAAATTAACTTTCGTTCAAGGAGCACTGAGAAGAAAGAAACATTGTTGGCAGCCGAACGTTAAGGAATAGAAGATTTAAAAGATATCTAATCACTGTTGGTTGTTTTTACGATCGTTACAATTGCATACATTAAACGTCATCGTGTGTGATTCGTGACACTTGGAATACTTGAAATTTTCAACGATCGAACAATTTCTACAGGTATTACAAGAAGTACATACCTACTACATCCGTGTACCGAAAATTGTTTTTCGTTTCGTGCACTCGTTTGTTTGTTTTTTATTTTCTGTGTATCGGTGATAAGTGGATGTTCCGCTCAAAGAGAAGAGGAATTTCTTGCACGTGAACGAACAGCTAATCGAACCCAAAGTGATCTTCATCGGAAGTGTCGGTACGTGTTATTAAAATCGCGCATCTTTATTCCGTTTTTTTTCTATTGTCTTCTTCTTCTCCTCTTCGACCTTTTTCTTCTTTTTCTTCTTGTTTCTCTTCGACAGCGTCGCTGTCGTCATTTCGCCACCATCTGCTTCCTTATCTGTCATATCCCTTTTTTTTCTCTTCGACTTCGACTTCGATTATGAGAGAGGCTGTAATCATTACCACGTGCCTGTTGGGTTTCGTGTTTGCTGGAAGTCCTAGACTGCCCAGGACCTCTGCCGACGAGCGTAACATCCGTAATGTCAGTAACAGTGGAAGCAACGTTAATGGAAACACGATGCCGGCACCAACTCGCAATCCCCAACGAAATAGGTGAGCTGGTATATGTACAAAATACGTGTATGTATGTATGTATGTATGTATGTATGTATGTATTATATACAGCAACCTGCTCCATACCTAACATTCCTTTACTTTTTTCCGTATTTCAAGGGAGTATTAAAGTTTGTGCTTAATCGGAAGTCAATTAACGAAATATTAATTCTGTAAGTCTGTCTTGTATGATATTTAGGAAACTGTCTACATATTTTCAATTCAGTGTGGATCATAGTTTACTTATGTAGCATAGGTGCTTTTATTATAATAATTTCATCGACAAATCGATCTGTTTGAAAAATCGAAAACGATTCTAGTCGTTCGATAAATCGATTAGATATTGCGTACGTATACAGTCTCGTGTCGCATGTTGATCACCAAATTATTCAAATGCAATTCCCTTATACAAACATATAACTGCGTGATTTCTTCGCGGTAAGCTTATATCCGAAATAAACGAGAATATCTCGAATCCTGTGATCGCATTATAATCGGAAAAAATTAAAGTAAGCATTTCCGCTATTGTGGCCAACAGGTTTGTACTCTCCTTTTTCTCGCTTTCTCTTTTCATCCTCCCGATTCGCATGGTATGTAGCAACGTACACCTACAATATACATATACCAACACTATAAATCCCTGTGTCATGTCGCACGGTTGTCTTGTGCTGTTGGTAGTGTCATACCGTTGGCTTGCCTTAGTTCCTTGCTTATATAATCTAACAATCTAACAAAACAGCGAAAGAGGCTTGTGTTTTTTTAACAGAAGGAAACCTTCTGTAGATGCCATTTAACACTTGACAATACAAAGAGCACAATTGTACGGATTACGTAACAGGATTCTAGTCGTATACTTTACTAAACAAACCGTTCAATACTCTTTCATATTTTATTTTGGGCTTACGATGCTTCTACAGTTCTCTCCTTTCTTGAACAAAATTTCATTCAACACCTAAGAATATCACAATTCCGAAAGGACTCTGTCTTTATAGAAACTCAATCTACTACATCGAAATAGTATGTATACTTACTATGGGTATTTAGAAGAAGTATGCGTGTACAAACACCTACTCTGGTAATTACTGTAACTACGTTCGGTCTGTGAAAATACTCTGTTTCAAGGTTCGGGAGGTCGTACATATATGTTAGCATAGTTGTAACCTCATTAGAACCTCTTCAACTTCTCCAAACACATACATAAGCAGGTAGGTATATGCATACATACTTTCGTCTTTGGTATACACTTCTTGTGAGCCCTCTGAATTCGCGGTGAAAACAAAAGAGCCATCATTATTTTGGTATCATATTTGTATTTTCGATTCGGTAAAAGCATTTATGATAACTAATTCTCTCTTGCTGACCTTATACATGTACATATGTACATATACATATAGATTTGTATTGTACATACATATGTAGACACCCGATCTCGTTGTATCATCTCTTTTCTCTTTTAGATTCTGTTCTTTCGTCCACCTGCACGAATAGCAACCAACTGTACACGTAGCGTTAGTTCTTTATGAAATTTCATATTAAAAAGAATTGTCTACAAATAAAATAAATTATCTTTCCATAAATTACTGCTTAAGAATCATTTTTTGGTTTTTATAGCGTTGCTTCGATTCGATTAACCCTTGGAAGACGGACCCGTGAAAGGCGAATAGAAGGCGGTAGTAAAATCGGGTCATTCATGACCTGTACCGAAATCTCGTATAGTATACATATTTAATAATAGTTACTGTGCAGAGACCGTACGTTTGCCGAATGTATGTGTGTGTATGTACCTACGCCTACGAACTGAACGGCTCGCGTTATCGCCTCTATCTCACTCTATCTGGATTCTGGATGTGTTTCCTTCGCGTTCTTCGTCACGCGATAGATTTATGGATGTGTTCGACTTAATGACAATTCGTATGACTCTGGCTGGAGGTGGTCCAGCTAATTTGATTCAGCGGTAACTTACGATCTCTGCATACTTAGCAGGTAAATACTTACCTACGTAGATATATTTCATCGAAATTCGTAGCTTATATGTATTTCAGCGTAGCCTTAACGGCTGAACGTCTGAATCTCGAGTGACGCGCGTTCCTCATTCGAGGGTTAATAGTTAATACACATTTAAATTGACATTTTTCAAGTTCCTTCACACTCTAAACGTTCCTTATTTGTACACCTGAACGTTTTCTGTGAAATTTAATTACCCCAATTCGAGTATCGTACACATTCCCGATTATGTATAGATAAGCTCCTACGTCAATTTTCAATATCAAAAACAATTAATTGCTTTTACAACCGTGTCATTCTTCTATTAACAAAAAATACTTTTTCTCGAGTCTCTTCTACATAACATCAAGGTCAGGCAATTGTCGATAGAAAATTTTGTCGTTATTTTTTTGTGTAAATCGGGTAGTACTCTTACTACTAAGTATGTTGTAAGCTTTCTCTACTGTATCCTATTAATCTTGATTATAAACGCTATACATATACATATGTACGTACATATTGTACTACCAAGGAAGAGTCTGTGGCGAGCTTAAGAATATACGCGAAAGCGTTTCGTTTTCCTTCGCTTCGTTTTAATGTTCATTAAATTTCAGTTACGGGAATAATTTGTTTCTGCTTTCGCCCCCCCCCCCTCTTTCTCACTCTCCTTTCTCCCACCGTATTCCTTTTCATCACACCCCACCCTCTGTCTTTCTCATTCTTTCTCACGCGCGCGTACCTTACAAAAATGAAAGGGTTCGAGAACTTTTTCCTTTCACCTTATTCTCGACTATGTATGTATATAGATTACATTCAGCCGTGCACTTTTGAGTAAACTTGTACTTATAACACGCATATGTGCATATCTACTCACAATACTCACGTAAACATACTTACGTACAACACTATACACTATAGACTATAGACTATAGACAGTATAGACCGCTTTCTCTGAAAACCAACTATATTTTCAAAGAATATAGCATTTTTCTGTGCTTTAAAACGTAACGGAACAGATTAGATTATTCGTTGTTCCGGCCGGTTCTTATTGATAGAAGAAAGCAAGATTTATTTTCTGTCCAGGAAAAATTAAGCTTTCGCATTGAAAATTGAAAAAAAATTATTCAAAGTGCGTCTCACAAGTATGATTCTTTTCATTCGGTTCGATCTTAATTAGTCATGTAAAGTCTGAAATAATTGTGACGGGTAAATGTTTATTCGATCGTTCTAATATACATTGTACATACGTACATAAGTACATATGTGTATTGTATGTACTTTTCTTTCTTTTTTCCGTTCTTCAGCTTTTTAGACAGGTTTCTGGAACAATGAGTAATATATCTCTTCGAAACGTCGCCTTTGATTTTCAGTACCGAAGGAAACGCCGACATGTCTTATGTTATTCATAAGCGAAGTCAGCAGACGGTTTAACATATTTTCTTGTAGTATGTGCATCCTTCGAAAGAAGGACAGAAAGGGAACGGAAAGAGAACCGATTGGATCACAAGGATAGAACGACGTCACTAGTGGGGTACTGGTTCTCCTTTGGTTGCGTAACAAATCCGAGCTCTAGTTATGACAATGCGATTGCACAAGCCCTACCAGATTCCTCGGAAGAAACGAAGGAACGGTAATCAGAACATTCTTCCATCTGATCTATAAACTGCCTAGAAAATAATCCGGTAAAGCAAAGGGAAGAAGAATTTAATAAACGTACTGGCCGAATCGAAGTTCGATGATGTACCAAGTTTACATGTTCCTTACACAAAGAACGAAAGCTTTTTTACATACATATACATATGTAGATATATTGTTAAACGAGTTTTCCTATGGTTTGTCGGTCGTACTATTACTCCGTCCTTACAATTTGTTGCTTCTCTTTTCACTTGAGTTCTCATGATTAAGTAAATATGTACATACATACATACCTACATATTTCCGGTCGCGGGATGTCATATATTGTAGATATGTACATATTACTACATATACTGTAAAAAATTTAGCCTCCACGTTTTCGCTGTCAGTCCCTAGTTCTCATTCTATCGATTTCTGACACATTTTCTGCAAGCACAGTTCCGACATTGGTACTGGACTAATAGTAATCCCCTATGTATTCTGAACAACTTGTGACTTAACGAATCTCAGCCGACTTTAAAGTAGCCAGTATAGATAGATTAATCGTAACTGGGTTAATATTACGCAAGCATACTTGCAACTAGATTTCCATTGATACTTACTTGATTGGCCTTCCGAATATCTCATCGTGATCCTAATTACACGGAATTTCGTATCCAATTCCCTGAATACGGTGGTATAAGTATGTGTGTTTATTTTATTTCTGTTAAATGATTGCTAACAATTTTTTGCGGAAGTTGAGGAACGATAGCAAACACAGATATGCACTGGAAACTATACATATACATACATACCTATATCTATATAAATATACCTAGTTTCATTTATAAAGACGGAAGTAGTCAATGAAATGGAACATTCTAGGTCAGCTACCAAATGGTCTCGCAGTCACAAGAACGTATGTATAAAGTATCCTTATCCACGAATTCGATGCTGAGCTTTTATTTCTTATGTACCTATTCATCTACAAACTATACCGTAATTCGACCTTGGTTTATTACTCTTACTTGAATAATAGTTACGTAACAGCCCGGGAACAGTTAATTCTTAAATCCAATTCCAACTAAATAGGTATGCAATAATATACATATATAACTCTAAAGCAATATATATATTGTAAATATAAGTGTGTGTGTGTGTATAGACACATATATACACGCGCACACATGCACCCACACACACACACACACACACACACAGTGACATTACAGACAATTTTCGATGGTAGGATACATATATACATATGTATATCGGAGATTTATGATTCGAAAGGACTATGGTAAATACATAAAAGTACCATTGACCTGTCCGCAAATCGATTTCGTAAAATTCAAGATACGCTTGCAGCTTACGTTGTAGCAGGAGAAAGGATACAACTATCCAAGTTGTTGCACTATTCTCAACTCGTAGATAGGATAATGACACAAATACACATTTTCGTCGTATTAAAATGAATATCGATAAAACGATCGTAAGATAACATTAACGCGTATTTATACATATATAGGAACAATTATTGTACTTCAAGACACTGCCATCGCTAGCTCATAATTTCTCTTTAGTTTAGTATAATAGTGTACTGTAATATTGTGCAAACATGAAAAAAAACTTTTCAAATCGTAATCTATTTGCTATTTTTTCATTTGAAAAAAATTTTTTCAGGGAGCAGTACCTCTTCAATGTTTTCGAGGTAATAGTTTCGACATTAGAATCGAAATTGCAACGAATCGAAAATCTGGACAAAGCAGTAGAACATCTAATGAGAAGAGTGGAAGCTCTAGATTCTCGTGTGAATGACAATATCGATAAAACTGATGCCGTGATTACAAAACTTCGGACATTGGACTTAAAATTGTTTAATTCCCAATCGACGCTTTTGCCAACCGAACACATTGTCTATGCAGCCAGAACGTCAAACAATAAAAATGATAATGAAACCAGAGGCGGTACGTATCTATGTACGTATTTTTGCGTACGTATCATTCAAATCACTGAAAGTACAATAACTAGATTCTCGAGTCAAAGGAACCTTTTCATGATCTGCATACAGTTCTGTCAATCAGCAAAAAGTGATATCCCGTGAACAATTTGTATGGTGGACACATACGTATGTACATATGTATATCTGAACTGGAACGGATCTCTGTTCCGTAGACCGATCGATTCGTATTAGCTCTGTCTGTTTACATATTTTAGTCCGTTTTGATCATTTAAAACATATATAACTGTGTACATGTGTACGTATTATGTTGTGTCTAGATGTGCGCGCACACATTTTCCGACTACAATTTTTCTTGTATGTACATATGTACCTAACACTTTAGAACCTACACGTATAATAATTGTTGCGTCCAAGACGTGGCGATAGTTGAACTGCAATTTTCTTGTTACATGTTTGCTAATCATTATACATTTGCAAATGTCTTTGATGTAACATTCTATTAGCAATTTAATCGCTGTTATTGCATAATATAAAACAATAAACGTAGCTCGTTCTCGTGGATTTATGAATTTGCTTGAACGCACAGAAAAATATGCGATGATAGTACGTACCAAGTACCAAGTACCTACCTAAATACCTAACGTACATATATGTATGTATGTATGTATGTATGTATGTATGTATGTATGTATGTATGTATGTATGTCTGTATGTATGTATGTATGTATGTGTGTATGTACATATACATATATTCGTCACCTCGTTTCTGTGTCTTTTTGTTTATCATATTCGCATTTTTTGTTTATGAAATAGTTCGCACGACACAAACGATTCACCGAGATCCATCATCATCGTCCGAAGCTTTAGGCGAGAAACTACTGTCACTCGATCAAAAGGTTTCCGATATCGATAGCAAACTCATCGATTTAAAAAATCAACTGGATAATAACCTTTTACAAAACGACGACATAAATGCTGAAGCAAGCGAAAAGAAACCAGTTAGCATGAGTATAATTGAAATCACGAAAGCGATGAGCAATGAAGTGATAAATCACATAACGATCGAGATAGAGAATCTAAGGCAGACCACCGGTAATATGGATAGGAAGTTACAGTTCCACATGAATTTGGTCTCTGATCACTTGGAAGGCGTTTACAACATGATGACGGATGTGCACGATGCGATAATTTTGAGGGGAAATACAAATGACCAGCGGATGTTCAACATTACGACGACAACAACGGAAACACCACCACCGAAGCAAAGTAAGATCGATCGACTCGTCGAACAGATGTATCCTATGTTGACCGTTTCCGAAAAGATGGACGAAGTTTGGAACGTCGTGGTAAGCCGACAAATCGATCATCGAAACGACGCGAGTTCCACATTAGGCACGATTTAATTTCATTTCGATACGTTTCTCTTCGATATCTACAAGCAACCAAATTATAAACTGCTAACAAACGTGAATAAACATGACGTCTATGTGGACAATAAATTCAATTTTAATTAACTTGTATCGTGCACCTAACTTATACTCATCATAGTATTTCGAACGACTGTAATCTTAGGAATTGGTATGCTACAATTTCTCTGATCGTATATGTGAACATTTCAACAGGTTGGCACCAAAAGCTCTGTTGACGATCTTCTGCCAAAGTCGGAAGAGTTACTTACGCATACGCAAAGACAGGAGAGAGCAATAAATGAAATTCATGCAGATTTAAGGTCAAAAACGAACAAGATTATCGAAAACTTGGAAGGTGTTGAGAATAGATTGAGGAAACAGGAGGACGACGTTGCTACACTTGCTCAACGTCCAATACCGGCTGAACTGTTACTCGATCCCACTATTGATCGTCTCGTCGAATACGATTCGAGTAGGTTAGTTTCTTCTTAGCAATTTCTTTCTATTTACACGTTTATGTTCTAGGCATTGTGTATTGGCCGTTGAGAGACAAACAAAAAGCAATTGATCATTTCTACTACTCGTAAAAAACGTAGAGATATCTGTTCGATTTAAGGCCAATTCCTAATACATATGCATACACATGTATGTATATTGTATACAATACGTGTGTTGCAAGTCGAATATTCCTCCCTGAGTCTCCTTTTCGTCACTACACGACCTATGCTCGCGCTCGCTTCTCGCGTGATCCCTTTAATTCGAACGGACGAAGAAAATAAATAAACAAAATTAAATCTTTTACATTCAACGGTTTCAACGTATAATCTTATTCTTTGTTTAGATACGTTGGATTGTCCGAAGATGTTACAACGGAGACAACCGTTTCATCGGTAACGCCAACTACCGTCGTTTCATCGGTGTCTATGTCGATGTCCTCATCGACTTCGTCTAATCTGATACCGACCAACAATCTCGGCAACTCTACCAGTAATATCAATGGTTCCAACAACATCTACAATTCGACCACGGCATCTGGCAGCATATCGATACCTTCGAGTTCACAAAGGTCTTCGACCAAAAGTCGTGGCGTTATATTTCCAAGTGTCAAAAATAAACCAAGCCCAGCGAATTCGACCTTTACCACGGATGCATTTCTTAGTTACAAGGACGTCAAGGTAAACGAGGTCGCAATCAAGATCTTACATATTCCTTTGTTATTCATGTGAACGAATTACCCTATACTACTTAGTACTACTTAGGCATACTAACGGCAAAAACAGAAACACGTGAACAATACATACAATAATATTGTAGTATTTGCTTTGTTTCGTTGTGTTTCGTTCCCTCTGATGAACAAAAAAAAAACATTCACGATTCATTCCCCTTTTCTTGTATATTCTTATACGAAATAAGCGGACGAAAAATGTCTACATCACGAATTTATTAAAAACAACGCACATAAAGCTCCGGCTGGATGATATTGTACTTGCCGTTTACGTTAGACGGCATGTGACTTGAACAACGACAATCAGTTTCTCCAAGTACACACGTACATATGTATATGTATATGTATACGTATATGTATATATTTATATGTATGTATTGTACATATATGTACGTATAATCTGTGTACACGTTCCGTGTCGTCGACAAGGAAGGTGGAACACCTCACGCTTGAAAATCGATTATGCAATGAACCGATTACCTTTACGGACGCTTTCATTTAAACGTAGACGTAGGCACGACCTACAGTTACTCGTAATCGCGCGTCTCGACAATTTTAAACTGCGACGTGAAAGTCGCTACACTGGATTTACCCGTTTCGTGTTCTTAAACTCTTAAACGGTCGATTCAAATAATCAAAAATCATCGTATCGATACGTACATACGTATGTATGTATGTATTTATGTATTGTACATGTATACCTCTTGGTTCAAGCATCGTGTCGCATGTACCGTATTTTTCATTCTATTTCTTTCGTATACGAATATAAAGGGGTAGTTCGTATTAATAGTTTCATACTAAACTTGGTTCTCAATGAACTTTGAAAAAAATGGAACGTGTATTTCGGAGTTTTTGGTTCACCATTGGAATTTCTTCAGTTTACGTACAGTCTGTGCGAACAGCAGAAGAATATAATGTTAGAGAAAGTAAAAGTTTCTTCCGAGATCCGCCTGAATGATCGGAGTTTGAACGTTTACCAGCTGCCACGACTAGTTATGGTCAGTTACGATTGGTAACTATGACTATGTAGGTACGATCGGTCACAGCACTGTGTCATGTTTTCGTTCGATTCCAATATTTTACACGTTCGAATCAGCAGGACACGGTGGTAATAGGGATTTAGAGGAACGCGATGTGCCACGTAATTGAAAATTAGGAACTGTGACGCAAGTCTTTGAACAGTGCAGTGTGGAATGAAGTGACCTGCAATCTCTAAACGGTAGATTATACATATGTGTATAATACGCCTCGAGTGATCCTATCTTTGCACATGTAAACAATTAATGCCACAACAGAAACAGCTGCGATTTTCATTCGGTTAAATATTCTTCGAAAGCAGAATAATGTCAAATCTATATATGTATACATGTACATATACATATGTATAAGCCATACACGATGAGGCGGCCTCAGAGACGGTCGCATGATTGTCAGTAGATAGAAAAAGACAGAGAATCAATTGTCTTTTTCTGCCCATTGATTCTCATGAGACCATCTCTGAGGTCGTCTCGTCGTATATAGCCTGCTTTAAAATTTCGAAATATTACTATACGTATGTATGTGTAAATTTTTACAGGGTTACTCGTGTGTTGATTTGTTAAACGCTGGCATGAGAGACAGCGGGGTTTATTACCTTCAAATACGCGGTACAACTTACTGGTTCCTCAAAGTTTATTGCGAACAAGACATCGCCGATGGAGGTTGGACGGTAAGAAGAAGTTTCCGTATAAAAATATACCATACTGTATATACATACATACATACATACATACATACATACATACATACATACATACATACATACATACATACATACATACATACATACATACATATGATATATCCTAAAATCAACAGTTTCCCGTATCGATAGATACAGAGCAGGTACATACATACATTGCACGTATACGTTTACCCATTCAACATGCTTGTGCATACATATGTAGGTTATTCAGAGAAGAGACGATTTTGGAGAGCCGAGAGAAAACTTCAACCGAGATTGGGCTGACTACAAGAACGGGTTCGGCGATCCAGCCAGAGAATTTTGGCTTGGGAATGAGAATATATACATGTTGACGAACAACGAAGATTACACGCTCAGAGTGGAACTCGAAGATTTTGAGGGGAACAAAAGGTAATAATAAAAATAAACCTTGACATTTCCTGTTTTCATTCTTTTAAAAGAATAAGATTGAGCATTTGAACGTATTCGTGATTTGCTATTAATTAGCAGCTAAAATTGGAGTATACTTTATAATACCTTATTATAAGCAATAATAAATCCTCCGTTTTTTCGTTTTCGAGCATTCTCGGTAACGTTACAAATACTTTTTACCAACTACATACATACATGTTTTACTACCTAGGTACGCGCAGTATTCGCATTTTAAAATCTACTCAGAAGCAGAGTATTATAAGTTAGAGATCGATGGCTACGATGGAAATGCAGGCGATTCTTTAAATGATCCTTGGTACGGTTCGAACAATAGCCCGTTCTCGACGTACAATAGGTAGGCGGCATATTATAATATTCTGCTTAATAGAAGTATGCATCTCTTCACTCGTACCTTATTGTCATCATTACAATCCGTTGATTTTACAGAGACAACGATAGGTCATCTTTGAACTGCGCTTCCATGCTAAAGGGTGGTTGGTGGTGGAAATCCTGCGGGCGCGGATTAAATGGCCTTTATATAAACGATCCTCAAGACGTGACCGCCCGACAAGGTACATTATATGTACATACATAAATACATTCCGTATATGATATTTACATAGTTTCATTTTCTGTGTGCGTCAGGTATTTGAACAAAAAAGAGATACAGCATATTGATTCGAGTGAGCGTCGTATTTACTCTACACTCTACAGTAATAAAGAATATCTCTCTTCTTTGATTCCCAGGTATCGTGTGGTTTCGTTGGAGAGGTTGGGATTACACGTTAAAACGAGCCACGATGATGATCAAACCAAAAGGACCGTCGGCAGCGGCTTAGGCCAACAAAAATTTGTTAGAGGAAAAAAATATATTACAAAAGGTTCTAGGAATTGCGTTACGTTTAGTGCTTCGTACAGGTAGCGCGATTCGCCGTGATTACCAAATATATAAAAAATTTTTGAAACGCCAAACAATTTCTCGGAGAACCTTGGAATTCTCTTACAGTTATTCCGCCTCGACATGATTTCGTTTGGAATTTCATAGTTGATAGATATTTATTTTCGTCGAATTACCGAAGATACTTTTGTCGAAATAAACTTTAAAAGGTACTTAAATACAGATATTGATCGTGTAATAATGTCATTTCGATCGTTGAAACATTTAAAGACAAAATAAAAACCGACATAATTAATGGGTGTATAATATCAAAGTACGTATCGTTTTTACGCGAATTAAATACGCGATCACTCATGATCATTAAATTTATTTTTACAGATTCACTGTTGTCTAACTTTGATGTCGATTGTAAAAGAACGTACGAATGTCGGTGTAGTTGAAAATTGTTAGAAAATGTAAGACATTAAAAATTTCATGCTACGTTTATACAGCAATGTCAAGGTGCTTATGAGTACCTGGTTATCACATTAATGCAATTCAGAAGCCTAGTAGTATACGTACTTTGTGCTAATTATGAACGAGAAAGAACAATTAGTACGTTTTGACATGCTAAAGGTATCAAAATTGGGACATCGTAAGTAATGGATAGAAGTATGTATGTATGTACATAGTGAAAACTTACCATTGTATACCCGTGACTTAAAGTTTAAATGTTACGAGTTCGCGATTTTGCGAGAGTGTTAGATTTATGTAAATTGATTCGCGATACACGAGGTTTAACAGAGTTCCGTTTGTTCTGTAGACTATCCCGAAGTACAATCGCCACCTGTACACTTCTCTAAGAGTTTTAGAAAAAAGGCATGTCAACCACCTCAAATACATATGTATACCAGAATAAGGTTATGAGGTACAAAGATGAGAGCGTGGTTATTGTTAATCTCATCTACAAGTTTTAGTTTCAAGTACGGCATGTTGTTATTCACAAAATTAAAATTAATCCGATTTACAACGAGATTCGTCTGTAATTATTTTACCAGTTCTCAAAACCGAACTAACCATTCCATCCTACATACATACGTACTATGTATGTATGTACATTAGGGATTAGGAGGGTGGCCCTCGTTTATACATGACGCAAATTTTTTTTTCTATTTCTTTGCTCTCACGAGCGCCACACAACTAATTGCAACAGAGTTCGATCGCATTTACACCTCTGAACGGGCATCATTTTTCCTTGTCACGCATTAAATTCGAAGTTTCAAGAACGTAGAATAGTACTCTCTAACGGCTGGGAACCAGTAATTACAAGAACATTGTTAAAATCACATTTATTTGCAACGGTTGACACTGTATCTCGTCACGCGTACCCCGTTTAGTTCACTTTGGACAGCCCTTACACCATTATACGGATAGCTTTCGTTTAGATAAAGCACTCGATTTGTAGCTGAAAGAACGAAGATTAATCCTCTGCCATTGACAATAACAATAAACGATCGGAACACTGTTAAAATCTCATTTAATTGCAGAGTACCACTATTTGCGACCGGTGGCGCCACCCGTGGCAATTTCCTCAAACTGCTAGCCAAATCATACCGACAGGTCAGTGAAAATTCCTAGTAATGGAAAAATGCGAATATCTCAATAATTAAGCGCTTAAAATGAACGTCATTAGTCTCAAAATGATCCTTAGGAGTTAATACATGGACCCAATAGTGCAGAACCTCAGAATTAATAAAATTAGTTATGCCTGTATTACCGCAAAATACAATTAATTAAAATAAATCAAAATAAAACACAGGTAATTAAAATAAAT